TGAGAAGAACTGAAATATCTGATGCTAGGAAATTATCAGTTCCATTATGCAAAAAAAAAATCCAACTGTAAAAACCAGATGCACACCTGCAAAAACATTCTCTCATCAGTTTGTACTTAAATTCTACATCTACAAACTTCTGAATTTCTGAAAATCACTGAACAGTACTCCCACTGGTCCTCCTCACTTAAGTAAAAGAAGCCATGACAGCATATCAATGATTATATTGGAATGAGCTGGGAACCATGCTTAGAAGTAGAGGAGAATACAGTTTGCTTCACGTGAATCTGCCAAATATAAAGTTTGCAAAAAAACCTTGTGAAAGAGAGGCTATCTGGTAGTCACCAAGGCCCATTTAGCATCATTTTTCCCAAATAAACACAACTCACGATTGTGACCACGGCTTGTTTTCTTCTGCCTTTCTTTTGATTTATCTGATATATATATATATATATAGAACAATAAAGTTGAAATTATTGCTTTTCTGCAGTGGAGATGTACGTAACATTAATCACTGGTGGTTCTTTTGTACTACCTGCCTTATGAGAAAATATATTTCATAGAAGACTTTTACAGCACTTCTGCCAATTCATCTTTCACTGAGAATCTCAGAAATTTGACTTAAATCATCATACTTGAAAATCTTACACAAAACTTCTACAAATTTTATTTATTTTCCATGTTATTGGTCAAACTGTATCTTTAGGACTTTTCTATTAACTTAATAACTGATTTCACCAACTCACTGCTCCTTACTTTTTCTCTGAACAACGTTTTCAGATTATCCAGCTATCAGAACAACTTCTAACTAGAAATTTAATCCAACAAGAGGACCGTTATCTAAAAGCCAACAAACTGTAAATATCAACAATTTCTGAATCAAGTAACAAATGTCCTAAACCACGCTATAAATAGTCACAGCCATCTGTCTGATTTGCCCCTTCTCCTCATTACTTTAACTTGTCTATCTCCAAGGACACAATCTCACCACGTAGCAGGCCTGGTTTCATCGCCTGCCTCGTGCAGGAGAAAAGCAGCAGCAAGGGGCAAGATCCCCATCCATGATCCCCCCCCAGAGAGCTAACATTACTACATCTGACTCCCATACCGATCTCAAGTGCTTATCTATTGCTTCCATCACATTCCTTCTATTACAGCTGTTTGCTATCATTTAACCACATTTTATCTCATTTCATTATCTCTCCCTATCATTTGGGTGGTGTTTCTTGTTCTTTTGGCTCTGTCTTACAAGGACTATTTTTAACAAAGCTGTAGAAACACAAGCACATTGTATCCACCCATTCTCCTTTATTTCCTTGCAAACCTTTTCAAAGGAAAGTTTACCCAGGAAAAAAAATTTTCATGCAATGCTATCAGGTCCCACCACTTGCATGGAGTCTACTACTCCAAAGAAACAAGTTACTAGTTAGAGGAAATGAAAACTTCAGCAGTGATGAGGACAAAAGTTAGAACTCTCCTCAGCAGGATGGGGGGCTGTCCATAAACACAGTTACAGCACAGCAGTTTGTTGCAATTCAGACCATTTGTGAAATGCGGAGAAACGCCAATATCTGCAAATCTGCACTTTTGCCAGAAAAATGTTTGTCACAAGTAAAACTTTCCACAGCAACATATGCATGGCTTGCAAAGACAACATTCGTAGCCAAACAAAAGCCACACACACACACACACCTTCCAAGCTCATCCAGCCTTGTTGCTTGCTGGGACAAGGATGTGCATTGGCAGCTCTCAGCCCTGCAGGGTCCCAGTCCCCGGGGCAGAGCCCCCATTGCTCCCCCAGGGGTGACAGATTGCTAATTAAAAGGGAATAACATCCAAAAGAGACAGTCACTCCCAAGCAGTCAGAAGACCCATGGTTAGGGCAAGACACCAGAATGGGAGGCAGTTCAACCCCTGCTTGCCTCAAGCAAAGATATGGATTTCAGTGCCCTGCACATGCATTTGATCAAACCCTTTGCTATTTTCAGATGGGCTTGTCCAACACACAATGACAACTCTGAAATGTCTCTGTGTCAGTCCAGAAAAATGCAGAACGAAAAAAACCTGAAGTTTAAAACTTGTAGAACAGGAAATCCTGTCTTGTCAACTCTCCCAAGCAGCTGCTAGAAGAACTTAAGAAAAGGAAAATCACTAATTTCTGAAAAGATATGAAAATAGATTACAATGCCATAAAGCACTGTTGGTGAATACTTAAATGAGGATTAATAATGTTAGTATTCATCTTAGTTAATTACTTCACAGGGCATCACAAAAGTCTATTCTTAGGATAATTTTCCAATCTGCAGATGTCAAAGTAGGGTAAACAGAAAGCAAGCATTAAAAGTTAAATATGTAATCAGCAGATAAGCATCTAGGGGAACCCCATATTAATCTGTTTTCATTTTTATTTTATATACACAGCTTACTAATGATGCTTACATAGATATAAATACTGAAGTCCTCCTTTGCCTTAAATGAGGAAGATTATATAATAGAGGCAACAATAATTTCAAAAGGTTCAAGAAAAATAATTAGAAAATCAGAATAAATATGAGTATTTGCCAGGGAAAGCAAAATACAGGCACTGATAGGGAGAAAAACCTTGGAAAGGCAGTACTAGATCAGTAACTAAGAACAGATTAAACTGCCCAGCCTGCTAACTCACATATGTTATGAGCTTGGGTGTGTGTCCCTTGAACAAGCACCACAGAACACAACAGGAAGGTATTCTACCTGTCCATCACACTTAGTTCCACACAGTTAATTAGAAGGATAAGAAAAAGAGAAAATAAAAAGAAGCCCAGAGAGGAAGAAAAGGAAGACAGGAAATCACAATGGGACTGACTTACAAGGTGTTTTTTGGAGAGAGGGTAGAGTGGAACTAACCAACAACTACAGAGCAGAAGCCAAGCACAGTAATACTGTGGCATAAGGTATCCCAAGTACTTCAGTATCGTGGTAGGTAAGGAAACAGAGATAAGTCTACCTCTTAGAAACTGGATGAATGCAGGAAAAAAACATGGCATACTAAGACCACCACACTAAATAGGTCCTTTGCCCCACAGCTTCCCAAGAGTAGATGGATAATCTAGCACTGGAATTTGCATTGGATAAAAGTACAATGAGGAGCACTGCATCTTTATCTCAGGAGAGAAACTGTCCGACCTCACATTTCCATTATTCTGTTAAACATTTCCAAATATACAGGCCAACAAAAGGCTTCAGAAGGAGCACAGACCAGGCCTTTAATTAACACTGTTCATGCTTCAGGTGCACAATTTCTAAAAGCCACCTTGTAGCTGCTGAACCCCCACCGCAAACCTCTCAGAGGGATCCAAGAACATTCATCTGCAAATGGTCACAGCAGACGTTAACGCCTGATGCCTGCAGAGATAGCCAAGAATTTTGCACCTTCCTGAACATGACTCTGCAGCAGATAAATGCTGTTACAGCTCATGGCAATGCCAGCCACAGCTAATTATAACTTTATTGAGATGTTTTGGCAAGAGTCAAAGGCATTCAAGCAAACAACTTGTGATGGGGTTATCTGCCACTGATAATACATGACTTCTGCAAATAGTCTAAATGCTCAATTTCTTTCCTCCTCTCTCATCCGTAACACCAAGCTTTTGAGGGATACCTGGGGGAGGAGGAGGGAAGTCAAGCTGCTGAAGGATGTGATAAATATGCAAAGTGTTATTACTTTTAATACACTGGCAAAATTTCCTAGGTCCTGCAAAACAGATTTTTTTTTCTCCAAAGCAATATTTGATATCTGAATCAGCTATGAATATATGTCAAGATATTTATGGGCCTCCACTGGATATATGACACATGAGGTTATTCCTATACATAGCTAGCTAGTAACTTTCTACACAGCTAGATGTAGTGAATAGAAATATCATTCATTTACTAACCAATTTCTCACTGAATCAGGGAAGTTAAAATAAAAATTACTCTCTTGTTCTCATGACCACTTCCTTTAAATTCCTACAAGGGAACTCTCATTAAAGAATGTCACACGTACTACTCTTCTCAGAGTGGTTGTTTGATGTATGTAGAAAGTAAAATTCAAAAGATGAAAAAATCAACCCAATAACCAAAAAAACAGAGAAGTGGTTTGCATTGCTACACAGACTCAAGACTCTCTTGACAACGACTTTCAAGGAAAGCCATAGAAGAGATGGACAGGAAGAAAGAGACAAAGAAAGGAGACTTAAAAAAGAAACCCATAGACACTTTTCAGTCTTAAACATGGCCAAATGAAAACCAAACAGTGCGCTGCTAGCAACATGGCCAGCGTTAAGGTTTAATACAGGAATTTTCTTGTAAACAACACCAAAGAGGAACGAAGGTTGCATTATCGACTGTTATTGGAGTTAACGCAGCGTGCCCATCACTGAAGTATCTGACAGCAATGGCTCTAGGCCAGGAGCTCACAAGTTCTTTTAACCACAAGATCACTATCAGTCCTTTCATGCATTAATGAGCGTATCAGCCCCACTGCTTTTCAAACGAAAACACAACATAACGTGCCCGTAGTACCGAAGGGACCCAGCCGGTCCCGCGGGCCCGGCCCTGTGCGGGCGGGCGGCACCGGGGGCAGCCGCGGCACAAGGGGGGCGCGCAACTCGCGGGGGCAGACTGTGACCGGGGTTATGAAACTGGGGACAAGTTGGGGCGGCCGACCCCGAGGGGCATCCGGAAAATCCCGGGAGGAGGCGAGAGCGGCACAGGGCGCAGGGGCGCTCCCCGCGGGCAGGGCCCGCTGCCCGCCGGGCCCGCCGCCACGTCCCACCCCCGGCCCGGCCGCGGCGGGGGGCGGTCGCCCTGAGGGCAGCGGAATAGCCCGGCCGGCCGCTCCCTCCCGGGAAGGAGGACAAGCCGTGACAGCGCCCAGGGCGGCCGCTCCCCTCCAGCTGCGCAGAGCTGGGGGACACGGAGGGGGAGCGGCCGCCGGAGCCGGGGCTGTGGGGGGGGCAGAAGGTCGCGGGTGTTACCTGCAGCTCCGCCCGCTCCGCCTCCCACTCGGCGCGCTCCGCCTCGAAGCGGCCCCACTCGTGCTGCAGGAAATGCAGGATGCCCGGCACGCTGTATTGCGCCCGGGACGCCGAGAGCGGCGCGGCGGCTCCGGAGGCTGAGACTCCCCCTCCTCCGCCGCCTCCTGCTGCCGCCGCCGCGGCCGCCGCTGCCGCCGCCTCGCCCGGCTCCAGCCCCGGCCCGCCCGCCGGCGGCGGCAGCAGGAGGGCGTTGTTATTGTTATTGTTGCTGAAGAAGACGCCGGGCCCCGCTTGCTCGTCCATGGCCGGGCCGGGTCCGCCTGGCTCGCCGCCGCCGCTCCCGCCGCGTCCCGGCAGCAGCAGCAGCAGCAACAACCTGGGCGCGTCCCGCCCGCCGTCACCGCCTGACAGCCGCCCCCGCCCGCCGCTACGGTGGCCTGGCGGGGACAGCGCCGGGGAGCGATTCGCCCCGCCGCCCCGCGCGGCATCCTGGGAATTGTAGTTCCGCTGGATGGCGGGGAGGATTCTTCGATCGCCGCCCTCTTCCCGCGCCGTCCGTAATCCCAGGGATGGCGTTCGGGCGGCTGGGCCTCACCTCTGGGACGTGTGGTCCGGCCGGCTGGGCGGGGGCGCCGGCGGGAGGGGCAGGCAGGGGCAGTCCCTGCAGCGGGAGCACAGGTTAATGGTCACCTCCAGCTCCGAGCGGGATTGACACGGCTTGGGCTCTCCCGCAGCCCAACCCAGGAACCCGGCAAGGGCAGGGGTCCTGCATCAGTCCCACGTGCTCCCATCGGGCCCTGCCCTGGCAGCTCCGGCTTTCCTGCTTCCTCCCTGTTCTGAGCAGCGCTCGGCCTCTCACTGCCAAAAGCTGGAAACCCTGTCCGATGCTACGGGGGTGTCTTGAACATCCTTTGCAATGCTGGGAAGGAGAGCGACACTACATTTTCCAGGAATTGCCACGCTGCGTGCTCCGCGAGGGAAGGGAAAACAGGAGCCTGTGGGATTGGGGGCGGAAGATGTCGGCAGCACTGCCCTCCCCACGGCACCAGGGGCCGAAGCGGGGCTCCCTTCCCACGCCGTGTGCGCCCCAGCAGCAGAGCCCTGCTGAGGGCAGGCAAGGCGCCGCTCCGTCGGGCTGTGCCGAGGGCCAGCACCGTGTACGAGGTGCTGTGTGCCACCACGGCGGTGCCACGGGGCTCCCGAGGGCGATGGCCCCGGTGGCCCCCCTTGCGCTCCTCGCCGCGGCCCGGGCGCACCGGGAGCGGCCCCGCTGCCCTCTCCAGCCGCGGTTCCTGTTGCGGTGTGGCTGCTCCGAAACCGCAGCCGCCTGCCTCGTAACCCTGCCCGCCGAGCGGCAGCTGCGGCTGCCGGACCATCTCTCTGGGAAAGAGCACGAAGGAAGCTGACTTAGAGCATCAGGAGAGCAGCGGGGAACGGGAGCGACAACGCGGGACACGGAGCGTGATCTGGGAGACCTCGGCAAGGAATCCGTGTAGAACAAGGCTCACCCAGAAGGGAAGGAAACAGCAGAGAGAGAGATGAAAGATGTGAAGGGGAAGCGGAGCAAACTGTTTCATTAAAAAGCACATTTAAAAGGCTATTGACAAAGAAAAAGATGAAAAGGACAGTGACAAACAACAATAAGCACTACGGCCGTTTCAAGTTACTTCAGTTTTTTTAATAAAATGGAATTTGATGCCAAAATATTGTGCAAAACCACATGATAATAACTTTAGTATCAGGAGCAAGCAGAGAAGCGAACGAGGACTAAACTGGGGAAGGATGTATACAAACAAGAGTTGTGCATGTTGCAGACAGCCACACAAAATACAAAGAAAAACCTCTCCCTTCTCTATCCCTCTACATCTATCTAGTGCCATTTTCTCTTCTGCTAACTTTTTTCTATTGTTCTACTGACTTCTTAGTTATGCTTGATTGCTACACTTCCCTCCCCCCTTCCTAATCTTCAGACATTTTGTCAACTAGAGTCTAACCACAACTTAAAAGTGCTGAGATAAAACTTAAGGCAAACAAAACATGATTATAGACAAAATCTTTCCAAGAAGTCATTAATTCCTAGACTACCTGGTGGAGGGGAAGGAATCTAAAACAGGTTATAAACTTGTTTTCTGTTTTACTTGCAAAATGTTTGTGTTAATTTTGAACTGGAAGAATCCTTAATACTTTCAAATGCTGAACTGGTTCAGAACCTCTAAGCAAAATAGATTTGTAATGCTGGAAAGACTTAGTAGAAAGGGATGTAGTTAAATCAATTTAATTCCCACTACCTATATAAGAAGAAAAAATTAGTGAAGTTGCTTTCCTTCTCATGTACAGCACATTGTTTTTACTTCTGCATGTATCTTTACTCCTGCAGAACAATGGAACAAGACTTGATTACTATCTTTACCAAAAAAAATTGAGATTAGAGTACGCACCACTTGCTGTGTCCTCATTTTAGTACTACAACATTCACTGTGAAATAAAAGCATTTCTGATTTTCTGTTAAATATTTTGCACACAGCCAACTTACCATAGGGCAAAAGAGCATTATCTTGACCATTTTGCATAGGTACTCAAAGGGATATTAGATAAGGTCTTAGAGGAAAATAGAAAGCCTAGAGGGAAGTATCTATGCAAAAATAGTGATCTACAAATATTTTAAGCAGATATTAGTCATATTCAATTATATTTACTATCCCTTTGTTATATTTGAAGTTGAAGCATCTGAAATATGCAGTTTTTACAGAGTATACAGAGAAACATCAGAGATGAAATTCAGCAGGCCTAGTAGAGACCTCTGGTTATGTTACTTCTCTCTATAAAGCAAAATGTATAGAAAGATCCCTATAAAAGCCCATAAATTCAACAGCTGTGTCAAAAAAGTCATGTAAGTCAGTCTTATATACACAAGAAAATACATGGTTCCACATTCTGCCAAGAGGAAGGGTGAGGCCTGGCAGCAGGCAGACACTGGGGGTCCCTGGCTGTGCATGCAAGGTTAGCACAGCACATGAGCTAAAAGCCCCAAAATCTGCACATCAGACTCACTCAGATGGGAGGGAAGCCACGTGCTTTGGAAAAAAGCCTGGCAGGAGAAGGAAAAACTGGAGGAGCCTGGCTCCCACCTGTGTTCTGCCCCCTGAGTCAGTACAGTGCAAAGTGCTCCAGTACCTCTGCTTGCAAACTTGATCAAGGACTACAGGTATGATGTATCCAGAAAATAAAATCTAGCAGGAAGGTTAAATATCCATGAGTCTGGACAAAGGGCACAGCACTGACTCATCACATATTCAACCAGTTGCTGGCAGAACAGGAAGACTGCAAACACAAAACACCTTACAAGGGCCAAGATCTACACCTACAAAAATGCAGATAGAAGGCAGTTCTCTTTAAAAACTCAGTTTCCAGTGCATTCTTTAAAATTTATATTCGAAGAGATAGGGGATTAGATTCTTTACATCCTTTATTCATTTTCAAGCATGGAAACGGATTTGAAAGAGATATACACCACATAAATAAGGACAACTCATTAAGACAGCATGCTTGATCATTCACCTTAAGAAAGGCTGAAAATCTTCAATTATTTTGTCGTGGGATTTTGGTTTTTTTTTCATGCAAGCTGAAACAATCTACGAAGTCCCTTTCCCTATTATTTTTTAAAATAAAAGGAAAAAATTCGTACTTCTACACTAGAAATTCCCCATGGTACAGGGTAAGTACTTCATAACAGTTTCTCCTCTTCTCTCCATCCCCACTGTGTTGGTGTGTTGGCACAATGGTGGGATAACAATCACCAGATTTCAAAAACCACTGGAGGGTTTAAGATAGCTTTTAAAAATAAATAAAACTATTTAGATACAGAATAATTTTGGTGGATAATTTATAACAGAAATTCATAAATATGATCACAATTTCCTAAAAATCTATACAAATACAAGTAACACCACTTCCCTCGTAATGCATGGATTTCAAGTAATTACACAAAGCTCCATTAGACAGCCTTTCACACACAAATTACATGAAATTAGACATGTATGCAGGGATAATGTAATGCTTCTGACTACTTAATGGTCCAAAAATAATAAAAGTAATTCAAAAAAAGCTAGTTTTCAGTTTAATTGTCGGGGTGGAATGTACTGTGGGTGGTGGTTGCCTAGCAGCTGCTTTTGCTTTGCTGGCCTGACTTGCTCGGACTGCAGTTTCTAGACGTGTTTTCAATTCAGGAGCAGCTCCCATGACTGTCTTGAAAGCATGGGGGTAAAGTGGACCAATGTGCATTAGGTTCTGAAGTGCAAACTCATGAAGACCCTTGGATGCTGTAGATGCAGAAGCAAAGGCATTTTCATTCAGTAAATAGGAGATCAGAGTGGGAACGAGAAGGGCAAGCAACTGTACTCCTAAAATGAAAGAAAAAAAAAGTGGAATTAGCATATCAGAGAATGAAACAAAAAAAATTATAGCTACTACACAGGTAAGGAAGGGTAATATTGTTTTCAGAACTCACAGTAGAAACTGTTATAAAAAAATTATCAAATTAAAGCAACTGAAATGTAGATGGCTTCCTGTGTTTTATCAGTCCAATCTGTCTTACCAGGACTGGATTTAAGATTTCTATTATTGTTTATTACAGTTATGTTGATCCTGATGCTTATTTTGAGATGCTTTTGCACCATCCAATTGCAGATCATTGATGAAAGATTTTAAGATGTAGAGCGCCTATCATATTAAAGGATTTCAAAACACTTTTCAGGCAGACAGAAATGTTACTCAATTGAATTTGAGTATCCACCTCCCCAGCAAACATAAGTGAACTGATACCAGAAAGCAAGTGTTCACAAGAAAGTCAGGGACAATTATCTGCTGTTATTTATGTTGTGTTGGTCTGGGAGATCCTAATTCAAAAACTAGCAGGGCAGCTATACTTCAGCTAGCATGACCTAGTGAGGCCACAGCCCAAAATGGCAAAGGGACCACGAGGGTTGACCTTGAGAACAAAAAAGGCAGCTAAACTTAAGCAACAAGGCAAATTTTTGTACCTAGAAAAATTCAAGTACAACTTTGAAATGTGTAACCTGGTAATTGTACATTTTAAGCTCAAAGAACTTAAAAATTAATGGTAACTCATTTATCAAAATTGTTTTAGATTACCAGAGTATTAATTATTCTTCCTTATAGGTTCTGACTAATCATACTCATGGGGTGAAATGTCTCCAGCCAGCAAATCAGATGATCTGTTTCCTCATTTGTTTCAGTTACTCTCTCATTTTCATTTCACCTGTGTTTCAAACAACTGTTCCAGAAGCACAATGAGGCTCAAGAAATTTTATATTCTATCAAAAAAGAGAAACTCCAACAAGGAGACCATTGAGTGAAAAAACCCACAAAAACCAACCAAACAAAAACTATCCAAAAAACCCTACACAAAACCAGTAGTAGTATTCTTAGGAGGAACGTTTTCAGCATTTGAAGTCAAATGTCAAAGACAGTAAGTCTTCAGAATGCCCATGGTTTCAGCTGAAGAATAACTAATTCAAAGATAAATTATAAGTAATATATTCTAGCTAGTGAATGTTGCTTCATCTACAATCAAGATACTCAGACCAGTAAGGGTCAATTTCTTGGGCTCTTTAGCTAAAACTTGTTGAGCTGGTAGAAGCAATCTGATAAAAGTCTACTAAAATAATTAAGTTAACAATCAGAAAAAGTAAATTGAAACAGCATGAAATACAAATTTCCAAACAGAATAAAATATCACTTATTACTGCAGTTCATGTTGAAATTTTTTTCTTGCAATCACCAGAAATGCAAAGGTCACACAGCATATCATGCTGTACATGCTATGCAAATTCATGTATACAAAAGTTCTATCACTGGAATTACAAAAGCATGTTGCACACACAGTCCATTTGTGATTATGCCATTGAGTTCCTAACTGCAACATTTCTAATGTTCAATATTCTATTTTAGCATTACTCATTTCTCTAGAAAACCTAAATACTTACTATTCTGCTCCTCACCAAGGGCAACCAATGTTTCAAGGACTTTAATTCCTTCCTGGACTGCTAAAAGCTCCAGATTGTTGTTCGGGCGGCTCCTTTCCACAGCCTTCAACTTCTCAACCATGATAGGGGCCAGTGAATGAATATATGGAGTGGACAGGGCACGATTGGTGTGTTGGAACACAGAAAGCAGAAGTTGGTAACACTTGGCTTGAACCTAATCAAATCAAGATAAATACATTGTCCTCAAAGTTATTTGTTAACTCAGTGAATATAATAAACTCTGTTATCTGTGATTAAATAAATAAAAAGACTACTAAATGGGAAGGAAACGTACTAAGTAAGAGGAAAGAAGCAACACAGCCCAGCTAATAAAGCACTATTAGCCCAGGGTTCAATAAAAGGAAGGACAATTAGAAAGAACATGCAGGTACTAAGTAGCAGTAATAATATAAATCCTGAGAAAATAAAGACAGTTAATATCACACAAGTCAGTCACACCAGTTCACAGTGAACTCCATGTTTAGGTCTCAGAACTACCAGCTCTAATAGTAGCTTAATCTTCAAAATCGTGATATGCTATTCCAATTCCAGAAAGGCAACAGTGCCCATAAAAATGACTCAGGACAAAGTGATCTTATTGTTCTAATACAAGCCAAGGCTGTAGCCAAAACTGTCAGGCCTTTCCATCCTTGCTTCTCATTCTCCCTTTTGTGCTGGTAGTAGCCTAGGACTATATAAGCTGATCACAGAATGCTCTCCTTGTCATCCTTCTATTTTTTTTTTAATCCTCCTCCCTCTCTGTGGAAAGCAGAGATTATTAAAGCCAAGGTTTGGGAAAATGACCCACTGATGATCTTGTTCAGATGAATTTATGAATACATTTTTTGGGGCATACAAAGATCTTTCTCCAAAATCCACCACAAATAACCCAGCATTTTTGAAAAGGTGAAGCCTCACAACAAATGTGAGGATAAAACATTGCACGTTTTCTAACTGCACTCAAATCCAAACAGGATGAGTTACTGAGCACATGCTGAACAGAAATGTTCTAGAGGAAGTATTACTGAACAAAATGATCTGTGAGGAGATCCAGGGATTAGTGGAAACACAGATATATAAATAAAAATATTGAATAAAAGTCATAGATTATAAAAACTACTGGTAAGAAAATATGAGTTATGAGCTCATATTACTGTTAATTCAATAGCTGCAGGTTTTCTATACAGTTCAATATTTAAGGTCTGAAATAATAACACTTCTCATGTCATTTGTATGCTTTGTAACAGAGCTCCACGGAAGAACGTTTTTCCTCAATGCCTCACTCACCATCATCTCTGACCTTTTCAACAAATTTTACTTCTGTCTCTCCATACTGTTACAAATAATTTTCTTCCTTTTCTGTCTTTCTTTAAACTTCATTCCTTATTAGCTGTTAAAGATGATTAGATTAACCTTTGAAATAAGGAGTAAAAGTATTTTCTTAAACGCAGCCATATTTCAAAACAGTTTTATGACTGCATCTGACAGCAGAATTCCATCCAAGTTTTTTTCCTTTGAACTGTGTAATATAAAACTTTGGACTATTGTGCATTCACAGAAGTCTACAAAAATTCCTGAAAGGTAAAATCAGAGCTTCTTCAAAGCAAAAGAGTCACACTCTCATGTAAAACTTGCCCAACAGCGTTGAAACACTTGGATCTCTCAACTGAGTTATCTTGTTGGAACAAAAGGGAATTGAGCTCACCAGACTTCTGGTTATTACTATATACATGATATTTGACCTTTTCATGTGGTAATAGTTTCAAAAATACTCCTGTATTTCTTTTAAGGCATCAGTAGTTTCTTTGGAAGAGTCTTCTCCATCATCAGTTCAATGCACTTAGTACAATCACGATCATGCTTTTATTACAAACGGGTGTCTCGTCACTGACTGCAACAAGGAGTATTTTACATTTTAAAAGCCAGAACGAACACACAAGTATTACAGAGTATTTGCTCTGCACATTGGTGAGAAGAGAGTGGACACCATCTGGCTGTTCTCCAAACTTGCTCTGTGTGCTACAAAAATAGTGGTAAGTTCCAGCTGACAGGCAGCTTTCCAGCAGGGTAGTGGGCGACCACGTACTTCTCTCTCGCTGTTCGTGTGTTTATACAGAGCTCAGAGAGAGTAAGACATAAAAGTTTCACTTAATACAACTGACATTTCCATTCGAACAATAAAATTCTAAGTAGCTTTCCATCCAGAGTCAGGCTGCAGAATCAACTGAATTTTATGTTCATGCTGGAGAACACCTGCCCTGCTATGGAGAATTATCAGTCCAAACAGGATTTTAAATGCCTCATTGTGACCCTAAACACATCCGCATTTTTTGCATGTTTTTCTTCTCAGGAATCCCTGCAGTGTTTGCTTGTAGAAACATGACAGATTTTTCTCCTTAGCTCCCACCTGCAGATTTGTATATGCACTCAAACTGATCAATATATGGCTGGAAAAGTTAAGCTTAACTATCCACACAGTGCATTAGCCTGCTTGAATCAAGTCAGTCTACAACTTTTTTAACTTTCCTCCTGAATGACAAAGTAATTCAGAAGGCATTTCACAAAGGCAAGCCAAAGGGCAGAAGTGAAATTATGAAACAAATGAATCCTGATATATAGATATTCTGATGGTGCCCACAAAATTATATTTTTGCTCCCAAACTGAGTTTTGTATGAACATGCAAAATAAGCACAGGTTTTGCACAAACAAATATAAAATTGATCAGAAATGTGGGCTGTAATTTTATCTAAGGAAAAAATGGTTTAGTTTGTATTATAAAAGATCAACACTAATGTTAAATGTCACCTCCCTGTGGTAACCAACCTTTTCATCTGATAAAACTTCATATACCAGAGACTGGTTTTGCCTTTTAAAAAGCTGAAGTCAAGAACCTGGCACAAGGCCACGAATACTTTATCGAGAAGCACTAAGTCTGGGTTATTTTGCTCATGAGTTTCAATAATGCATTGTTGAAAATTCTAGTTATCCTGACAGCAGTACCTGTCCCTGAAGTAAAGGCATCACAAAGCATTGAGGAAATGTGTTAAATATATCACGATTAGTTTCTGCTGGCTGCATGTCACTTACATTCCCATAACATGATCTTACCCAAGGATCAGAAGAATTCAATGCACTTCTAAATCTGTTCATACATCCATTTTGTAAAGATTGCACTCCAATTATTTCATTGCTTGCTGACAAGAGGAAGAGAGCAATAGCTGTAAGTATGCTTACTTCATCAAGAATAGGTTTAGAGGCTTCTGAAAAACAAAAGCAAACATGCTGTTAGCTTATTCCAAAAAGGCTTTAGCATTTATTTAATAAAATCCAGTGAACACAGATAAAACTCACAAAGAGGAAATATATGTACTTGAAATTATTCGCAACTGCATATGCATTTACGGTATCATTGTTGACTGTGACTGACAAAAATCTGAGCAACTCTATTCTAACAGTTGTTTTAATAAAGTAAGTCAATCTTTCTGAAACTTAAGTATCAAGGAAAACACCACCACCCACTTTCTCAGACCAAGTCATGCTTTTTGTTTTCAGTGTGTAAACAAGAGGAAAAAAGATATTTTTAGATCTTTTGCCCATTAAAGGTCTACTTCACTTTTTAAAATAATTATCTTCAGCTGATACAGCAGAGCAAGAAATAGATATCCAGCACGGCAACAACTTTTACTTAACATGAGGTTTCACAGAACAGACTAGTTGATCTGACAGCCAATTGTCACCAACAGGAACAGTCCTACTTTAATTTTTCCTGCCTTTCAAATAGCCTGTATTTGCCATTGTCACTTTTTTTTCCTTGCCTAAGTTGTCTTCACAGATCTCATTGATGAATTCACAACAGGAACAAAAATATGTATATACAAACTATTATAATATATATTTAAAGCACTGCTCTGCTGGTCTGGTTGGACACATTGGTTCTGCTCTCCCCTGAGAGGCATAAAGAAACAGCATATATAAAATCAGCAAAAAAGAAAAACAGCATGACTGCCCTTTACAGATATCAGCTAGTCACTTAACTGGCTTAGCCATAATGTAAAACCTCACTTCAAAAAACTACTCCAAGCATTTTAAGTGATGGTTTTTTTTACATTATTTAAATTATTTTAAATTTACATTGTTTGAATTTTATTGAATGATAAGGCTTGAAATTGAATGCAGTGGACCTTGCTTAGATTTTTGCATCTGTGATCAATCGCACTTCACAGAAGATTAGAAAGGAAAACATACACTCCTGCAAGGAACCTAGAAATATTTCTGGTGCCTGCAAAAAGGTCTCCAGCCAGTGATGTTTCTGGAAAGAGGGCCTGTGAAATCTCTACAGTAACTAAAGGCTGGAAAACAAGAGCTGATGTGACAAATCAAATTAGAAGTTTGGCTTGGTTAACACAAACCTAGTGATCCTCCCCCTTTGGACATTTCAGAATCACTTGCAATTACCTCCTCATTCCCCATCTCTCACATGAGTAACTCCATTCAAGCCTCTCTTCACTCTCTACAAATGGCTCCTTGGCAATGCAATGGGATGTTTTTCTCACTGACTACCACTATGCAAATGGCAAATCTTTGTGTCTCTTTTGCTAACTATGCAGCTAAGACTGTACATCTTTTTTACTTTTTGAAGGGCAAGGCAAAGCGTGTATGTGAACCATAAGAGGTGGTCTGCAGTTCTCTGAAGAGACAGTAACCATTGTGCTGGTGAGTAACAGGCATTTTTTGGCCAGGATTTCTTTATCACCTAAGAAAGCTTTTAACAGTGTTGTGAACATCCTACTCCAGTATGAACCTTTCCACAATTATCTGTGGCTGTCTTCCCACTCATTCACTTTAACACTGACTGTCATTAAGATTAAATGACTTGTGCCACCAAAAAAACTGAGAGGCTGATGCCAGATGCATTGCAAAAGTGAAAACTTCTAACTGGAGGTTATGCTCAACACTGTCAAAGAAGACAGACCAAAGACAAATCTGAAGTGAGAACTCCTGAGATGTAACTACTTTGTTAAAGTCAATGTTGTGCATTTCTTCAATAAAATTTGTTAAGCAACTGATGAGGTTTGTTCATTCAGATCTTACATTAAGTTATAGGCAGATACCATGCTTGCATTTTCATTAGAGAAAATCCATTTTTCTTGAATTTAAACTGCTGCACTGGGAAATCACTTACCAGGCTGAGAGTCTTCCAAGATAGACGCCAGAGTGCTGCGGATAAGACCTGTCCATTGTTTCTGAGTTTCATCAGTCTTGACTGTTGGAAGAGTAACAATAGTTTTTATGCCTTGAAGAGCTGCAGTGACTGGAGGTGGGACCTGATTATCTGCTGACTTTACTGCTGTTTCTTTCAATACCCTTGTTATCAGAAATAGGATAGTGGGTAAGATTGTCATACACCCTAAAAAAAAAAAGGAAAAAAAAAAAAAGATAAAATAGAATTTTTAAAGTGTGGTAGATAAGCTCTTTGTCTTCCTCAATATGGATGCGTTTGGCTGGAGACAAAGGAGATGAGATAAAGTGCAATTCAGGTAACGGGTGACATGTGTCACTCACCGTTTCATCACCAAATTCATTCATCAGTGCTACTGAAATGTACCATAACACAAGTCATACAAGCCAACAACTGAAATGCTGCTGTCAGTTCAGGATTGATGATTTAGCTATTAAAGCTTTGTCCCACATGGCATGTGATACAAGGTATGTCATCCAGGTTGCTAAGTACCTTTGAGAAGGATCTACACATCACTAGGGTCTTATAAACAGCAAAAATAAAAGGTCTGGAAACAAGTATCCAAACTAAGTTCCTGCACTTTCTGAGTAAGGTGGTGTGCCCCACCTTACCAGAAGCAAAGAAAGGAAGCTGTTTGAGTGTCTCAAATCATGGACAAAGGCTGTAGCAGTTTCAATAACACATGCAGACAGACTTTAAGCCCCTACAGGACTGAAAGAAGAGTGCTGTTGGGTTTAGGCATGCAAAATCCATCTACAGATCACTTCAGACAGTCAAGCTTCTTTCTATATCCCTTCTATGCTTCATTTTCCCACATCTGTGGAAACACAAATCCTGCCATTTTCCTACTTCTGGGAATGCTGTGAGGATAAACACATGAAGTAAAACAATTATGACAGGAAGGGACTGCTCTTTAAACTAACAGTCATTTCTGAGCTACTTGCAGTGGCCACTTGCCAAACGCTGGGAGTAACACCCTCCAGACTACTCCAGACAACACAGATGTAAATATAGTTACTCTTTTTGCCCACCCTCTTTCCCATCACCCCCTCAAAAAAAAAAAAAAAAATCGGGTATTACATAAAAACAGGACATGACTCCAACTCAAAATCTGTTGTTCCTTAAAAAAGTGCAAGGCACAAATTCACAAATTTCTGTTTGGAGACAAGCCATATTGTCTTTTGAGCATAACTTTGTCCAAATATGTTATTTGCAGTGCACCTCATTAGGGAACTAACTTTAAAATGTCTCATCTGTTAGAGTGGGTGAAACTTCCCAAAGATTCTTGAGACAACAGTCAAGCAATTTGCTCTCCAAAAAGCAAAAGTCAAAGAGCACAGCTTCCCATGTAATTGTGTCCTTTACCCATGAACTTCACTCAGTGCAATTATCCCAGCTTACACACATCCTTTGTGACAGTCTTCCTGGGCAGAAGAAAGCTCCATTTAGTTTATAATCACATTGGGAATGACTGACAGCCAACGGCTGCAAGGCCAAGTGTACCACAGATGAATTGTGCTGTTTTTCCCTTGTAGGATTGTCTTTTCTTACAGCTCCTGCTTTTCATGAACTTCTCAGGAATTTAATTATCTCCAAAATGTCTGTGTTGTTTAACAATATGATTAAAAATTGCCCGAAAGGTTTCAAAAGCATGAAAAAAGGGGGGAAAAAAACCAAGAACTAAATCAGATTGGTACAGGGGCTTAAAATCTAAGTGTGTTATTGAAACTCCTACAGCCTTTGTCCACAGAGCTAATTTCCTCAGCAAACCTGCAGCACGCATGCAAACTTACAATCAAATTTCCTTTATGCTGCTCACTGGAAAAGCATGAATTTTCATTTAGTTAATTACCTAAATATTGTTAATGCTATGAATTAAAGCATTCATAGTGATGTATTTACAGTTTGTTTTTAGCATCATAGCCTCACTGTGCTCACACATATCCTGTGACAGTGTCCTACCTGCTGGAGAACACAGGGAAGGCAGGTCAGACAGAATATTAACGGTGGCAGCCACAAGACGAGCGCTTTCCTCAGAGAGGTGGGATTTGGCAGCAACGTGACTCGGAGAATCCGACACTTTTGAACTCAGGTGGGGCATGTGTCGTACTAGGATGAACATCAGCAACTCCATGGCTGCAAAGACTAGAGATTTTCCAGGCACAAGACCACCACTCTCACCTCCCTCTCCTAAAGCAAGAGGATTTTCTTTTTCTTCATTATCATCTTCATCTGAAAAAGGAAAGAAATGTCTGAGGAGACAGTTAAGATGCCACTCCAAAAATGACATGACACACTCTTCACAAAGAAGTTAAGAATCAAGAAGAAAAAGTTGCTTTACAGTAAGATAGGACAAACATGGCTCATGTCAGACTAAATGTTTTAGTTAGAATGACTTAAAGGGGTTTAAAATGCCTTAGAAGTACTGTGATAGCAACAATTTGTTTTCTGGAACTAGAAAACAAATGTAGTCTTGCACAAAATAAAACTACAGCTAATTATCTTGCTTCTATTAAAAATGATCATAAAATTAACAGCAACCAATGACAAATAAACAGTCAGGACAATTTTTTTTTTTAATTTAATAGCTATTAATTAAATGTTCCACTCTGACAAAATCTTATTCTAGCCTAAATTGATTATGAAATAAGAGAACAAAAAAGCACTGTAGGATTCTATGTCTATGTCTAGCTGAGTGTATTCAGTTCAAAAAGTCTCTCTTTTGATGGCAGCTTGGCCAGCTGCAGTCTTTCCTTCTCCCATTAAACAGCAACAGAGAGTCAGTAAGGCAAAGCTGGCCTGAACTACCCCTATAGAGCTCCTATGAATTTAAATGATTGCTACTGTTATCACATTCATCAATCTGAAAAAAGCAGCTTACTGGGCTGACAGTAAACAATTCCATTAATTCATATGAAGGAACAGAGCCTGCATTTTCAGTTGTTCATGCTGGTTCCTCAAGTTCCAGCAAAATTTTCTCCCTGTTTTTACACTGAAAACGGGCAAAAGCTATCAGTTGGGGGTTTTTCTATCAACAGTACATTGTGCCAGATTAAGATAGTAATTTTCCTTAATAAGAGAATATTCTCTGGGGTTTACTTCACTTCTTTCAGGTAACAGAAAATCTGGCAGACATACCCAACTTAACCAGGTGTCAATGAACTATTTCCCAGGTTGCCTCCTGGAAAGTAATTTACCTAGCAAAGATGGAAACAGTGTATCTGATATTCTTTTTAAATGGTAAAGGAATGATTGAACAGGGAGACTCTCTCTTAAAAGGAAGAGGTCACTAAAAGTACCTCAGAAAGTAGCTTTCAGAGTGCTGAGGATCTCCAAGCATAGAGATATGGGCACCTGGGCATCTGCTCTTCTGCTTCACCGCTCCCACAGTGACTAATCTTTCCCTTGTATCCCATCTGGATTTCCACTGCTGTAGTTTATGTACATTGCTTCTTGTCCTTCCACCACCGCCTTTCAGAAGACTCTGGATTGGCCTTGTCTTAAAATCCCCTCTAAGAAGGGGGTTTGCTATTCTATCCCATATTAACCCTCTCTTATGCAGACTAAGTAAGTTCAGCTCTCTCAGTCTCTCCTCACAGGTCACACACTTCACCTCCCTAAGCAGCTTAGTGGACTTCCATTGAACTTCCTTCATGTTTGCCAACAACTGTCTTACTCTGAATGAGGAGGAAGGGCAAAGAAAACTAGACACTGGCATGTGATACATTGCTGTGTCTGGCATGTGATACATGCCAGTGTCTTTTCTAAGACAGCCCAATAACAGAGGTTGCATAGGTCTGCATTGTATAGGGTTCACACCAGAGATTCACACACACAACTCCTCCTCTGGCAAATCTGCTATCCAATCTGTCAGCCCACCAGCCTACACCAATGCACATTCTATCCCAAATGCATGATTTTGCATTTATCTTTGCTGAACTTAAGCAGGTTCTCAGACCTGCAGTTCCAAATTCCCCTTAAAGGCAGCACCACCCTCCTGCACACCCACCACCTGCCCAGTTTGGTATCATCCACAAATTTGCTGAGGGTACATTCTCTCCTGTCTGTCCTGTGTGCTTAACAGTAGCAGATCCTCTACTGATCTCTAAAGAACACCAGTTGCAACCAGCTTCCAGTTAGACTTGAATCACTAAACTCCATTCAAGCACAGCAGTCCAACAAATTATTCTCCTACTTTTCAGTCCACATCACTCAACTTGACAATGATATTGTAGAGTACTGGGTCAAAAGCCTTGCAGAAGTCTGAGTAAACAGTATTCACCACTCCACCTCCAAAAGCAGTTATTTCATCATAGAGGGTGATGAGGCATTAATTGCCCTCAGTAAGTCTGTGCTATTTCAAATCACATTCTTCTACTTCATGTACTAAGAAGTGGTTTCAAAAGAAATTTACTCAGAAACCTTTCAACAAGCACAGCAGGCTTACTGGCAAGTTCACTCAAACCCCACCTCATGTCTTACTCAAAGTTAGTCACAGCAATTCATTTTTGCCATTCATTGAAAAGCTTCCTTGAGCACCACAGCTTAACAAAGATGACTGCAACAAACTTAGCATGCCATCAGCCCTCCCTGAGATGCATCACATCTGGTTCCAGGGTAGGGCTGGCTTTTTTGTGAGCAGTCCCTAACTGGATGCTCACCTGCTGTAGCTAGCACTGCTCTCCCTAGCCTTGCTCATTAGACACAGACACAGGAGGGGTAAGCAAGAAGAAAACAGTGCCTTAGTTTTTCCTCTAGTGTGTTTTGTCATTAGATCACCCAATCCATTCAGCAGCAGTTCCAAATTTCCTCTGCTGACAACGTATCTATAAATGTTGTTCTTGTCACACTGGACATTCATCATCAGTCTCAGCTCCACCTAAATTTCCCAATTCCACTCCTCCATACCCAGGAACTTCAGTAGTCTTCCTTGGCAGCTTGCCCCCATTTCCAACATCCAAGCACTTCCATGTCACATTTGAGCTCAGTCAGAAGTTCCTGTTCAGCCAAGTCAGCCTCCTGCCATGATCATTGTGAATGAGCTTTATTTTGTCACCAAAGATGAACAATCCCTCTTTCCTTTGCCCTTCAGGAAAGCTTACCACAAGATTTCATCTACAAGCTCCCTGAACAAGCCAAAGTCTGCCAAGTCAAGCCAAAGCTTTTGCTCTGCTACTCATTTTCTTTCTTTCCCTTGAAATTACGACCTCCACTATCACATAGCTGGTGCAGCCAGAACTACCATTAACCTTTGTAACCATTTCTTCTGTATAAGTACAGAGCAAATCCATGGAGCCCCATCCTCATCCGGACTGTCCAGCATCTGGACTGAAGAATTCTGTGCTTCATACACTTCTGAGTGTTACCAGTAGCATCACCCTTCCAGCACACAGCTGGATGGTAAAAGCCTTTCATGAGACTCCCATAGCTTGACTGGAATGCTTCTTTGGGTTGATTTAACGTGGCTTCATTCATCTTCCCTTCTTCATTAGGCAAGCTGTGGCTCCTGACTGGTATCACCCTTCACTTCCTTTCAGTGTTATCAGTTCTGATCTGTCAAAGTAGGACAGCTGGCTCCTTTCCTCTTGCCAGATCTCCTCAGTGTTCTCCAACGGGATATCTGGAGATAGAGCCTTTTGTTCCTGGAAGTCACAGTACTGCAGCCACCACCTTCATGCAAGCATCATCCTCCAGGGCCATATTCCAGCATAGTCTATGGCTGTCTCTCCTGAGAAACATGGGACTTCAGCTCCTGCACCTGCAGGACCTCTGAAGAACATTTCATTCCTCCATTCACCTTTCCTGACACCACAGAGTCTGCTCCTTCACAACCTTCACAAGCATTTCCTTCATGTCTCACAGGTGAGACCAATGTCACTTCCAGCTACGGCTGCACAGACAAGCCTCTGGAGCACAGGCACATCAGCATTTTCACCTGAATTTCAAACTGGTCATTAGACCTCTGATGTAGCAGAGGTGATTGTCCCTCAGTCAGCAGACTGTTGTTGTATGTCACTGCCACCATTATGCTGACTCCAGCAGTCCTGTACAGTCTTGAGCAGCACCTCTGGGCAGCATGAGCATGCCTTTCCATGCCAACTGCCTTGCTCCTGTTGCACACCCTGTTCCCAGAGATCCTGGTAGCTGACACGCCCTGAGCGCCCTCAATAAGTGAAGTAAGAACCCAGGTGCAAGTCTGCTCCATTTCCTGGCAAGATCTCCTGGGCAGGCAACTTTCCATACTGGTTTCAGGAGCAGTTCACTCACCTCATGGATGTCAGTTGTGCCAGGGACACATCACAATACCCTGTACTGCTGGCTAAATCATTAAACTTCAGGAAAAAGGTAAATGATGTGCTAAGGAAGCAGTCAGTAGAGAAACATTAAAGAAACTGAACAAGGTATTAAGAAGGGGTGCGCTGTGTATACCTTGCACCACTCTTACTCCAGAAAAATTAATGAAAATCATGACATGAAATGAGAATGATCAGAGGAAGAAAAAATACAGATTACAAGAGTTAAGAAGTCAGCAGGTAATTATGAACACAATCAAAATTATCTCTAGAATACACAGCATTTTCCTCCTCAGTGTAACAATACTCTAATGCAACTGAGTTCCTTTCCCAACATGAAAACCTGTTGCTTATTTACTCTGCAAAGCAAGCCATGTTTACAGAATCTTACTTAGCGTGTTCCTTTTTTCCTGCAAATAATCTTGAGCTGCTCTTACTATCTGCTGGACAACTCCTGTAACCAGCAGCTGGACTGAAGGAGGATCCCAGGTCAGGAGGAGTCGGTGAAGCACACTCAAGAGTTCAACACCAAGGAGCTGCAGTGAAACAAAATACATAGAAAAACATTCATTAGGACTAAACAATTCTTAATTGTTATGTCACTTGCTTATGATGAACAAATACTTTTCTCACACAAAAAATAATTACAGCTCTTGTAATCATCATTGATGAAAGTCCAAGACCTGGAAAAAGCTGATTGTTACAACATGCTCATACATTACCTGATCCTCTGCAATATGGATCCTGGCACAAGGGGAGTCCAATAAAGTATGCAGTGCTTGTAAGCAAGATGTAACATGCTCTACGGGCTCTTCAGGTCTTGGGGAACACAGAAACTGTATACTAACACCTGAAAAGAGCAATAGTTAAAAAAGAATGTTCATACCATCATAAAATCTAGTTTTCGTTTGAATTTTTTTGTAAGTATAGTGGGTTCTTAAAAACTGTAGAAAGACAGCTGTTTTTCTCAATTCGTCCTTTCAATTAAAAGAGAGTCTATGCAGAAGACTTGTATTCACTTCTTCTTCTGCATCATGTCTTCCCCAAAATGTGGCTAAATAATAAATAATAAATTATAGGATAAATAATGCACAGTGACAACAAGCAATTTAAGATTACTGAACAGAAATTCATACTTTGTTCTAAAGATCTGTAAGTCAGAGACATGAATCCTTCAGCTGTAAATTGAGTTTAATTTTCTTGAACTCCTTTAAATGTAAAGACAAACAAAATGAAGTTAAGCTCCAAAAATCATGCAATATTCATCTACATATAGCACTTAATTCCAGATTTAAATGTCTGTATCTCAGCAAACTTCTGGCATTCCTCAGAATAAGAGATTACATCCACCTCTTAAAGCTGTTAGGTAACAACAAAGGGAAACAGTGAATGCTACTCACAGATGAAAAACTGATGCAAAAGCTACTCCATGTGACTTGCTAAATATCACTCTCAGCTGAGCAGTGTTTTATAGGGGTGTGTATTTTAATTAACCTCACAGCTTTTGCATCTTTGAAGCACAACATTTTGTATCACCTGCATTATACTACAGTGTAGAACAGTTCCTACTCATTTTAGTCAATTACATAAATCACAATAATCACACTGATAAATATTCTGTCAAAGCTACAAAGAACACAGAAGGCAGAGAGATAAGAGGGAGGATGAGACAGAGATTTTCAAAACTTTACTGTCCAGACATGTAATGAATTTTAAACTTCACAGATTTCAAGCAAAGTATCTTTTCTCATTTTCATAGTGTTTCATACCATAACATGCTGCTACTGAATTCTAAACTTGTAACTCTTACCCAAAATTAAATGCATTCGATCTTTGTTTATTTCTGGCAAAGATTTAGTGGTAGGTGGAGTCCCAGGTGTCTGGTTTAGCATAATGGATGTAGCACGTTTCTGGGAACTGGGCATTGCTGCAGCAGTCTCTTCTGTTGACTCTGACACATTAAATCCTGTACTGTTCAGCCAAAGTGCCACTGCATGTAGTATGGGAGCCCAGGAGTTTCGGTAATGCAGTCTAGCTGTGTCAATTGTCTCTGGAGTGTAAAATGCTCCTCCTGTTAAATTAACAAAGCAAAGGTAAATTCTAAGATTCTCTGCAAGTAACAGATAAAAAGCATGCACTCAGAATTTGTTAGTGTATTTATTCTGGGTGTGCTTGATCACAAACATAATCAGGTATAATGCTTGTTAGTGACAGTACATTCCAACTCTCCTTCTCTAGTAGCAATATTAATTAGTACCTCTCATGAGAAAGTGCACTGGCCTCAATAAAGCAGTAAGAAGAGAGCAAGAAAGGCAGGCACGGTCATCAGATCTTGCAGCATTTTTCATATAGAGCATTCACTCTTAATCTGTAAAACAATGTCTGCTCTCATCTCAGGGACCATGTTTTTCATACAACCAAAATCTTTTTGCACTTGATACCAAAATATTAGAGGTGAAGAAGTACTCCTTCTTCCACAAAGACAAAGTTTTAATGATCTCAATGATTTGAATAAAGAGTATATTCATTTCAAATTGAAGGAAAGACGATTCAAAGTTAGAAAATACTGCTATTACATGCCCAGGTAGGAATTTATCACTTGCATAAAAAACATGCATACTAATTAATTTACAGAATAATTCTGAATGTCCAGCTACAGTTTCTTTCTGTTTTGCAGAACAGAACAAGAAATTCCAGTGCATACCATCTGGAGGAAGCTGGGTAGCAAACTCAGCTGGTAGAGTTAAAAGAGCATAATCTTTCAGTGCAGCCAACCAGAGCCGGCTCAGTGCCGGCAGTTCAGGCTGTACGAGCGTTATCAAACTGTCTGGTGGCAACTCATCCACGGCACCAAAATCATCCTCATCCTCCTCTGTGCTCTTTGAAACACGCTTGGGTTTGGTTTCTGCTTCTTTCTTAATTTTCATGGCCACGACATACACCTAGAAGTGAAACATGTCAAAGTATGTGCTGTGAGATTCTAAAAAGAAAGGAAAGCAGCAGACTTTCCCATGTGAATGTAAGAGATTCCACACAGATAAAATTCATCAGAAAATTATTGGAAAAAAGAGATTTTTCAATAAAACTCCATTTTATTTAAATCCTTTCTTTTATTTCTACCACTATATATATATAATACTTAGGTTCATAAATGAGACTTTCCAAAAACAATCTGGCCACACACTTTCTTCCCAAAAATGTGTAAATTATAAACACTTGACAGTGTTAACTAACTAGCTGGTTGGCTAGTTAACTAACTGCAATATTCTCCCAGAATATATTTTAAGGTTGTTTGATTTTCACGGTTCTTTGTTTTCTTGTTTGTGGGGGTTTTTTTTCAATTTTAAGAGCAGTAAGATGGGAAGAAATTCAAAATCTGATATGGTGTGAGTGCATATTTTTACCCAGAAAAGTGCAACACAACAAAGAACAACCAAGCCTCAATGTAAATATGGCTCAACAGAGGGGCAGAGAAAGATACTGAGTTTAAAACATCCCAGAGTAGAATTGAAAAAAGTTAGGAGGAAGGCATGTACAGGCAGTATGAGGTATGAGGCCGCTATTACACTGTAAAATGTTTCCAAACTTTGGCAGATTTGATGGTCATGGCTTACCTCAGCCCATGCTTTGAGAACAGCCAGTTTTTCCATAGTAGTTGCACTCTCTCGGTAAAGCTGGCTAGAAGATCCCTTTCCTGCTTGCACTTTATCCAGGGAAGAGACAAGAAGGTTGTGAACTCGGCGGAGATCATTCAGGTCACTTACAACCTCACTTCCTATCCAAGCGCTACATACCTAGACAACAAAGTTTAGAATCACTCTAAACTAGCAAAACCCAACAACCTTAAAAATGAAAAAAAAAATTAAATTAGTAAGAAAATCAAACCAAAACCAAGGACCAGGAAAACTTAGCCATTGTCATCCTGTTTAAGACAAATAAATCAGGTTTTCCTTTTTTTTTTCCTCCCCAGCCATGACAACAGAATTGCTCAGGTGAGTGGTTACAATGGCTATATTTGCAATGCATATTACAAGAGAACTTAAGAGACATGGAAAATACTTTAAAAATTTTTCAATCCTCCATAAATAGGTCATAATGATTTTTTTTATTCTGTTCCCAAGTGTCTGGTCAAATCATTCAGGTAACGAGTCACTGCATTCTCTGCAGCAATCAACAACAGCATACCTTAAAACCCCCCAACATCTCAAATCAATATATAAGGCTCCATACTAGTGGGAAGTTTTCAAATGATTTATGTGAAGAAAACACCTAGAAATTATTTGAAAGATTGAGCTATGATTTGGAACCCACAGTTCTATACCTAGAGCAATCTGTCCACAATGGTGGACAGACATTTGGGTGCCTCTCAACTTTTCATTTGAGTTAAATGGATCCAAAGAGGTACTTAAAACAACAAACATCACATAGACTGACTGCTCCTGACTAATGCTATACACTGGCATTCATCCTCTGAAAGACATTCATGCCAGACATAATGCAGGCAATAGAAGCAGCTTGTGCAGCTGCTTTTCTACACAGAAAAAAAGGGATAAATTCTTTCAAAAGAGTTGCTCTTACTCTGGAGATTATTCTACAAGGATGAGGATCAGAAGCAAAAACACTCACAGAACTCAAGCAGTTCAGGTTTTACAAACTTTTTTACAAACCATTTTTGACCTATCTCAAATTTATTTACTTTGCTTTTAAAGAACCAGTTCCATGAAATCCTTTGGGGAAGGAACTCTCTCATGATCTGGAATGATGGACATATTTAAAAAAAACCAACTTAAACACAAACACTAGAAGTGTCTCAATCAGGTACAGAACAAAGCTGTTGAAAACTTCTCACAAAACTGTTCTTCATTCACAATAGGAATAAGACCAGCTTCAATCCTGCAGCTCACCAAGTCAACATCTGTTTCACTAATGACATAAAACTATAACAACATCCAACTCCTTCAGGAAAGCTCATCTCTGTCCATGTAACTTCTAGAGGGAGTTAAATATCCAAACCTAATCTCCAACCATTTGATCCTGTAAGTGAACACATCTGCTTTGAAATGGGTTGAATAGAGAAGATTTTGACAAATTATAAGGAATATTAAATGTTTTCACACAAACTGCTTCTTCATTTCAACATGCAGAAACATTCTGTAAATCAGGATGAAGATATTTTTTCCTACAAATAGATACCAAGTTACACTGTAATTGAGCAATCCTTGCAAGTTTTGCTGAAAATTAAAAGTGTAAAAGAACAAAACAAAATCACACTCCTGATGACCCAAATTTACTAAACAGAACTCAGAAACACAGAGTTATTTTTAAAACTAATGTTTGCATAGCTAACAAAACTGCTACTTTAAACAGGAGTTTCTTTAGCTGTGAAAACCACATACTAATACAGCTATGTTGCTGATAGTTGATTTAAATGGCAGTACACAAGATCACATGCAGGAAAACAATCCCACACACATTCAGAAAAAAAATATTTTAGCAAACTTTCACTGACAAGTTGTCACTATGATTGTAATGAGAATGCCCAGATCTTCTAAATCCTAAAATAGAGCATTAAACTGAACAGAAGTTTAGTGTTTAAAGGTAAATTGTCAGTAATCCAAACATCTGATCAGACTAAAAGACAATAAATAAACTTCTACTGGTCTCATTAAGCAAAGGGGTTTTTTTCCTTTTTTTTCACCTTTTTTCTTGCAAAACTGATATGAAGACATAGTTAGTTCCAGATACATTTTTTTATGTAGCTCCCTAAAAGGACTTCTGCACATCTGAGAAACAAAGTATATTACTAGGAAACTCAAAATGTGTTGCAAAAACATGACAACCAAAGTTTACAACACCTTCCAGCCATTTGATGCTATTTCTCTTTTGCATCCTTCTTCCAAAGAGAAAGAAAATTAGTTTTGCTTATAGGATGTGAACGTTTTCCACTGTACCTGACAGGCCTTTGCAGTTATATCAGATGGTGTATCTTGGGAAAAAGCTGGCCTCAGAGCAGCTCCAACCTGTTGATAAGAAGAAAAGTTAAAAATCCAATTACAACAGGGACATAGTGGTGTTTCTCTCATCTTGCTTAAGGCTCAAGGACAAGTACAGAACAAGCAAGACAAAATTGCCAAATTTGGCATTGTAGCTACATCCCAAAATTATCCTTGCTGTCTAGCAAACGTTTGCAATAGCAGACTTTAAACAACAACAACAATAAAGCCTTACACTACTTTTTTTCCTTGCCCCATTGCCTTTTTAAGTCTCAACTACCTTTGTGAAATATGTGGTATTATCTTCCCTCTGTTAATGAGTATCCTTTTAATTACTACAGTATCACAGGTGCAACTTCTGTTAAGGATCGATAACCCAATGACAATTTGATGTCCAAAGGAACAGCAATATGAAATTCAATGTTTTTGGTTGGATTCGCATCAAGTCCACAAAGTGACAAATACTGACTGAGAAATGCTTTTTAGGCAGTTGCTATATGGCAATACTTTTCTGAAACAAATGGAACCAAGTCCAAGAGAAAGAAGCAATGGTTACAGCACTACAGAAGGAAGAAGAAAAAGGCAGGAAGTGAAAAGGATGAAAGCCTGCCTTTAGAAGTATTTGGAAAGATCTTGACGACAGAGTAAAAATAAAAGGGGTGAAAGAGTTAAACTACGCAACAAAAAAAGCACAATAATATATCCAAATAAATCTTTAATTGCCCACTTCCCAGTGATATACTTTTGTAGTTTTCATTAGAACAGAAGTACATCACTAATTCCCAAGAAAACTGATTTATTAGCTTAAATCTAGAACTGAGTGAAAAATATTTTCCAATTCTTAGTTCTACAAACTAATAGCCACTTTTACCAAAAATTAAATGTAACTTACATTATTTGGCTTTCAAGTTACTGAATTTTATCAGCTACTAAATTACAATAGCTAGAATGAGATACAAAAATAAAATTTGAAGAGGTAAGTGAGTCTCTGTAGCACATTTTCACACACAGAAGAATTTCCTCACAGCTTTTTTTCAAATAAAAAATGTTCTCAAAGCTAATACTGGCATATTGGCATAAATACACTATTTCCTGAAGTTATGAAGGAGGTCTCACATTTGCCTGATACTGCTCCAGTATCACATGGCCTGGAAACTCTGGCTCGGGAACAGATGCAAATTTCTTGATGATGTCCTCAAGAGCCTGAAGCCCCGCCATGCGCAGCTGGTTGCTGTGGTCTGTGGCAGCCATGAATGCCATCCGGATAAGGTCAGAGAGATGCAGCACCAAGAAGTCATCTTAGAACAAAACAGAAAGAACTATCTAGTAACTTAAAAGATAGCTAACATGATGAATACTTGCAGTATTTTCTTCATTGACATGCATGAATTTTACCTATTTGTTTTCAAAGGTCCACATTTAATGCATGGAAGAAGCAGGAATGAATGCAACCTAGTTTTCTTTCTTGTTTTCCACTTTCCCTCCCCCCACAAATTCATTCTGTGGCTTTTATTCCTAAGACAACCTTAAAAACTGAACAGAAATTGTGTAGAATGAAGTATGTAAATGTGGCTAAGTAGCTTAGAATATATTAAAACATTTAGTAAAGCTAATTTGAATGATCCCCCAAACATACAGAAAATCTTCAAGGCAATTCCTGCTCCTGCTCGAGTCCTATGCTTACAGTGACCCCTGCTGATGTCAACACCTAAATCTGAGTATGCCTCTGGTTCTCCTCCCAAAAACCACATGCAAGGCTGTAAGCATGCAGACAAGCAAAATATATAGCCTGGTAACATTTCTGAAAGGCTTATTCTTCTCTAGGTAGTCATTTTATTGTTTTTCTTACTCTCAATTTGAAATTATCACATGTTGTACAACTAACATGAAAATAAATTATTTAACAACATCCACTGTGACTAATGAAACCCACAAGTTGCCTAAGCTATTTTCAAGTCTCAAGGTAAAAAAGGAAAATGTTTTCGTGGCTGAAACTTTTCAGAGATGAATCAGTAAAGAAAGACTGAAAATCACCTCCAAAGTACAGTGATAAAGTCTGCACTTACTTTTTCAGACCATCAGAGACAACAGTAAAATCTGTAGAAGCTACATTTGGGGGGGTACAGAATTTTGCTGAGTTTTCCTTTTTACAATGATACCAAACACATCAAAGTTCACTTCAAATAAATAGATAAAATTCTCCATACTATGATATGCAATTCTCTGCAGGACCCTATAAGCAGCAGTTATTTCATTATTTTCTTTGTAATGCAATGCCATGACATAATAAACTTTCCTGAAATTGTTCCTTCCTAGTCTTCAATGGCCTTGGCCTCAAACCAAGTCAAAAACCAGATTCTCACAAAAGCAATGCACAGTGCTGGAACCAGGCTGCACTAAAGCAACACAGGCAAAGACCTGATAACTCTCCGTATCATAACAGACATCCTCAACAACACAGACACCAAAATCCATTAATGTCACACATTCCAGGATGCTCACAATATTCATCCTACATACACAAAGTCCTCATGAGCAGGTGAACCCAAACAACCACAAACAGGGACAACCCAAGGACAGACACCTCACACTATCTGAAAAACATTTCTTCACAAAACTACTATGCCATCTAGGACCTCTCAATTTTGATCCTCTAACTCTTAAAACTATCTTTGGAACATGAGCTTGAAAACTAAGATTTATCACTCTCATGGATACCAAAAGAACAAACCTTATAAAGTCTATGTCTTTTTATAACTCCCTCCCACATCCCCCTCCCTCTGCAACCAATGCCGTGGCAACAATTACCTAGCTTGATCCCTTCTTTTTTTCTTTTCTAGCATCTAAATCTTTAGATTGGAGATGCTAAAATAATCTCAAGTTTAATTCACTGCTGTCATTACATTAAACTCTGAAAACACTCCCAGCTTGCCCTTAGCTAGAAGTTTATTGCTTCTGTTTCAGAATTGAGAAAACCCTTGCATCTCGATGGTTTTTTCCCCCTTAAGCAGACCAGTCTTTCAGAACTGGTATGTTCCAGAAAACCTCATTCTTTGTGCTCATGGCAGTGTAACTACAGTGGTTATAAAGACACAGTTTTATTGATTATTGCTGGGCATTTCCTTTGGTTTTGACCATTTAAATGAAAGAATATGTGCTTAATATTTTTTTTCTCGGTTGTGTAATCTTAAGCTGTAAAGAGGTGCCAAGATGAAAATAAAAAATTAAGAAAAAAACCAAAGCATGCAATTACTTTTTGGGTTTTTAAGTCTGGCTGAACGAGCCAGTGCCAGGTCAAAGTGAGCCTTGTTGGCATTCTCACACAGCATGATCACCCGGCACAGACAGTCTGCCGCAAACACGCGAGTGGCCCAGCGAGGTGCCACAGAAGGCTTGGACTTGTCCTCTTCACCCAAGGTGGTAAACATTGTGTCATCATCCATCTCATCCTTCTTCTCCAGCTCCTCATCCTTCCCTCCTCCCAAGGGAGCAGCAGTGCTCATGTCTATGACAGAACAATTAAAAGGAATAGAAACATGCCACTGTTAAAATCCACAGAAGGCAGTTAAGGACATGAGCTCAAGCCTTTCCTTGTATTAAGATTCAGAGCAGATTAATTCTTCTGTAGAAACATTTGACAAATGTCCAAAAGAAGAGTGCATCATTAAAAGAAATGGCTTTTACCTCTGTTCTGGATTAAATTACCCTTTATTTATCTTACATGTTATGAGATTAATTCCTGTGAATATTAATTCTCCACAGTTACCAACTATAGCTGAATCTCATATCTAAATTGCCCAATTTTGTAAATTAACCAATTAAATTGCCAATAAACAAGATAAGGCTCAGAATTAAAAGAATTATCAGGCTCAGAATAAAAGAATCAGCTCAGCTTTGAATTATTCAGCTCCCACTTCAAGTGGAAGACAAAAAGAAAATTAAACTGAAACAAAATTACCAAGCTCCGTGCCATGGGACAGCTATGCAGCCCAGTAAGCCACTGATAGCACCTAAAAATGTGACTAACATTCAAAAAGTTATTTTCTCTAAGTGTAGGTTAGAGACTTCATTTCAGAAAATAAAAATTATTTCAGAGATTACATAAAAAACCTAAAGGCGAACATGGACCAAAAAATCCCTCACCAAACAGGCATATATACTTTTGCTATTCACAAATGAAAACATAAATCCTCAGTGACAAGGTCTAAACTAGCAAAATGCCAAAATACTGACAAAAATACCCCAGCAATAATTAGAAGAGAATTAAAGGAAATTATTGCAATGCATGCTTCTTAGAAACTAAGGCATGCTTCTTAGAAAGTCTAACTTTAAGCAACTGAAGGGCCAAGACATCCAATAAAGAAAAAGGCCATGGCAAATCAAACATGGATGATGCTAATGCATAACAACAGCCTTTTGAGAAGGCATCCAGGACCTTATGTGGCTGATTTGTAAATCTCTGCTTAAAAGCAAACCACATTTTGGTCATATGCCAGTTAGCGGGATCAAAGGAGATCAAAGTGAAGTTGCTGGCTTACAATACACCTGAGAGAAATTCATTTAAATATGGTTTTCTCTGAGACATGTCACCTACTAATAAATAAATAAGAAATTGGACAACCACGTAAAAATTTTAAGACCCATCCCACATGAAATAACAAAAAGCCATGCCAATTTAAAACTCAGGAAATGAGGTCTTTCTCACTGGGCAGATTTGTGGTAACCACATTGCATAAAGAAATTATTGGTAGCATTACTCATCAGTAAATGTAAAGCTGGCAGCATTTAGAAACAGCTTCAGGATGAACTCACACATGCCAATAAACAAGTATAAATGCAATGGAAATGAGCGGATTCTGCGTCATAACCATCCTACAAGCTGAAAAACAGGAATAAGGTCTCAGAGGACAAAGTCTGTGCAAACAAATCTGCAAGGCTAAACAACAAACAAAAATTTCATCACCATGGTAACCCAGCATCACATCAGTAATTCATGAAACCTCATAAAAGAAAGCTCAGAATGTGTACAGAGGTCTTCTCTCTGTACAATCCTGATGTATACAGGCTAAAAAGGATGTCTGCTTTCACTAAGATACCGAAATGTCAGACTTACAAACACCATTCTTCTCCATTGGAAATCCTACTTCAAGCAGCTAACTTTTTACTTTTACAAGTAATATTCTGAAACTTAACATCTATAATTCCTTCTTTCTATGGCAGTTTAATGGCACTACAATCAAATTCTGTATACAATATAACCTGCATCTCAACTAGGATAAAAGAGAAGCTCCAAACCAATATTGCCAGAACACACTAATGCTAAGGACACGGCATCATTTATATGAATGAGACAGAACACTTACCACTGGAAGCTGCAAGGACATCCTTACAAAGCATGAGCCAGTGAGAAAGGTTTTCCACTGCCAGAGATGAAAGCATGTGTCCCAGAGTGTCGTGGATATCTGAGCAGAGTTTCCGATCGGTCTCTCGATCCAGCATCCCGAACAGGACGCCCTCCAGGCCCGTCTCTGTTATATTAACCCCCTGATGCCGGCAGTGCGCGTCTCGCCGAGAGCCAGCCCCTGGTGCAAAAGGATTCATGTCTGCAAAATGAGAAGGAAAAAGGCTTTTCTAAAATCAGGAACTCAGCTTTAAAATTTCATGCAGCAGACTTGAACTGGTCACTGTGCGCCTGTGTGTGTATAGCTCAAAGATCATCAAGATGCTATTGATATTTTTCTGAATCAACACTAGAAAGATTCCAATACAGCAATTAATTTCATCTGCAAGGCAAATAATACCTCCAAGTGTTAGTTAAAAAAGTAAAAAAACCCTCTCCTCAGGGCATATAGCCCATGAATTTGTAAAAAACCTAACAGTACTGGACTCTAAAGACTCTTCTCAGAGGCAGACATCACTGGTATCATTTGAGTAAGGTCACAATCCTGCATGTGTATGAGGACTGTGCTGATCAACACTGTTGAGCCTCCTATTTTCAAAATAAAATGATACATGTAAGAATTAGACTAGCCAGCAAAGTCCACAGGCACTGCAGATATGATGCTGACAGAATATAACACAGCCAAGCATCTGGATCAAACAGCACACCATTAAGTCAATTTTCAAAATAACAAGAGCTATAATACCAGACTGTAAAATAACTCTGAAATAACTGTAAAATGCTTCCAACTGTGTATATACCGTGTTCTCTATTTGATTGCCAGCCTTAATGAGACAGAGAGAGAATTTTAAGTCTGAATTTCACAAATAGTTGAATTACAAACATGATTCCAGAGGTAAAAGCAGAGGTGTGGCCAGAAGTTACCAAAGTCAGAAGGGACAGTTAAGGGTTTTTCTCACTAAGAGTACAAGGGGATTTTGGGCGTCTCCCCTTTGTTTTTGAAGGCAAAGCACACATATGCACACATGTGCATTGTTTCAAAAAGGCCACATGAAAGAAATACATACTGATGGCACTGTTCTCCTTGTCTCCAGCGTTCTTTGCCAAGCTCATGGCATATTCACACACTTCTGACGCTTCCCTCTGAGCGAGCTGCCGCAAACACGCCACTGCAGCCCGGCGCAGCAGCAAGTGAGAGCTGCACAAATGGACCTGAAAGTCAAACCCACCACACGTGAGTGAACTGCAGCACCCCAGTACCAATAAATCAATGCTGCTAAGGACTAAAAGCATTCCATTTTTCAGTTATAAGCCCATGTGTGAGCTGCTGGGAATCAAGTTCTGAAGGTTCAGAAGTAAGCACTTTTCATAATATACAAATATCAAAATATAGCTGACATACACAGAGCTGACAGCTGTCTGGCTAAAGAGATAAAAGCTTAAATATTGGAACTACTGTGCCAGTGTGATTTAGATTAATTACAGTTTCCGATTTGTTACACTCCAGTACTACTCTGCCTCATATTCTGCTATAGCTGCAAATCACTTTCTTTTAAACAAAAAAGCCATTATCAGGTGCACTGCGCATGACAAATATAATAAAACCTGCAATTCCCATTAGTAAGAGAATCTATAGCATGAAGTTATTAAAAGTGCCTCTCAATAACACAGCAGAAGATTTCTTTGCTAATTCCTTTGAATCACCTATAGCACAAGCAAATATTTTCCTTACAGAAGAATTGTGTATGGTGTCTATTTTTCTGAGAGGAAATAGCTCCACAGAAAAGTGAACGTTTTTTCACAGTGAAAGAGGTGAAGAGTGCCCTTTAAGAAACTCTAACTCTTTATTTACTCCAGGGTAATTTGGTTTCAATAAACCAAATATCCATTTGCTTTCTTGGTATTACATTACTATGGGGATGGAAAATGCTTCCCTAAATGAAAGGGTTCTACAGTTTATAAAGCATTTTAACAGTACATCTTTATTCCACATATGAATATACAAGAATTTAGTCCTAAAAACACAGGCAGTCTTTAAAGAATTTCTAAATATCACAACTGAGGTTGTTTCAATGACCTAAAACACAGAACATTTGGGAGATTTATTAATGTAAAGGGTATTCCATGATTCAAGCTACAAAACAAATAACTACAAGTTACGAAGCCAATGCAGGAAGAAGAAATTAAAATGAGAGTGTGGAACTGCATGGTTTAATTTTGATACCTGGCATTAATTCCATTCTGAAGAGTTGGCTAATGGTGCAGGTAAGGCAGACCTTGCCTACATAACTATGCATTTGCAGTATGAAGAAATGCCCAAGACAACTCAGAGGAAATCCTAACAAACTAAGTATAACTTGAAAGTAAGGAATATGAGAAAGGAAAACAAAAATAGCTTTCATTTAGCAGAAGACCATAAACTATCAGGAGAGAAACAGGAGAAAACCATGGGAAAAAGTTTCAAAACAGCACTAATTATTCATGTATGAACTTCACTGTCTGTAACATCATCCACTGGCATTTACAGAGTAAATGGCTGTAAGGATTATCTCTCCTGATGTACATCATATTCTTACAAAAGAGCTTATCTCCTTCTGGGTGTGCTGCAGCCCTTTCATGCAAAATTTTGTGAAGGGACAAGTGACGGGTTCTGTAAATACACTGCACTCCCAGGAGTGCTTGGGGCAGGGTGGGGCTTGGGTGTGCACAGGGCTGAGGAGAAGCACCTAATCATGAGAGGATGCCCTAGGGAAAATCTGGATAGCATACTAAGAAAAAGGTCCAGTGTTGACATAAGTAGGATTGCATTCCTTCAGGTAACACTGAGTCATCAGCACTGCAAAGAATGGCATAAACAAGCTTGCAAAACATCTAATAGACATTAGGGAGAAGCTTTTCAAATATCTCAGTATTGGACTACTGAACCCTCTTAAAATAACTTTTACAATACTAATTACTTAAAAAAAACCCCCATCAACCTACACCAAAACCACACCCACACCACCTTTCCTCTTATATTCATATTTAGTATGTTTTGGGTTCAAGCCTTTGACTTACTTCCAGGCCTAAGCCAGGACTTGCTGACAGAACAGTAATGAAAGAAGGTGGCAACATTAACAGCAGCAGCACAAGAATTTGTATGTCAGCCCCTAATTTTCTGACAGTGGTAACATAAATCCAACATCTGCTACCTATTCCCAGCTTGCTCACTTCCCTCTTTGCATACAAGCAGCTGGAGCAAACAGAGCATTTCAGAACCTTTTTTACTCAGTTATATTATTCATAAATGCTTGCTATCTTCACTATTGAGGGTGAAAAAGAATCAGCCCCCATAACTTCAGTTTGGACAGCATTCTGAAAATATGTAAAATAGCTTGGGGACTCCAGGGTTTTTAAAAATATTACTTGCTTATTACACATGGCTATCCTTGACATCTTGCTAAATATTTTCCCTGTCCTCTGCTAAGCACATGCCTAAAACTTGGAGGACCAGAAGGGACGCACTTGATACTCACACAAAGACTGGGAACCAGACTGGATAGGTTGACATGCCGTGGTGCAAACATATGAAGCTGCTGAAGGCAGGATATAGCAGCTGCCTGAACAAGTGAGTCTGAATGGTCTTGTGTGATTGCACATCCCACCAAACAGGAAGAACGGATTGTTGAAATCGTAGCTCCGTTACCTAATCATGTAAGAGGATATCCTTAACACAGCAAAACTTTTCTATCACATCTGCAGACTTTTAACCTTTGAGAAGCAAGAACTACTGAAGCTTCAATAACACAAAAAAAGAGTTCTCAAATTAACATGCAACTTTTCTGATTTACCATGCAAATGAGAAACACTGCAGAGTGTTTCAGTATTTCTTTTTTAGCTCAGTTAAATAACATGCTGTCCAAATAAAATTCTGGATCGATAATCTCCAGTCAGAAATACTGTGAGACTATCTTCTCAGGTCATGAAACCAGTTAATTATCTGAAGTTAGATTTTAAAAGTCTCTTTCATTCTATATATGTATAAGCAACATTTCACGCACTGAGCCATTTCCTAAAATATCAGGTAACTCTTTAAGTTCATATCTATCTATGCAGACAATTTTAATTAGCTCCAACAGATGAGCAGCACTCATCTATGCTCTACTAGAACAAGCATTTTAAAGGAACAGTATTTGATTTGAAGAACAATTCTGCTTTTTAAGAATTAACCCATATCAGGTTTATAAAAATATTTTCAAGTACAGAAATATAACCTGCAGAAGACATTCTACTAAAGTTGTTATTTTAAAAGTTAACCGTATTCCAGGTCAAAAGGTTAACAGATACACAGGTTCAATTAAACCATCTAGAACTATGTCATAATTAAAATCTTAAGTCTAGCCATTTAGAGTTAATATTCCATTAGTGGCTCTCTGGCATTCTAGACCAGAGAGATCAAAGACCATCCTATAAATAGTCCTAAAAATCCCAGTTAGACAAAGTTACAAATCTGTGGTTTTAACATCTGAGGCACAGAATTTCAGACACAGTGTTCAGCATGACAAGATTTTAAGTCTCTACAATAAGGTCCAGAGATCTAAGGATATCAAGAATGAATGGAAATTAGTTATAGTTCACAGTATCACCCATTGTATCAAACTTAAGCTCTTGCCATCAGTTTAAAATAAAATAAACACATCTTAAAAAATGGAGGAAAAAGCTTGTCTGATGCCCCACAAAGATACACACAGTAAAATATGCAGCAAGGGTTCCATGGCTTACCTACCATGCAAATTTATCATTAGCCAAAACACCATACATCACTGCAACTTCTTTATACAAGTCTCAAACTGCAGTCAAAAACCCCCAGGCAGTCACAAGGAGGATCAGCATGAGGTTGTTTGCAGGACTGTAAATGAAACAGCCAACACTGCCTCCCCCACCTGTAACTAACAAAAACTTATATTCCTCCATTTAAGGTGGTAATATCATCTTTATACAAGGTAGAGTTTCTGTTTCACATCAAATTGCCACTCACCTTGCAGCTCAGGCCCCACAGTGGTTATTATAGCCCCAAGGCACCTGCCCAGGCACTGATGCACCTCTGTGTGTGATGGTGGGACAGTCAAGAGCAGGGTGAGAACGAGCGACAGCGTCGGCTCCACGTACCCACGGTACATTGGTCCACTGGAATCCACGATCAAGGCAAGGGAATGGAGAGACCAGGTCTACCACAAACACAAAGGAATGTTTTTCAGTAATGCATTCAGGAAATTAAACAGTTTTTTATGCAGTTGGAGCCTAGCTCTGTACTCCTGTTCTTAAGCACATCTAATTTACTACCCTGACTCCAGAAGTGTTTCCAAATTTCCCAGACCTCAAGCAATCACCTGAGAGTTTAAATACATCTAACATATTGTTTGGTTATCAGCAGTTCTGGGGATAATGAAATAAGGTAACAAAGAATTTGAGAAAAAATATGCTTAAGAACTTCAAAGCAAAATACAAGCACAAAAACCACATCCACTTAAAACAAAAAGGAAAAAAGAAAAGTGACTTGGAACAGGAGAAAGAGCAAATCATTCCACTATAAAACTGGAGGCAGAGTCTGAAATGGGCAGCTTACAAAGCCCTTAGCAGAGATGGTCTTTTATATTACAATAGGAAATGATTTTCATGACAAGCTGAAAGGTTCACATGCATCTTTCTAACTTTCTCATTAGCAGGTACAAGAGAAAACAGCAGTATTGTTCAGTCAGTGTACTATAGCGTGAGGGGAAAAATGGTGAAAGACAGACCTGTTTCAGTTGAAGGTGAGTAAACAACAAAAGAGCAAAGTAATTTATTGTAATTGTCAAAGCAAGAAGCAGGTAAGAGGACTATCCTTTTAGATACTGACATTTCACTGGAAATAAATTCCACTGACAGACCTGAAAGCATTAGCTATCTCCCCAAAACACCCTACTCAATGATCTTACTTCAGAATTTTCTCACATTAAACACATGACTAAGATAAAAGACTATTACTACTACAAAGCTAGACTCTTAGGAATAAGCTGGAAAACCTGCCTTTAAAATTGCTGCTTTTTAATCCTCTGATGCAATCCAAAAGCCATTAGCAATAGCAATCATCTAACTACCTCTACAGTCCTAATCCTGTGGTAGCACATTACAGCTTATCCTTTCATTCCTGTAAACTTCCATTATTCATACTTCCATACAGTTTCTGTGTAACCACACTGATTCAGTGAGGGATGAGGTTTAAAAGCTTAGTTTTTCACAGTGGCTGGGTGCTCTGTTCTCAACAAAAAGTAAGGTAGATATGCAAGTTCAGCCTGGACTTCCCCTTTATACTTATTTTTCTTTTTTTTTTTTCATAAAACATTAACCTTTCCAATTTCTTTTTGGAATTACTGGTGTACAATTATATGCCTCAAATTACCCACTCATACTTGAAGTTGGTTACATATGTAAAATGCACATTGTCTTTCCTTAAACTAAGAAAATTCAAAAGAGACTTAAAGTTGTATTTATAGATTTTTTTTAACAATATCTCCAAAACTGGGCTTGTCTTCCCAACTGATAAACCCTGTAACTTTGATTTTTTTTTTCCTACTGCTCTGAGGAAAAGAAATAAGAAGCAACTCAAGTGCATGTTCTATCAAGTTAACAGTAAACCAAGGTGTAAGTATGATTCTTTGTAGTTTCTGGGGGCTTCATCTTCTCAGGCTGTGGGTATAAAGTGCCACTACTCTCCAAAACCATTACTGTTTCAACAGCATGTTTAGTCCCCTTTCTACTATACCAGCAACTTTAGCAGTCAAGTTGTCTTCCTGTGAGACTTCACAAACCTATAGTCCACAGCAGATAGAAACCCCTCCCTGTCTTAGACTTGGCTCCCACTGATTCCCTTTCTGCCCCCTAACTGCAATTTAGCTTGCAACAGATTTCTGTGTTCATAATGTAACCCTGCAAAGATGATGTCCTGTGTATGTGATACCTGACAAAGGAAACTACTGCTCATCACCTGAGACCCCAGTAAGTGATTACATGTCAGCCATCAGCTATTAAAAGCTTCCTTTTAGGCAGCTAAGGCAATACTAACACATGTTGCTGTAAAGGCAGTTTGGAATATGCCCACAGTGCATCACTCTGGCACAGCTGACAAGCAGACACATGTCCTTCTGAATTAACCTGACCACTTCCAACTACCTCTCTAAATTGCCATGAAGTTACATTTTAATTACACATTGGGATTCTGTACTCTGGGAGTTTGTAAGAAAAGATTCACTTTCTTCACACTCCCTGGCACATGCTACACATCTTACATGTGACAACATCTACTAAAGAATATCTGAACATGTAGCTTAATTTTTATTCTTCATCTTGAACATTTTAAGTAATTTTGTGGTGATTGTTGTTTTTTTTTTACCTGGACTTCAGGAGAGGTTCCATCTTGTGCCAAAGCCAAGAGAATACTGACACTAGTTTTCAAATGCTGTCCAGAACCTATTCCACCAACATAACGATGGAGACAGCCCAGAGCCAAGGAATGGCCTGTTCTTGATACAACATCTCGAGCAGATTTTAACCTATCAATGTTTAAATATAAAGAAATCACTTCATTAGGTAAGTTTGTTACACAGAATCTTAGAAGTACCACAAGAGTGCAAAAGACTAATAGTTTTGCAGGCCATCTTACAAAATCTTGAGAAGCCTAAACAACAGCAAAAACAATGTACTTACTCTAGATTGCTATTAATCCAGGTTACATATAAAGCAAGTGGAAAAGAAGGTATTTTAATAATTATTTTCTTTTTTTCTGGTCAGAACTTGACCTTTTACATGAAGAAGAGTTTAGACAGATATAGAAAAAGAATCCAGATTTTGCAAGTGTTTCAGAGCAGACTAATTTAATAATCATTCCAAAACCACTGATGTAAAAAGGAATTAAGAATAAAAAAATGACAACACACACTGAGAAATGAAAAACTGGCAAATCCAGTTTTTTTATATAGCTGTTAACTTCTACAGCTGATTTTTATGGCTTTTGCAAGAGAGCCTTTTTATTTTTTTAAATAAAAAGCCTTTTATAATGAAACTGAAACAGAATGAGTTGCATTTTGAATTATTTGATTGTAGGAAGTTGTATGCATTGACTTATTGAGTATTTTCTACAATACTGCTTCTGAGTGCATGTCACATACATCACTTAGTAATTAGAACCCTTTTCAGTGGGTGAGGAAGAGAGATAAAAGAAGGGATTTCCTAATAAGGACAAAGATTTTTTCCCCAGGTTGACTGTATATGAGAGACATGCATGCTCTCGGCCATCAGCGAACAACAAAGTAAATGCACATCTCAAATATAAAAAAAATCACTTGACTGTCAACAGAATGACAACCATTAACAACTTAACAACTTAATCTAGATAAGAAACCAAGGAAAGTCCCAGTAACAGAAATTCAATGAAAGACAGCAAGGATGATGTACTTTATTACAAGATGAAAGGGTGAGAAAAATTTAACTACTCAGAGGTAGGAGAGCTGGACTGAGGCCATGCTCATGCACCTGGCCCAGCCAAAAACATGGGCTGCAGCCCTGAGGCAGCTGCATTCTGATTCAGAAATATGCTGATGCCTTAAATTTAAGTAAGAAATTGGGAAACATACTATATTGTTGCTTCTACCAGATATCTTTCTAAAGACCCAAGACAAACAATAGAATATGAAAAAAAATACAGGCCAGTAAATCAGTTAAATCAATGTGTAAAGAGTGAAACAGAATCACTATTACATAATTGACATTACAGACATACTTAATGTAAGCTGTGCTAATCTATCTGATACAGTTTAGTCACCTTCAGGTAACTCCTCAAAAGCTGTTCACCAGTGTCATTTCACATTCCAAGTTTTTAACAATTCAGCTTTTATTCCTCACATGAAATAAATCCAAAAGAGAAGAATCTGTTTAAAGTTTTCTTAGATCCATGTAACCATAGGGATCGAGCACAAAAGAAGAGAATAATGAATATGGTATTTAGAAAAGGAATCTTCCAAACTACATTCAATTACATATTATATTAAATTGCTATTTTATTTCATTTCTGAATTAAAATCAACTTACTTATCAAAGCTGTACTGAGCCATTCTAGCAATGAAAGAGGCTTCTCCAACCACTTGAGCCATTCTGCCAAGAGCTTCACCTGCTGCACATCTCAGAATAGGGTTAGGATTATCAAGGGCACCCATTACAAGCGTCAAAGCAGATTTGCGGACTTCTTCTGGTCCTAATGTGCTTTTATTCTCAGCTAAACCCTACAGCAAAAATAAAAATTAAAAACAAAAAAAAGAAGAAGAAGCATAATCCAAACATCCCAATGTAGGGGAGAAGAAAATATATTTGAAACCATCAAGTGAAAACTATGCACTTTTGCTTTTGTTTCAATTTGTGGTAGCTCATTCTAAAACAAATTGGTTGAAAACATTTGAAACTCAAAATCAACAATAAATCCTGGGTCTCATGATGTTTGCCAATATTCTACCTATTTCACATACAGGAAGACCTGCTGCACCAGTCTTTTTTATCAAATGTATTACCTACATGCACCCTAATCCTACCAAATCTGATCTAGCTTTACATGGGACACCTCAGGAAAAAAAAAAAAAAAAGAAGCTTTAAAAACCTAACAGCAAAAATCTAATAGAAACTACAGACCGGTTACATTTCTACAAGAATCACTTAAATTGAAGACATTATAGATACATTAAAGTATTTTTTTCTGTATAATCACATCCTTCCAAACATTTATACAGCCCTTTATATTAACACTCACCAAACAGTAACACTAAACAGCACTTCTGCACTTTCTTTTACTCTGGGAGAAATAATTAAACACATGTAAAGCAAAAACACTGCATGTACTATAGAGCAAGAAGTCAAAGGCTCTACCTGAGATCATAATTTTCTGAAGTCCTCACTTCAGCTCAATTTTGCCCATTTTTTGAACACTTGGCATGGCATGGGAGCTTCCAGAAATCTGCCTCGGAATCTACATTTCAACTTGTAGCATTGTAAATCACGTTTTTAAGAACAATGCAAAGAAACAGGTGCTGTTTTGCCAATCAACCAAAGACATGGAGCTCCAGTAACAGCTTAAACTGGGCAGTCATTTCTGACTTGCTCTCTTACTTTCTGACTTGATAGCACCAGGTTGCATTTCCAAGTCTAGACAGAGAGCACACAGCAGTAGCTGCAGTCAGTGGGACTGGGCATAGGCACCTAGAGCTCTAAGCAATAAGGCAACCAAAATGTAAACCCAAAGCTATTTGTGTATTCAGTTACACAAGCCACATCTGCACAATACTCTGTGACTTGAGGGGTTTTCTGAGTATACATGATAAAGTACTTAAATCCGTGAGTCCAGTGTAAATAAAACCAGAGGACTGAAGACGAAAAGACAGTCTGATTACTATAGAATGCTGAATACTATAGAATGTTGATGATTGTAGAATGCAGTCATGAGCCTCATCTGTTCTCTGTACTGATACATGAAGACAAGAGCTTAAGCTAGTATCCAGAAAAAAATTCAATTCTGGAACTTTCAAATTTTTGAATTCTTGAGTAACTTTAGTAACACTCTTCTAACAGCCCTTTGTACTGAATGCAAACTGATGAACTTGGGCTTTCATTACAAGTTTACAAGTCCTACCTTCAAGGCACTAAGAACAGCAGTAAAGATATTAAGCTGCACAGCTTGCTGGCGAACACCTTTAGCCTGCTTGACACATTCAGCAAAGTGATCCAACATCTGTAATCTAAAACAAAGGAAAGAACATAATTGAAGTGATAGCCTTTCAAAATACAAACTGAAGCACAGCTGGTAAAAACCACACACAACAAAAGGGCCTTTTAAGTTCAGTAGCAGAACATATGCTTCAGGGGCTGCAGAAGGTATTTGCTATAAGTAATAACAGCAGAGCTACTCTGAACATCCCTTTGCTGGTTCTTCTAGTTCATCCACAAATATTTACTATTCCTTTGAAGAAAACACCTCCAAGAGGAAGTGAATCCTCAGGTGCATTTGTCTGTATAACTATAAAGCTATGAGGGCCAGAGTGGAAAAATGCTGTCTTTCCACTATGATTTAAAATAGTGTTACCCTTCATATTTATTTTTCTCTTTCTATTGTTTTTCCCATTTAACATCCATTCCGGCCCCCACTCCTCCCCAGAAAACATTACTGGGAGGAGGAACATCCCCTTGAAGATACCAAAACCAGGAATGTAATGAATAAACTGCATTCTTAATTACTCAGCAGCTCCCAAGCTACATCTTTTCACCATCAACAACAGGTATAGACTAAGATGAATTACACCAAGCTGGTCTCAAGTCTATCCTGCACTTACTAGAAAATGAGGTTGACTGCTATGAAAAAAACTGCTCCCAAAAGATTTGCACTGAAAGTTGATTTTACTTTGAAATGCTTCTTAGAACTGTTTTCACTCTGTGCTCAGGGACAAATTGCCTAAACTGAGCAACAAAATTAGTCCTGACAACTCATAACTCTGTAGAGGTAATGTGAAACACAAAGGAAAATACGTTGAATTCCATTTCCTCTTTTTCATTGTGCATACAATTCCTTGCTGACTATAAATCAAATGGTCTTACTTATGGCAGCCAAATGAAATTCAGTGGAGGCCCCTGCTGTTTTCAAGGTTGACTTGAAGTTAATTGCAATGGGTACTTTTACATGAAATTTTGGTTGCAGAGATATTACTACTGTTAAATGCAGTATGAAAAGAGAAGAATCTAGTCTCCATCTCTGAACACTAATTTTCAAAAAGATAAAACTGAGGAAATCACTTTATTTCTAAAGTGACTACGCACATTCTGGAATCCAGAGACACAATGGGCATCAAATACTAAACTCTTAATTTAAAGACAGTTGATACCTTAGTCAATTCTTATTTCAGGAAAAAAAAAACAAAGAAAATAACAAAGTCTCCAACACAACAGTACCCAGAGAAACAAGGCATTAGGTTCTGAAATTAAACACTGATGTAAACTGACCTATGTTTGTAAGAGACATGAGGAAAAACCACACCAAAGAGAGCCACAGATGCATCAATGACAGATACTCCCAAAGGAAGGGGACCAGGCACAGCTTCACCAGCAGGGATGCGCAAATAAATGGAAGAGGGATCATGTTCCAGAGCACCACTTCCAGACGCACTGTTTGGCTGGAGCTGCAAAATTCCACACAACATCAATACCTCTGAATATACCTTTGCACATAAAATTTGGATCTAGAGATAACCAAGACACATATACAGTAGTTAAAACAAGAGAACAGCTTACAAGCACCTGAATACAAGTGCAGAATCCTCACACATACATATTAGCATTTACAGGGTCAGCTGAATTCTGAAGGGTCAAAATTGTTAACAGTTAGATAAATACACAAACTATCACTTCTGGTATTAAGAGATGAAAATTAAGAGAAAAGCAAATTAATTCTGGTATTAATAGTAGTTTCTGAACATTGAATATGAAATACCATTTCAGATAGAAGGCTATTCAGTCACTCTCTGAGAGTTACAGTACAGTGTATTAAATTATCGGTTTTGGCTATGATATGCCCTACACAGAAAGAATTAGAAACACTACTAAAATTACAAACTCTCCTATCATCAAGAAAATACTTCCTAACCATCATTCTTTCATGAAACACTATTAAACAATCATCTATTTTCTCTGAAGAAACTTCTACATTCTTATCAATTATTTAATCATGAAACAAAATTAGAGTCTAGTAGGTCTGTATTCTTCTTAGAAGGCCAGAAAACACAGCAAGGTTTGTTGACGCCTCTATACCATTAAAAAATAAAACATGACTAAGCACAAGAGAATCACAGAATGACAGAAATTTAGGGGCTGGAATGGATCCTAAAAATCATCTGGTCCAAGGCTACCCTACCATGGGCAGGGACATCTTCCACTAGAACAGGTTGCTCAAGGCCTTATCCACCCTGGCTTTGAACAGTGCCAGGGCTGGGGCATCCAAAACCTCCCACAGCAATCATTTCAATGTCTCATCACTCTCACAGTGAAAAATTTCTTTCTAATATCTAACCTAAATTCCCCCTTTCAATTTGTACCTGTTACTCCTTGTCCTATCACTACAGTTCCTGATGAAGAGTTCCCCTCCAGCTTCCCTGCAGGCCCCCTTCAGACACTGGAAGGTTGTTCTGAGGTCTCCAAGCAACCTTCTCTTCTTCTCCAGGATGAACAGCCCCAACTGTCTCAGCCCATCATCACAGGGGAGGGCGCTCCAGTCCTCCTATCAACTTTGTGTCCCTCATCTGGACCTGCTCCCAACAGCTCCATGTTCTCTTTACGTTGGGGACACAAGAGCAGAGGGGCAGAACCACCTGTTCATCCTGCTGGCCGCACTGCTTTTGATGCAGCCCAGGATTCCAGCAGCTTTCTGGGCTGTGAGCACACACTGCCACTGTTTTACAGGCAGGAAGTGAAGAAAAAAAAAAGAGGCAGGAGGGAGAGAAAAAGCTCTGTGCATTGAAGCCTGCACTGGAAATTTACTATGTCCTCCACAACAAAGAAAGGAAGTTTGTAAAACTCTTTTTTGCTTCGACACGCTGATCTTGGCTCAGAAATCTTCCCACACCCTTGGTATCAGTCTTGGCTTTTGGATCTGCTCCAATCAAACCTTCTGAGACACCCTCCTATTATTAGATGGTTGTTGCAGAAGAGGAGTTTTCAGCCAACAACATTGTGTCAACACTTTCAAATGAAATGCAAGATTTCTTACTACACCTATAAAACCAGTTAAATCTTGTTTTGCTATAACACCATTTGCAATATTGACATTTTGACAGCAGTTTCATTATGAAACATGTTAAGTGGAACCTACATTTCTCCTAATTCCAAAAACTTTATATGAGAACAACTTCTAGGCTAGGAAGATTGGCAGACAGGAAGAGATATTGAGTTAGGGTTTTTTTTTAAAAGAAATGAGGCTGGTCCACTAAGCACAACCCTATGAGTAGCATTATGCAATTTATATCTCAGCTGTAGGTGGTTTTTAATCAAAACAGTACCCTGGAGATGGAAGCACTTACATCTAAAAAAGCTCTGAAATAAGACTAAAAACAAGGTAAGAAGCTTCAGTTTTAGAAGGCTTCCCCACACACACACCACACAGACAGGGCAGATCATTCATTCTTCTAGCTTTTTTTGTTACCTGATCTTCAATTGACTTATGATCTGTTTCCTGCAGCCAAGAGCCGAGCAGAACACTATCATCATAATGACAAAGAGACCTTAGGAGTGATGTGGTTGTATTAGCAGAGTTGTCTGTCAAAGTAAATTCCGCTACCAGCTCTCGAAGAAGCGCATTAAATGATCCTAGAAGGACAGACATTAAAAAGAATCACCACTGCTTCTCAGCCAAAACATTTCAGCCAGTGATCAGAAGTTATAAATGTACCAGTACTTCAGTTTTAGAGGTGGCTAACAGAGAAGTAAACCTGACAATAACAGAGTTGAGAGCAAGGCTTCAAATGGAACTGTAGGCTCTCAATTCCCAAATCATGGGTACCCAAATACCTAAATAATAGGTAAGGTTGGAAACCACTGGAGGTCATCTAGCCCCACCTTCTGCTCAAGCAGAATCCACTAGAGCACATTACTCAGAACTGTGTCCTGTTCTAAACAACAAATTGGGCCATCCCTACAGGATGACAATCCAGATGTAGAAAAAAAAAACGTGCATCCACATGATCATGTAGACATAATGAAGTAACAAAAAAAACCAAAGAAACCCAAAAAGTTAATCTTGCCACTGTGTGACAGTGGTTGGCAATTTACTAATAGCAGATCTGTGTAATAGATCAAATCAGGTTTAAAAAGGAAAACAACCAAACCAACCAAATAAAAAAACCCAAATGTAACCAAAACTAAACTTCCATTGTCACATCTGTTTTTCAGTATACTAAGAAATAAAGTTCTCTACCTTTTAATTAACAATGACTTAAAAAACTATTATTTGATCTCAGACCATGATCTCCATACCTCTCAATCCTACAAAAGGGACCATAACTGCTATACTCCAAGTGTTACTCTGTGAATGCTTTTCAATACCCATACTCTGTAGTTATACTGTCAAGATAACATACAGAAGATGAGGAATATAGTACAAAATTCTTGGAGATTCCTAGAATTATATTTTGACTCTTACAGCTGCTTCAAAGATATGCATCACAAGTACTAAGCGCAATTTTTACTTTAACAAAAATTGTTTAAAATTTATGTACCTTCATATGTCTTTGGGGGCAATAAAGCCAATATATCATAAAGTCTTAAACGAACCATAGCTGCACTGGCTTTGAGATGAGCTCCATGGGCTTTAATTACTGATGGAATGCTAGAGAATTAAAAATGAAAAAGAGAAACCAGAAATGTTGCAGTTACAGAAGAGAGTATTTTCAGATTTTTTTTCACAGGATGTAACTCTAGGCAAGGTAAGAAAACAGTGTTCAGAGAACCACTCTGAACATCATTACTCAATTAATGATACATTTTCAGAAGTAATTGTACAGAGAGAACCTTAATTATAAACTCAAGGAACCCACAACATATGTTGCCATAAATCAGTGACATGCACTTCCTCAGAAGTCCTATTTTAATTACAGGTGGGGCAGGGGGAAGGGGCAGACACCAAACCACAAAACCCAACTCCAAATTAGTTCTAGTATTTCAAGACCAGGAAAAGACAAAAGTGAATGAAGAGCAGGAACTGCCTACTTACTGTGACATCATTGTCATGGCACATTCTATGGGTGTCATCAGTTTCCTGATCACATCCTCAGTAAGGAGCTCAGGGCAGTGAGCAACAAAGCTTCTCATAGCTAATAACAGAACAGTTTAAATTAAACTTTCACTGAAACAAACAAGTGTAAGACATAAACAACATACAAATTCTGAGAATATCAAAAGAGCAGCAATTAAAAATGTTTATTCAAAGACTGTGTGATCTGTTCATAAAACTGTATGTCAAAGCCAGGACATACTGATGAAAATCTGACACATTTTACTCCTTTTCAAAGAAGGAAGTTACAGGAGTTCTCTCTGCAATACTTGGGATCATGTTGTGGTTGACTGTGCAGGTATAATCTCAAATTCTGAATTTCTTACCACACAGTGCTCCAGCACGGCCTTCCAGTGTTACTTGCCAGGTGAAAGAATCTCCTCTTGCCTTCTCTGCCTCCAGCTCCTTCAGAGAACGTGGGAACACGTTTCGCCACAGCAGCAACATCTTAGGCAGATGATACCGGACAACAGAAGGACCTAAGTAGAAAAAAATGTAACAGTGTAATAAAAATGTGTATTTAAGTGTGAAACATCTGCTGTGAAGGCTTTTGCTCTTCAAACTATTTTTGTCTTATTTCACTTCTCTTCCTTTCTGCCCTACTTGGAACAATGAAAACCAAATGAAAGTCTCATTCCTAGGTTGAAAGTGTGGCAAATAAGTACTATACATCATATCTGCTTGTGGATATCACTCCTAAAATAGGAAACAGACTACCCTACCCACTGTCATGCCACACAGAACCATGGTCAACTGTCTTTTTACTATCTTTTTATTCTGGCTTCTAATTGTTTTATATTAATTTTGAAGACAGGTTCTTTAGCCTGCTCTACCCTGCCCATAAAATAAATAAAAAAACAACTGATTGTTATTGGTTATGTAAATCAGTTTAACAGTCAAGTTTTTTTTGAAACTTCTGAAAAAGATCCAGTGCAAGTACATTAAAAATATTTTGGAGGACAACCACAATAAAAATACCCTGTTAGAAAAATATGATGATAAACTGGTAAAAGAGACAACTTAGGGAAACAAGATGAAACACAAATGGTATTTGATGACAGATCAAAATAATGCAAAATGCATCAGAACTTTATAATATTTTCCCATATAAAAGAAACTCCAAACAAACCAGAAAAGAACACCACTGTTGCCACTGCTGCCACATTCAAGAGTATACTTACAACCTCTGAAAATGCAGCTTGTGATACTTCTGTAATGGCAGATACAAACATAAGGCTGGCTTTTTTACAAGAAAACCAAAGGGCTTTTAAACTAACAACACTTCTAGCAGTGTTGTTGCCTATCTACAGACACACATGCAACTTGTTGAAATGCTCACTGGGTTTTATTTATTGTCCATTTCTTCTGCACCACAGCATTAATGAAGGAAGAGTAAGGGTTAATTTTGCCCTTTCAGAGAATGACTAAAGGCTGGGTTTCTAAGACCAGAACAGGAATTTTTTTCAGGTATGACACCTTCTACCATACTTCAGCTTAGATAAGCACTAATATTTCACTTCTGCCCAGCACAATGTTGCTGAAGTACGTGCACTTACACTCTGCTTCCCCTATATAAATACTCTTGTGCTGGATAATGAGCCCATTATGTGTAAAGACCATTTGTCAAGCAGATAACCAGAAGTGTTGGACAAGCTTTAAAATAAAAAGAAAAATCAAACCATTTTTACAAACCTAAAGTCATAAGTGCTCCAAGTAAAAGCCATCCAGCTTGAGTCCGCTGCAAGGAGAGCCTGCTGTTCTGTGCAGCAGTTCGTAACAGATCCTCAGCAATACTGACCACCATCTGCACCACACCAAAACACAGGGGCTTTTAGAAACATAAATGAAGCCACTGCAAGCTATTCTACTTGTTCACTCTTACAGACTAAAGATGTTCTCAAATCATTGGAATTGACCTTCCATAAAGAATGAATGCAGATTACATTTCATGCTGATGATTAGTGTTTTTTGTATGATAACAAAGCCAGCAATATTCTCTCCAGCAATTTTTCAATATTTCAATTTCTCTTCATCAAATTTGAAAGAAGAAAAGAGCTGTTAAATATTGCAACTGAGATTCTAAAACCATGTGCTCTGGCCACTACTCTCGCACAAGGCACAAGCTCAGTTTCAATTATGCTCATTAGCATGCCACTCATTTTTCAAAGTTTTTACTTGCAGATAAAAAGGTATCTTTTAGTGCACCCACAGATAAAACACTCACTATCTCACCTTTCCTTTGGCATGAGGAATGCCTAGAGGACACTGATGCACACCACCTAACAAAGCAGCCATTGCAAAACTGTAGCCACTAACAGCTTCAGGGGAGGTCTTCAGATTGTTGAGTCTTTCTGCACATCTGTCTAAAAATGGAGTCAACTGAAAGGGCAATGCCACAGCGACACACCGCAAGCACCAGGCAGCAGCCAGCCGAGCAGCCATGCTGGGGTGAAGAAGAACTGAAGTTACTGTCTCCAACAGACCTACAGAAACGAGAGGTTGCAGTCTTTAACTTATGATGCACTGTTTAATATACATATGCTTTTTAATATACATAGAGAAGTAAACTGAATCAATACTAGACAGCCAATGTGAAAGTTAAGACAGTCAGAATTAAAGTACTTAGATTTGCTGACTGTGCCTTTCCAGGAAAGATGGTACTTGTTACTGGCAGTATCTGCTCCCCATCAGGTTTTGTCAGCAAAGGTGGAGCTGCCAGAGCACAGCACTGACTCCTAATACTTAAACACTGAAAAGAGGCAGCAGGGCTATAGAAGAGAACAGGCACTGGATGAGACAATTCCCATAATATTTTACAGATTGCCAGTAACAGAGCAACAATAACACTGACCTTTGGGTTTGCTCCACACTGTAGCCAAGCACATGCTGTAGATGTCACTGACCCCTGTACTCTGCTTTTGACGTGGTGCTGTCCACCCTGCAGCAAGTTTATATCCTTCTACACTCTCCAAACTTCTGTGCCTACCTAATCCCACTTTCTAACTGCACCCTTCAGTTCCATTTGTCTCCACACAAACATTTTCTTTAGTCCAAATCTTCAAAGCTCCCACTGCTGCTAGTTTTCTCTGGAGCTGTGAATAACTTCTACCTGCTGAGTTCATGGCAGCTAACAGAAATAATACTGAATTCCAGTTCCCTCTGTTCTTATGGGACACTGCTGCCAGAAGGAATAAATATGAGCAGTCTTCCCTACTCCAAAGCTGGCACAAAATGAGTATGGGAAGAATGTCATATGTAACAAGACAACAATCTATATGATGAAGTGTCTAAAGAAGCTTGTACTTCCAGTGGAAAAAACATAAGCCTCCACAAACTCAAAAAATTTAAAGCTGTAACACTACAGAATAAATGTGGATTCATATATTGAAACAAACAAGAAGAAAATCCCACACCAATTTCAGCCAAAGAACTACTTCTTTTAAAGGGGCCTACCAACAGCTTCATCTCAACAAAATACTTTTGCTTCCCCCCAGGAATTTGGTATTTAAGGGCAATGTTTTCCAGGAACAAATATTTCAGACCTTACATAGCAAAATAATGTATTTCCTATAAAACCATTATTGTAAACAAACCAATACCAAAAATTACCACTTCACTCACCCTCAGAAAGAGCTTCAGAAAGACTCCTATCCAAACAGCTGTTTAATACTTGGTCAGACTTGAACTAAAGTTGGGGTACTACACACAGTGAGGTGGACAAATGTAGCTATCTGGAGTACTACAGGAAGTACCAATTTCATAGATTTATTTACTTCATATTCATTTATTATTTAACTAGATTTAATGATATTTCATATTCCTTACTCAAATGCCTCACTTAATCTATTTCCATTTATTTGCATACCAATAGAGGGTTCTTGAATAAGAGGAGATGCAGTGGCATTCAGACTCTGAACCAGACTACCCAGCTCCTGGAGGGCACACACCATTACATGCTGACTTGCAGCTACATCAGCAGCTCCTGATTTATTCTCACTGTTAGCATCATTCACTACTGCTTCTGCAGAAAAGAAAACAAGAATGTCTTGCTTAATTATGAACAGAATCCCACCCGAGCACTCACAGGACAGAAAGTGACAGTTTCATTTTGACATCAATCCTACGTTAAAACAAAAGCACAAGTCTGGTCACAGTGAAAACTAACAAAACAAACACATTCAGCAGGGAAAGAATTTTATAGCTATCAGCCAAACACAGTTGTCCAAAGGCCATAAAAAACAGATGCCCAGCAGCTACTGTGGATAGCAAAGCACTAAGAAGTAGGACAAACAGTGTATGTGTGCATTTATACAGTAACAAAATATGCAATCTTGACATATCTAGGTTCTGCATACAAATTTGCGTGCATGTATGTTCAGTGAAACTAAAAAAGAGACCTTTAGTAAATAATTAATCATAATTTCTAATCATCTCAGTGTTATCCAATTGAGTTCCTTGATCCCACAGTATGTCCTCCTACAAAATATCCCAGAAGCAGCAGCTATGTCTTCAAAAAGGGACTTCAGTACCAGCTTAATCTTTGTGTGCCTACTACAGAAGAAATTTAAGAGAATGGTCTGCTGTATATGAAAGGAAGCAATTATTACCAAGTAAAAACCGAAAAAACCCTTACCTTTTTTCATCACATTCATGAGAAATCCTCAAAAATATGTAAGTATTTCAAACTATCCAAATACACAACTGAATTTCCTGCAACTTTGACAAAGTGGCAGGAGGAGTATTTTCTGCAACTGTTTCTTCTCAGAAACAGCATTTTCAATAGACCTGTTTTCTTGGAATTAGTACTTAGAGTAATGAGAAACCCTTTAAAGTCTCATGCCTACCCCATCAAAAAATTGTTACAAGAAGAACCTGCAAAAGTTTTCAAATCAAATTCATTTCCACATGTTAACCATTGTTTTAAACTCCAATTAGATGACAGCAGAAAAGAAAGATATGTTTGGTAAATGAAATAATGAGTATTTCCAATTTACTCTTTTAAATCTCCAGCTTGAGCTACTTGCTTTCATAAGAAACAGATGCCAAGAGAGTTTTGTTAGCTCTCTAAGTGATTCCATATTCTGCAAAGTTCTGCAAAGGGGTCATATTCTTCAGATTACATCATTTTCATCACAAAATCCAATTGGACATTAGTATGGATATTAGCAGGGGAGACACAAGGATCTACAAGATCTTGAGCTACAGGATTTTTAACACTATTAGTAAAGAACTCTGCATGACTTTCAATACAACCTATCCCAAGATAATGGCAAATGCAGTTTTCTTCTCCATTTCCATTTTAGGCCTTTGACAATGCATTTGCTCTCTGGGATAACCAGCCAGTGTCATACAATCACTTCTGAAGCAGAATTCAACCGCTGAACATTTGAAACAGAAAGCAGATGAACTATCATTTCCCATAAGAACAAAATTACTCCTCACAGTAGAAGAAAGCTAAAAAATGGCTGCCTCACTAAAATGACAGTAACTTTCAAGTGGTCTTGAATGAAGAAAACCAGTTCTCACCCACTGCCTTCATTTGTTTACCAATGGCTTGACATATTTCCTTGGCAGCTGCAATCTGTGCTTTCTCCCCCAGCAAGCTGCCCACAGTTGCTCTCAGGATAAAGGACACACATCTTCGAGAGTACACAGCCTCCACGTGGGTCTGGGTTGCGCGAGGATGGGACACCAGGTCAAGCACGTGGGACAGAAAGGTGGCAAAGTTGCGCTCCAGCCACTGCCCTCCCAGCGTTGTAACGAACACAACGTAGGCCTGCAGACCCAGAAGTCACACAGCAACCCAGTTAAAACAGAAACAAAAGACTGTGTGAAACTACAGCCAGGCTCTAACGCACAACAGTAGCAACACCAGTCAGCAATAAGCAACCCTAACCTAATGAGGTTACTCAGCACGAACCAATTCAGTATTCACATCTTTGCTGCTGAAACTCAACTTTCTCCAGTACCAAGGGTAGCCCCTGTACTGTGATGCATAAAATACACTTTGGATGACAGCAAAAAAACCCGGTGTCTCTTTCTAAAAAAGTTAAGAACATCATGTACATAAAAGAAACATCAATGTGTTCCAGCTCACAATGAAAATCTGGAACATTCACCAAGTTCACGTGAAAAAGGCTGAGACAAAATGAAGTGTTTCACAAAATAACCTATGATCAAAGAATCTGGATTCTGGGAAGGTACTGCAGCATATTGAAATACACGTCAGCATGAGAATGTTTGAATTTGAAGAGATGCTGCCACCACCTTTCTCTCTCAGACAAGAGGAACTTCCACATTCAGGAGCCACAAAAGGGTAACAGAGCACCCCCTCTAAGAAGGAACTAAATTTTAAAAAGGAACTAAAGTCTTTAACATACTAAGTTTTCTAATATTTTTGCAAGTTAATCTCACCTAATATACACTGATCAAGTAAGTTTTCCTTAGCTCTTATTTTAATCTGTTGTTACTGAATATCAATAATAGAAGAAAGTAGATCAGGGAATGATACCTCATGTACATCTCACAAAACAGAAGAGTCAAATTAGACCTGTAAATGAACTTACACAGAAATAGAGAACAGAAATGCATATTTTTCCTACTAAAAGGAATGATGTATAAATTTTACTTCATTAAAAAAATCACAAACCTGAGTAACACCAACTCGCACTTCCCTATTGACAGATCCTCCCACTTTTAACATCTCTCCACCACTCTTCAGGAACCCAGATCCCCCTCGCAGAAATCCTGTGGCCATGAGCTCCAAGACCTCCTCAAGTGTGGCTCTCTTCACATTTTGTCGCATCACTTATTAAAAAGAAAAGTAATTATTTATTCCCAAAGCTCCAACCAACACAAGCAATGATCTTGAAACCAGACTTATTAATTCAAAATTGTCCTGCAAAAACAAATCTACCCAATATTTCAGATAAAAATTTACTTGCACATTTAAAAAAAAAGCTACTTCTCCCAGGTGGTTTTTGATATTTTGTTCTGTCCTTTCTTTCTACAACAGAAATTCTACACTCTTTTTAGCTTAATGTTTATAAAAACAAACAATCCATCCACAAGCTTCCATCTACTGGAACAACAATGTGTCATGCAGCACTGTCAATGTAACATGGTACTGAAGGTGCCACTGTAGACATGGAATCCAGAAGGATTCATACCTGTTGCTTGTTTTGGTATCAGTGCTGTAGCCATGACTGTCCCCAAAAGCTTTGACACTGCAACTCGCACACCATAGTTTGAGTTTTCCAGAGCTTTAAAGCACAGCGTTGCAACGTTCTCTAGTTCAGCTGTCCACATAAACACTGCTTCATTCTGTAATTCCAGCAGACACTGTAGGGAAAAGAGACTTGCTAAGCACCAGGAGACCATTCTTACATTTTCTCTAAGTATCAGGCTGCAATCGTCAGGTTTATTCAGAAAGTATTTTAATGTGAAAATTTCAAGAATTAATTTAGACACACTCTCCCACATGTCAACTATCTTAGCTGATTAAACAATCAGAAGAGTCATGGAAGAGGCTAATACATAAATTAAAAAATTAAAAGAAAGCTCTACACAAGAACCATGTTAGCAAAAACCTCTCCCACTGAGGCTCACAGATAACATATTCTATCTCATACTTTTTTATCAAGTGGGGAATACAGTACCACAGTACCAGTCAAATGTCTGAGCCTCTAGTGTAAACTAAAGAACTCACCTTGTCCAACTAATTACCAAATTTCCCTTCCTGAGCAACAGGTACCAGTTCAAGTGCAGGCACTCCCTAGTCACAGCACCAGAAGGTGTGTGGCTGGTGAGAAGACACCCACCTTAGCCACTGCACAGCGCACAGCCATCGATCTGTCCGTCAGCAGGGACCGGGCATTCTTATAAATGTCACGGTGACAAGAAGCTGCTGCTCCTCCAAGTCCATTGAGGACTTTCTGCAAACTCATCAGGATTTCACTGCGGCCCTGAGACTGCACACACACAACAACATTGATGTAAAAATGTGGACACAGCAGTTACACTAAGAACCAGGTGTATACTTATGCATTTTCCTGCTTCTATGCAGGAATGCTTTTGCAAATGTTGAAAATAAAGGCATATATCACTGATACATAGCTCATTTTAAAAAGAAGTAAACACCACACACAGCTTTACTTAAAGTCTCTCAGTTGTGACATAAATTGAACCCAGGCAAGCCAACAAACTGGCTCTAGGTAAAATGCTTCTGCTCTGCCCCACTATTTATCAGCTGCAGATTTGGGGCGAAAAAAGAAAAAACAGCTGGTAAGAGAGAATGGGAAACTCAAGTAAGATAGCAGTTACATGCTATACCTGCACACAGGCAGGTGCTTACACTCTGAGAGCACACATACACAAATAAATAAATAAATAAATAAACAATCACACAGGTAAACAACACAGCTGAAGAAAACAGCTGCCACCACAAGACCCACACAGTCAGTATTCCAACTCGTCCCAACAGAGCTATTTGCATACAAACAGACCCACTGGCAGCCCAGGATACATTCTCTCAATATCATGACACACTCTCTCTTTTCAGGACACAATGTATTTTGCTCACATGCAGAGTAACAACCTCCCCACAATATTTAAGCATTCATTATTAATTTTAACAACTAAATGCTTATTCAGAGTACACAGGCAAAAACCCTAGCACAGTAGTTAGAAATGACAGATACAGTCATTTCTGAATTTTAATTACTGACACTACTATGAAGTAACTATTACAATATTCACATGATAAAGTCTAAACTCCCTGCAGTAGACTTGAAACTAGCCAGGTAAGTGATTTGCACCCTTCAGTGCAGAAGAAAAACAATCTAGACAATCTGGCAAACAATACTGGAGGAAGCAGGTTTCAGTTTAAAATGGAATTAACACCACATAAACAAACTGAAACTTACCTCTGCACTTTTCAGCGACTTTAACAGGTTATTCACAGTTTCTGGAAAAGAACTACCCAGCATTCTCCCCATTTTTTCATAAAATGCTCCAACACATGCCACAGCAGCCCTATGAGAAAACAGAGAAAAAGAGTACACATATTAATGTATCATCCAAATGAAAAGAAAGTTAAATAGAAATGTATGTTCTAATCAACATTGATGAATAAAAATCTATTTGCTACCACTACTTATACTGACTGTTTACACAGTCAGTAAAAAATTGGAATAATTTTTTTGTTTACCAAAAAAAGCAACAGAACAGTTACCAGCTTTTAAGAATACAAATGCATTTGAAAGGTATTACCATAGGATCTACACATAGAGTAAAAAATTCTGGAGAAAACAAGACAGGCTGAAATCCCAGCAAGATTAGGGTTTTGTGTTTCAATAAACTGTCTCTTTGCTAAGCAAGAAAGCCTCTAGCCTGTAATATAACCTGACACATTTTTGTAGATACTGAAATGCAAAAATTATTTCATAACACAGGAAAGTTTACAGGCACTGTAAAATCTCTGGATCCAAGTATTTACATATTTTTCTTGCTCTGCCATTTGAGATTAGGAATACTTAGTTATCACCACACTGCAGTTATATACACAAACTGCTCCAGGACAGCCACAGAAGCAGCTCCTGAACACATGCACTTTTCATTACAAAGGAATGAGGCTTTTTTTTAAATCTGTAATTGCTGGCTAAATAGTATTTTAGCAAAGTTACATCACAAACTCATTACAGCCTCCCCTTTAACGGGCATGTGTCCATTAAAAAACCTTCTGGACTATGACTTAGTAGCATAAATTTCAGAGCATTTTATAGTAGAAAACACTTCCCACTTACACAAGTTCCTCATACAGCTGCAAGAGCTAGAAATAAGAGGACAGTATCTGCCCAAACTGTGACTATTTCAGATTTTATTGTCAAATCCTATTGTTGTCATAATGGCTGAAGGCAAGACCAAATTTGGGTTCACTAGACACCAAGAACATACAAAGCATTACATGGGAAAGTACCAGAAACAGTTTCAGTGGAAGTTGTTTGTGGCATTAACCAAATTCCTAGCAACGAGACTGCTCCTATGACTAAAGACAAATTGGATCACACATCCATGCACACACACATCCACATGTAGAGAATCTGCCTGAGAGACCTGTGCAGCTTAGTGTGGTAGGGGAATAGAAAAGGCAACATCTGATGGGGAAAAAAAACTTGAATATTTGGTTACAATTCTCTAGGCACAGACAACACTCTGGTTTGACAATCTGCAGGTTCCACCTTTAATGGGATATCTGAGCACAATCAGCAGCAATTCCACTGGTGGAAAGCCTTCATTAATGGTTATCTTCTCCATGCCATAAGCAGGTGAAGAGTCATAACACAGTGCCTTGCCTAGAGAAAACCATTTCACTTTCACAGAGACATGTATGTGTCACCTTGGAGTCCTGCCCTCCACAACCTCAATCCAGCACTTTTCTCTGCTACCTGTATCAGGCATATGTAACTCCAAACAACCACACAAAATATAAATAAACATAGTGTGCACATATACAGGCAGGTTCTTCTGTAATATCCAGGACCACTTGGCTTAAAAATCATTCCCCTTTCCCCAAACATACAGTTTAGTGGGCAGGTAGGCTGCAGTGTCATCTTTGCTCTTGATGATGTCATTACACTTGTCAAGTGTCTGAAAAACAGTGAATGTGTCTCCAATGCTGTAGAGAGCAGCCAGATTTTTTGCAAGCAGTTTCCGTGTGGGTGGCCCAGGGGAACTGCTGATGAGTCCTGTTAGCTGTTCTACAAGTTTCTTCTGTTTTTCTTTGACATCTGTCTGTTGAAAGATCAAAAATAAATAAGAAAAATAGTTTAATCCACTGTGTAATCCAGAAAAATCTACAAGAAATGGAAGTAAACTTTATACCACTCCCAACTGTATATAACTCAGCAAATTGTCTCAGAGATATATGAGATGCATTCAACAACAGCAGAGACAGATGCTAAATGCTCAGAATTAGCTGATGTCCTATTTCATTTTTACTTTTTAAAAATACTTACCAGCTGCCTACTGACTGCCTAAAATTAAACATTTAAAATCTACAAATTAGCACACAGGCTCTTCAGGCTGAATCTGAAACCATACAGGTGCCATCTGGCCATTACCTGTAAACTTTCTCTGGCAATAAATTAATACAAATGCTTTTTAAAAGAAAGTTTATTTAGAAATAAGGGGGAAAAAAACCCATTAAATTACCTTGTTAGCAGCTACCAGCACTTTATCCAAAAATCTCAACCATTCAAAGATAAAAACTGGTCTCTTTGCTTCTGTAATTTGAGCTAATGCTTCCTCATTCAGTAACAAACTATGAGCCAGCTCCATAATGGGTTGAATTCCAATTTTATTGCAAATTTGTGTAGAAACTCTAAAATAAAAATGCAAATGTTAGTATAAAGTACAGTACATCAGTACAAAGCTTTGAAAATCAAATTAAAATATTCAGCTTGCTTAGACTTAGCTAAATAGTCCCAAATAAAAGCCACTCACATATTTGCAAACTGAGTCCATTCATTAGTATTTCAGGGAACAGAACTGTTAATTGCAAAAAGAGTACCTACAGGCAATTTCAGGGCACAAACTCTCAGCCAAGAAAAATACACCAAAGTCCCTGCTTAAAGAAGGTAAATGAATCATCTCACTGACTCTACTTACATGAAAGAGAAAAAGGATTGTTGCAAGTCAAGACCCTTGAGCACACTCCCAAAGCTGGGGCATGAACCTGGCTCCCTTCTCCACACCCTCCAACAGCCAAGCTGAGAAGATGAGCCTGACACAAGTAGGAGTGTCCAGCCAACACAAGTTTGGGAGAAGCAGGAACAGGGATAGGATTTGGCATCAGTGACCTAAGATTTCCCTGATCCCACTAGTCTTGCTTTAAGTACTAGACATGCAAGCTCCCTGAAATCCAGCAACCTTAGGGTTGACAGCCCAAAACACAAGCAGCAGCCAAACTACTGCAGGTCTCCCCAGCAGGCAAAATCCTGCAGATGGAACACTGGTGATCCTGCTCAATCAATGGGGCTGGCATCAAACACTACCAAAAGCACACTGTCAGTGTAAGCAAATGCTCTGCCAACCTCATCTCAGCAAACCACCTGAAGAAAAGTGTAGCGATTGAACACAGAGCTGACAGAAGGAAAAAACTCAAAAAATTTACCCAAAACCAAAACATTAAAGCAACAACCTTCAGCAAATAGAAACCCAAGAAGCAAAAAAGCAACCCAACCCCAAAACCTGAATAGAGAGACGCTGAAACTAGGATCCCAGGCAAAAAAAGAGAAAGCAACACAACTACAGACTATTATGTAAGACATCAGCTTTCAACAGGCATCATCTTTTGACAGCTGCACTGTTCCACTTTTGTTCTCAAGAGCTCTCAGCTGCTTCCTCATTCATGATCTTAAAGTTAAATGAAATGGCTTAAATTGATTTTTTTTAAATAGTCCCCAACTGAGACATTAGTAAGGAGACATATTAATGCCATATTATTAATGATGTATTATTCTAAATCCACCTTAATGATGAAACGAAAGCATCACACTGTATTTAATGCTAAGGTTGTTCCCTGCACTTCAGCACTTTGCCTATTTCTCACAGAATACAGTTCCAGCAAAGGTGGAAGAGCCACATATGGAAAGAAGCACACACATACCTCCCTAACTCCTCTGAAGACATTTTCCATTGGGTTTCTTTTGTTTTTTTTTTACATTTATAAAGAACTGAGAAGGCATTGCCTGTCAGTAACTCAGACACATCACCTCAAAACACCTTTACACGAGAGCAGAGACACAATGAATGACGGCACTGTGATTCTTTGGACATCATCCCAGAGATCTGCACTGCTTGTCACACCCACACAGCACAAAAGTACCGTGAGCACTGTTGGACAGCACAGCTCATGATTCCTTTTCCTCCCCACATACAAGGTTTCATTTGCCCCTGGCCGTAAGAGCCATGGACACCCTATGCACCTTCCCCACTTCATCTAAAATGTAGGAAACACAGGCTCTAAGCAACATACACACAGCTGTGCTGGTGAAGCACAAGGCATCAGACACAAGAATAATTACACAAATATTCAGCTAACTGAAGAGTCAGTCTAACACAGAGCTACTTACATAGACAATCCAAAGCTCACTGACACTAGCCAAAGGTTTGCTCCAAAAAGCAGTGAGAAGCCTACCGAGTTCTACCGATCCTGGCAAGGATCTTGCGGTGAATGTTACAAGAAATAAATACACTGTGATCTCCCGCGGGATGCAGAGCCAAAGCCAACCAGCAGCCAGCGAGGTATGCTGGAGCATTAGAGATTCCAAAACGTTCAGAGGTACTAAAAAACCTTTCTATTCCCCAGCTGTTTTCCTATGCCTAAATCAACTACTTGTATCTTCATCATGCGTGGATTTCAGTGCAGTGAGAAAGCCGAGAAACAGGCAACTTTAGGCGAAGCCACACACTCCTGAAGAACTCCAGCAGGTGAAAAGGTTTTCGTTCCTGGGTTCTCTACCTGCATCGGCAACTTCAGTAAGCAGCAGCAGCGCTCAGGGCATCATGCCTGGCTCTGAAAGCCCCTAAGGAGGTACCGCAGCGGTGCAGCGCCGGCCGTCAGGGATGGATGCTCAGGCAATGCCGCTGAGGAGCCGATGCCAGAGGAACGATGCCCGCTGCTTTCCCAGCGCTGCTTTCCCAGCGCTCACCCCCCCCCCCCCCCCCCCAGACGCGCACAGCGACCCCCACACCTCGGCCAGCGCCGAGGGGGAGCGCGGAGCCTGCCCCGCTCCGCCGCAGCCGCCGGCCCGCACCGCGCAGCTCACGGTCACTTACGCTCCTGCCGAGCGCCGGCCGCGTCCCGCCAGCTCCGGGCTGCACCAGGCGCGACACCGCGGCCCCGGGGGCCGGTCACGGTCACGGACAGGCGTGGGCGCGCTGCGCCGCGCTCGCCCTCGGCACCATCACCGGCGAGCTCGGCCGCTTCGGCCCCCGCCGTGCCCGGCTCCGGCGGGCGATGAGGGGCGATGAGGGGCGATGAGGGGCGTTGAGGGAGACACGGGCGGCGCTGCCCCGAGCCGGCCCCGCCACAGCCCGGTCGCGCGGAGGCACCGCGGCCGCGCAGCAGGAAGCGGGAGAGGCGCAGGCGCCGGCGGGCGGGGGCGGCCCCGCGCAGGCGCCGCGGAGCGGCCGGGCCGGGTCGGGCCCGGTGGGTGCGCGGTTCCCGGGCTGCTCCCGCCGCTGTCCCTGCTCGTGGCGCTCGGCTGCAGCTGGGCGGGGGCTCCCGGGCGTGGAGCGGCGTCGCGGCCGCCCGTGGTGGTTGTAGCGGAGCCCAGGCAGACGCGCTGTGGGCTTGGCGGCGGGCGCGGGTACCCCGGGGCTGGCAGGGGACAGCCCGGCCCGGCGGGTTCGGGTGTTTTCGTCCCTCGGCCCCGCCGTCCCCCACCTCGCAGGGGACGCACAGAGAAATAAAATGCTCGGTAACGCGCACTGACGGTGTCCATAGGCGAGGTGTCGGCATAGAGGCGTGCTAAGCATGGAGGGAGATGAAGAGGAAGACTATATGTCTGATTTATTTCTTAAGTAAGTAGGCAGTTTTTTTTTTTTTTCACCCCTCTTAAGTGATTGTAAACCTGTTAAAAAAGGAAAAAACACGCTAATATTTGCTGGAATTACTAACCCGCAGACAGGATGTCAGGCCAGGCTTGCCCATGGTGAGGCGGGTGAAGGAAGCTATTCAGAAAGAGGAAAAGCAAAAAGAAGCCAATGAGAAGAACAGACAAAAAAGCATAAAAGAAGAAGAAAAAGAGAGACGTGACTTGGTACTGAAAAGTGCATTGGGCAACGAGAACAAAGGCTTTGCTTTGCTCCAGAAGATGGGCTACAAGAGCGGCCAGGCCCTTGGCAAAAGTGGTAAGTTTGTCGCTCTCTGGAAGTGTATGTCTGTATTCAGTTATACCTTAATATTTTACAGACTGTAGCTGTCACTTCATTTGTTGACAGGTCAGTAAGTGCCTCTTGGAGAACCATAGCATTACAGAACTGTGAAGGTGCCATGACAGAATAAAATATGAGAGCAAATCCCTAAAACTGAAGTAAAAATAGTACAGACTGTTGAGGGATGCAAGGGACAAGCAGCACTTTCAGCTCAGTAAGTGCACTTGTGTACCTTCATACCTACAGGAATTGCATTAAGGATGTTTTGATGGTTTTGCAAAGCTAATAGTGTTCAAAAAAATCAGACCCTCTTGAAATTTATAGGTGGATTTTGAAAAAGAAGCAGTGCACACTGGCCTGCCCTTATGAAGCCTTAATGGATGAAGTAAAATCAGTAAAACAAGGAATTAATAACTGCTGTGCCAGCTCAGCATCTCTGGCAGACAACCACAATGAACTGGCCCAGACAGATTCTTTTTATTTTTCATCATTGTTGTGAGATTGCAGAATGAAAAGGCTCCAGAAGGCAGTAACAAAGCGATCTTCATCACAGGCATCTTGCACCTGTCACGTCAACGCCTTTTCTTTGAGTTTGGTCCTGTCACCAAAAAGTACATAGGATTCCAGCAGACAAGCCAAAAAGAGAGAGACTTTCCAGTACATCTGTGTCATTTGTAATGCACTAAATGTATATTGATGGGGAAGTTTTCAACTTCCAAGCAAAAAAATCACAATAATGGCAAATACCTACTTGAATATACTGCACAAATCATTGTTTGAGAAAAACTCGGGTTTTTTAATTGACTTTTTTTTTTCCTCTCACAGGAGAAGGCATTGTTGAACCTATTCCTCTGAACATAAAAACAGGTTTGTGGTGCTTTCTGATTTATTTAGTTACATATCAGAGCTTCTCAACTGCTTACATTCATCTTTTAAACTTACATAGGCAGAAGTGGGCTTGGTCATGAGGAATTAAAAAAGAGAAAAGCTGAAGAAAAACTGGAAAACTATAGACAAAAACTCCATATGAAAAAACAAGCAAATGAACAAGCTGCAGATCAGTTCAGGTAAAGTCATACAACTGATATTCCAAGGAATGTCTAAATAGCAATTCTTTTGCTGGTGTTTGGTTATTCTTTTAATGTGCTCCTATTTTTGAATGTTTTGAATGAAGGGGGAGAGTTACAATACAGAGTAATTGTTTCTCAGTTCTAAAGCAAAAGCAGATGAACACTGTAATGCTAAAAGCAGGTGCTGCACCTTTTAGTTTTGTAATTGTTAATAGTGCAAACAACATAGATACTAACTTTTCTCAAGTCATATGCAGCTTTTTTAATTGGAGAAACGTATTTTGAAATATAAAATCCACAGATATTCCTGAGCACTGTTGGTATAATGGTTTTAAAAGTCAGGGTACATTTTTAAAGATTGTAATGTTTTGGTTTTCTCCTGATCTTCTTGTAATATGTGGAGAAGCTGAGGAAAGGCTCTATCTTTTGCAGATGTTTAGTGAACCAGTTTTTTATGTCTTAGGAAAACCTAATGAAGAAACAGTGTAGTGTGGTCAAAAAAGGTGTCTTGAAGGTGTAATTCCCAAGAAATACAAGTGTGCTCCCACAGAAATAATGTCAGAATTACTTAAATTCAATGTTGTTCAGGTCTGAGAAAATTAGTAGGAATAGAATCTTAGATTTTGGGGTTTTGTAATGCATCTCTCTCTGTGTGTCTGCCTGCTTATTTACTTCTGCTTGTTCTTAACAGAATAAGATTCAAAACCAAACAAGAAGAACGTAAGATGGAAGGGGACCTGCGAAAAAGCCAGAGGGCCTGCCAGCAACTAGATATGCAAAAAGTGAGTCCTGGGGGATTTTCTGGAGGGTTGGAAGGAAGTATTAAGAGGTTAGAGATACAGGCTGCAATGTATCTCAGTAGTTCAGTTCTTGGAAGTTCTCTAAAATTGTGGGGTAACTAGCTTAAGTCTTGGTGCTTGGCAACACTTCAGTCCTCTTAAAATATTTCAAAGTCTATGTACCATTAAGATAGTTGAAGGTGCACAACAACCTCATGGTCACTTACATGAGGACCTGTGCTTTTGCTTCTGGATTTTTGTGGTTACTTCTGAGCTGTTTGCATATCTTCCAGTAGCCAGTATCAGGCCTTCCTATATAATGGTGCTGTTTGCTTCAAGTGAGGGAGCAACATCATCTGCAGTGATTGACATTGGGAATGGACTTTGGAAGTCATTGTGTTCAGCCTTTCTCCTCAAGCAGAGTCACTTAAAGCAGGTTGTCCAGGACCAGGCAGATCTTTAGTACCTCCAAGAATGGGGATCATCATTCAGGGAGTCAGTAAATTCACCAAAGTAGCATTAAAAGCAAACAAAAAAAAGCTACACAAAACTAAGTACCTTCCACCTGCAAGGAATAACATGGGTAATAGTAGTGAACCACTATGAATTTTTGCTACTGGAAAACTTAAAGGGCTTTTTTTCCCCCTCTGTTAACCAGGTAGAGGTTAATACAACCTCATATTTTTTGCTGAGATTATTCAATATTACTTAGTTTGCTTCAAATGAAGTCACCTAAATTAAGCTTAGATCATCCTTGTTTACTTTGGTGCCTTTAACTTTTCCTGAGGTGAATTATGAAGCACTGTGTGATCTCTTGATAACGTAACTTGGGGCATATCTTCAACTGATAAACAAGGGTATCTGCTCACAGGCTTGGTGTGAGATTACATTGCTGTGTAGCTTTGCACATACCAAACACAGATGAAACAGTACTAGATGTTAGCATTGGCATTGTTAAAAAAAAAAAAGTGAAAAAGTTTAAAAAAGTCTTGTGGGCTGCTGTACATACCTGCAGCTTTAGCAATTCTTGGTTATACTATACATGCAAATTTTAAAGGCTAACAGCTCACTTCCTAGAAATTAGTTTTATCCAGCATTTTACAAGAAAATGTACAAAGACAGATAATTTCCATTTAAATCCCTTGTTATTTAAGGATATTGATGTTCCCAAGGAGACTTGGTTTTGGATAGAACCTGAAGAGGAAGACAAAAAGGATGAGGAAGATGAATGCACAAGCTCAGACTTAAGTGTAAGTTTAAGCTCTTCAACTGAATTAATTGCTCAATTCAAAATTAAATTTAATATTCCTTGAAACAGTGTGTATCTATACATACATGTTTCCCACACTGTAGTAAAGAGTCTCTTTGCAATCCCAGAGCACTGACTTTCATAGCAGTTACATGCTAAATTATAAAATATTAAACCAGTGATATGTTGCTCATGTGTTTTGAGGCTGATCTTTGAAAAAATTAGCCTAGAAATTAAATTTTAAATTTTTTTTGCCTTAGCCAAGATACACAAAATCACAGATACTTGCTTTTGAGTTTTAATTTTGGTTGGAAGTTTAGAATCACTAATTTCTGCAAACGCTTCACAGATTATCTCAAGATGGACATTGGAAATACATATTTTTTAAGAACTAGGTTACACAGCTGTTGTTAGCCTTATGTGTTCAATTGGCAGAGATTAGATGTGAAAAAATCCCCAGAAGATACCATATACATGAAATCAGGGAGCTAAGTAATATTTTTAGCTCTCTGGTCAGTGCAGGTTTTTAGCTGGAAAGAAGGATTAACTTTCCAGAGATCATGAATTCCTGTGCACTCTTCTACAAATGTGGGAAACTTCATGTCCTACTGAGCTCCAGTATTGTAATGTGTACAGCATTAGGTTAAACACTTTGTTTTAGCAAACCAGTAGCTCAAAGTGGTTTATGTCATGTGAGGCCCAGGTCATCACATAGCTGTACATATCTCTAGGTGTCAGAAAAGCTGCACATCCTGACGGCCTATTTGAGAGAGAAGCACTTCTATTGCATTTGGTGTGGAACAACCTATGAAGGTGAGAGTGAACCAAGCTTTTGTAGGTGCTTTACTTTGCCTATGCAGCTCGACTCCAGCTGTAGAATATATCCTTGGTTTTTCTCTTACCGCAGCTTCCAAATCTACGTAGCAAATTTACCTTCCAGGCTGCTAGTTTTTGCACAAAGCTTTGTACATATTGTTATTGTGAGTGTTAGCCAAGTTTTAGGTTTATATGCAGAAAAACCAAAAGCAAATAAAAAAAAACCCACACACAACAAAGCACAGCAAACCATACTGAAATTTATTTGAATTGATATTAAAATTTAATTAGTTTTGAGAAAACATAATTCAGATATTAAAACCAATGCCATAAAAAGTTGCAGAAGTTGGCAGGTGTTTCTGAAACAGTTAGAACACCATCCACTTTCACAACACCAAAGTGTAGAATTTGTCTTTGTTTTTAAATTTGTTTTAAAACAAAATTGAGAGTTACTAACTTGTAAACCTTGAATTCTATTTAATCTGTTCTACATGGATTCTAGAAACACTTCTAGCAACCATTTTTTCCTTCCCTGAGCTGCAATTACTCACTTTTTTCCTGCTTATCCTGTAGACTCTGAAGATTTATCTTCAAACTGTCCTGGAGACAGTGCTGCAGATCATGACTAAAGCCAGTCTAAAGGAAGAAGCCCTAGATAAGTATGTATAATTCATAGTATTTTTTAAAAGGCTTGGAGCTATGCCATACTCAAGAATTCATACCAAAGTATGCAGAAGAAGAGTTTAAGTTGACAAGCTAAATTCATGTTTTCTGTTTGATGCACAATTTAATAGGAATTAAAAGTTGGTATTTGTAATCGAACTAACATAATTGAGAGGTAGGTTCAGTCTCTCACATCGTTGTTTATGCACTGCCCAACTGGTAATAAAATTCAAGTATGAGTAAAGGCATAATTATTGGCCAATCACTTTATTGCATAATGTGTTAAACCAGGTTTTTTCATCTTTACAGAGATGCCTAAATACCAGACTGGTTTTGCTTACTATCTTAAACTTGGTGGGGAAAAAAAAAAAACTTGTGAAACATGACAGTGATATTACTTGAACCAATATTCTGTTGTATATAAAGATGAATATTTTCCATAATTAAATAGAATTAGATCATGATGGTGGGTTTTTATTTTTTTTACATAAAATACATTTTAATAGATCTTTTATTTTTAGGTAACAGCAGTCGGTACTATAACTAGCCATTTATAAAAAGTTAATGATGAAATATACAAATACTATGCAGGGAAAATATATCAAAAACTCCTGGTGCAAACTACTGTTACAAACTGGTACAGTATTACTTAACAGCAAGAAAGTAATGATACTACTTTGCTCTGTCCAAAAACTGTAAAGGAAATTCAGCCAAGAGATTGTCCATTTTCATATTGTGAATAGTTTCATAGAATTGTTTAGGTTGGAACAGACCTTTAAGATCATCAAATCCAACTATGTGTTAATTTTATATAGATAAAACAATTTTATATTTATATAGGTCAAATTTATTTATATAGATTAAACATATTTTATATGTTTATTTTTATCTAACCAATAGACTAAAGAGAAGAGAAAGCAGCAATAGTAGTATTCTGTCTGTAAGGATATATAATTTCTCACAGATCTTGACCACTGCAAAGAAATACTAATTAGTTTAGTAAAGTGAAATACTTTATGTATGCCAGTCAAGGATAAGGTTAGGAAAGCATAAAGCCCTGATGGAATTCAATCTGGCCAGGGATGTCAAGGAGAAGATTAGATTCAAGAAAATCTGAAGAACCTAGAGATGCCCAAGTCCATGGGACCTGCTGACATGCATCCACTGGTCCTGAGGGAACTGGCAAATGAAGTTGCTTGAGTTGGAATTGTTCAGCCTGGAAAAGAGAAGGCTCTGCAGAGAGCTTAGAGCAGCCTTTCAGTACCTAAAGGGGGCTGCCAAAAGAGCTGGAAGGGGACTTTTTCCAAGGGCATGTAGCGACAGGACAAGGAGGAATGGCTTCAAAGCGAAAGGTTGAGATAAGATATCAGGAAGAAATTCTTTACTATGAAGATTATGAAGTACTGAATAGGTTTCCTAGAGAAGCTGTTGATACCCCGTTGCTGGCAGTGTTCAAACAAGGCCTTGAGTAATGTCATCTACTGGAAAGTGTCCCTGCCCAGGGTAGGGGGGGTTGAAACTGGATGATCTTTAAGGTCCCTTCCAACCCAAACCATTCTATGATTCTATATATGTCATTCATGATAAAGAGAAAAAAAGAAAGCAGTGTAAGGCCTTAAAAATTATACAATCACATTCTTATTTAGCAACAAATACTTGCACCAGAACATCAGTAATTTCCCTCAGAATATAAACACTGTACTATTTCTTTGAGAGCAGTCACCCACTTTTAACCCATTTAACATATCAGAAAAAGCATACAGTACTTCACATATTAGCTATTTTTTTGCTTAAAAATCTCTGCTCATTTGCCCTTGTGTAGTTACATTGACCCCACATCAATGAACAGTTTGACAAGATAGAGCTCAAAGACAAGCACCTGTCTTTTCACAAATGTGCCTCTCTTTTCACAGGTGAAGAGTAGCAGAGAAGCTGCTGTTCCCTTTTGTGGGGCTGGCAGTGAGCACACCAGAGATACTAAGTACAGTTATTCAGGATTAGGCATGCCTCAGTATTACAATAAGGGACTAAAACCTAGAAGCATGGGATGTTTAAAGTGCTCTTTCGGCCTAGGATTTCAAATAGTTACTAGTGAGGCAATTTTCCTATAATGAAGAGAATTGTCCTATATTAATAGCACCCTGAATGTTCCTTTCCAAAAAAGACACCATAAAAACCTAAAGTTTCCCAAAATTGAGCTTTGTTCTAATTTAGATTTCCTAGAAGCTGAATGTTAAACATTTAAAGAAATCCTCATTTTACAAGTTTAAATTCTAGAGCACTGAAGGTGCTAGGTCATCAGCAGCTGTGGAGAGATAAGAAAACTTAGAGTACTGAAATTCAGTGAAGAATAATGTGCACCTATTTCCTTTTCTGCCAAAACTAGCCTTGGTACTAATGGAGCATTCCAATAATTATTAACAGTATCACTGAACAAATCAGAAAGGTTTGAGTCACATACCACCAGACAGCAGTTCTTCCATGGAAAGCAATAGATAACCTTAAGGGCTAATGGGTGCAGCACATGCAGGGATTTAGCACAACCCAGTTAGCACTTTCGCACATCAACATGATCTCAAAGGGGAAAAGGAGCAGGTACTTATTGTGCAAAACAGTCCAGCTCATCCACAACCTATGTTTCCAGGTAAAAACTGTGTGATTTCTTGCAGATGTGCCCTGTCCTGGTTGCAGCTGGCAGATATAAATGGTGAAGTGGCCAAGGAAAAGACACACCCCAAGTCTTGCTGTTGCTTCTGACATCTGTTGTCATTTCACCAATTGTAATAAATTCATCAAACTCTGGATTTGACACAGTGTGAAGGGACATTCAATAAGAATAATTTCTAAGTGCCTTCTCTTTATCAACAGAATTAAGAAGGTCAAGTAGATGAGATATAGTGATTCTTCCAGAAGGGTCTGCTGAAAGCATCTTTTTGATTATGGATGCCTGAAAAAAAATTAAATGTCAATAGTTTGGTTTTTTGGTGTTTTTTTTTTATTAATACAGTACCAAAAATATATTAAAATCCCATACCTCTGCTGGAAATTGATTTTTGAAGTACTCTGGAAGTTCACCTGCTCTAGCAGAAGACCATACCTGAAATACATAAAAGAGAATAGTTTTGGTATGCTTTCATTTGTTATGTTTTGTATCTCCACCTTATAACCCATATAGTTTACTGAAGTAGTTAGGAAAACACAAATCTATAGGAAATGTAAGGCTTCACAAGGTAACTGTAAACAGTTTGAAAGTTGGGGCTTTTTTCATTTAGTTGTGCTTTGGTTTGGTTTTATGGCCTTTTCATCAATTATTTTCCATTTCTAAGCTTAAAAGCTTCACACACAACAATTGTTTCAATCTTCCTCTATTTCAGAACCATTATCTTTCTTTCCTTAATTTAAAAGTAATGGATTTATATTGTCTAATGACATTGAAAGAAAAGAAAAAAGCAAGACAACTGAATTTCTGTTTCCAAGCCAAGCAGGTGTGCTTCCTCCTTTTTATCATATCCAGTACCACACATTTATTTCTATGTCATTGCATAAAATGCTACATGGACTTCAAAGCAACTAACAAAAGATTTGCCATTACGTGCTTTAGAACTGGCTTTTAGTTAATTTATTTTCTCTGTGACAGTGTCTCTCACAACATCCTGATAGGCAAGCTCAGGAAGAGCAGGCTGGACAAATGGATGGTGAGGTGGACTGAGAACTGGCTAAACAGCAGGTCCCAGAGGGTCACACTCAGCAGGACAGGGTCAAGTAGGAGGCCTGTCACCAGTAGTGTCCTCCTAGCTTCAATACTGAGCCCAGTACTGTTTAACTTGTTCATCAATGACCTGGATGGAGGTGCAGATGCTTCCTCAGCAGGTTCACTGATGACACAAAGCTGGGAGGAGTGGCCAATGCCCCAGAGGGCTGTGCAGGCCTTGGGAAGGACTTAAACAGGCTGGAGAGATGGGCAGGGAGGAACCTTGTGAGATTCCACAACAGGAAATGCAGAGTCCTGCACCTGGGGAGAAATAACTCTGGGCAGTAACACCGGCTGGTGGCTGACCTGCTGGAAAGCAGCTCTGTGGAAAAGGACCTGGGGGTCCTGGTGGACAACAAGCCATCCATGAGCCAGCAGTGAGCCCTTGTGGCCAAGAAGGCCGATGGAATCCTGGGGTGCATTAGGAAGGGCAGTGTCAGCAGGTCAAGGGAGCTGATCCTGCCCCTCTGCCCAGCCTGGTGAGGCACATCTGCAGTGCTGAGTCCAGTCCTGGCTCCTCAGGACAGGAGAGACGTGGAGCCCCTGGAGTGGCTCCAGTGAGGGTAACAAAGATGATTGAGGCTCTGGAGCATCTCTCTAATGAGGAAAGGCTGAGGGAGCTGGGCCTGTTCAGCCTGGAGAGAGGCCCTGAGAGGGGACCTCATCAATGTCTGTGAGCATCTGAAGGGAGGTGCCAGGAGGATGGAGCCAGGCTCTGCTCCGTGGTGCCAAGCAATAGCACACGAGGCAATGGGCAGGAACTGATGCACAGGAAGCTCCACCTGAACATGAGGAAGAACTTTACTGTGTGGGTGACTCAGCACTGGAACAGACTGTCCAGAGAACTTGTGGAGTCTCCCTAACTGGAGATACACTGGACACAAGCCCAAGTAATGTGCTCTAGGGAACCGTGCTTGAAGAGGTAGGCTGCACTAGATGACCTCCAGTGGCCCCTTCCAACTTCACCCATTCTGTGATTCTGCAAGTGGCTTTCTGGGTAAAGAGGGCAGTCTGCTTAATGCATTTGCTGTTAACTAGTGTAATGTCTGCCTGAAGATGACAGTTATGTTCTTGGACTTAGCTGTGTATCCTGAATCATCAGCTATCCCCATAAGCCTGGCATAGCAAGCCTTTTACAACTGCTATCCAGTAAAACAACAGCTCCCATGAACTTGGAGTTTTTTCCCTTCTCTTTAGCAGTAGCTTCAGGCCTGTGACCTTACCTGCTGGGGATCAATAACTGAACCAGTAACTCAGCACAGAATAATCAACTTTGCTTTTCCATTATGTTCTTACAGCAGGGCTTGGCAACACTAGAGTTTGTCATGTTCCATTAAGTGAAATTCTTTCTGACCTAATGGAGCAGCTGAAGACCATCCTAGGACTTTGCATCCACATAACTTTCCCACCTGCCTGCAGAGCACAAGATTTTTATAGTTTGAGGAAATGGTGCTTTTCCAACTGTAAACACCATGGAACTGCGCATGCATTTGCAGTCAACTGTGAGCAGGAACAGAAGATCTGAGGAAGTACTGCAAGGTGGCTGGAGAGAGCCAAGTTGAACAGACACACTGGTATGATCTTCTCATACTGGCAAAAGGATCTGGCTGTTCAAAAGCTGAATCCAACCACAATTACTTTGGACAAGATACCCAGCAGCTACATCACTGTCCTACCAATATGCAGGTTTGCACATAAAAAGCTCAACGCACATACAGGATACCTTTTTTAACAAAGCTTAAGTAACATGGGCTTTCTTTTTGAAATAATATGTTTCACTTAAAGTAACATGTTCCAAATCACTTTTGTTTTCATCTTGGAAAACTGCAAGGCTTTTGATTTGGTAGAAACTCTTCTTGCTCCACTGTGCAGTGAAGACAAGAACATGGCAGAGACAAAACTCACCCATCCATAATTTTTGTTTTCTAAAATTAGAAAAACATTCCCTTTAAGTTTCTGATCCAAGAAAAAATATATAAGAAACTTGACATCCTTTTTTGCATGACATGATCCTTTAGCATGCTTGGGCTTTGGTGTATATGTAGTAGGACAGAAGTGGAATAAACTGTAGTATTTCCCTCAGTTATGACATTTCAACTGAGGTATGAGGATTTACAGGCTTTATGGAAATGAATTAAGGAAAAAGATGTAAATAGAGATATTACTCAAGTTTAAGAGATTCCTTCTAGAACTATCAATAAGTGATACCAGCTATCAATACCAGATATCAATAAGTGATATCTAGCTATCAATAAGTGATACCAGAAGCAAGGCAAAACAACAACAGTGGGCGTTTTTAAATTTAAGGATTACATACCTTACTTTTTTCATGAGCAGTGATTGCCGAAAGAATTTCAAACCAAATTAATCCCAAAGCATAAATATCTACTTCCTTTCCATATTTGGTCCCAATCTAGAAAGATTAGAACAGAACAATACAAGTATCAAATCCAGCTGGAGAACAGCACTTCCTAAAAGCAAAATTTGAAGTCAGCAGAAATTTCTACCCCAAGGCTACAGGACTGGCCTGACTCAATATCCTTCTAAGTTGTTAACCCTTTCTGCCTCAGACCTGTTAAATCGTGACTATTATGTCACACTGAACACCCTGAAATTAAGACTTCTACATACCTATACAGATAAAGCATGCCAATATTGCCCTGCGACAAATAATGAAACAAACAGAGAAGCTCAAATGATGCAATTAACAGGGGCCCTAAATTCAAATTTAAATATATGTCTGGCAGCCTGGTTTTACACGAGCATTCCTTACAGCATGCAGCGTGAGACTGTATATTCACACAGAGCAAAAATCTTTACCACACTTGTGATAAAGCTTTATCCAGAGTACAGTTATTCTCTCATACAGTCATACCAGGGAACTTTAGGCAACTTGATTTATTATTGAGATTAGGATTGAGAACATCCAATGCTGAGTTTATAATGCACATCTAATTACAGAGACACTAATACAGCAGGACAATTACCTGTTCTGGTGCCATATACGATCTTGTTCCTCTGTTCTCAGTCAGAGTCTCAAATGCCACAGAAGTCACAAGACCAAAGTCGCCTATTTTTATTTTATTATCATGTGATATGAATATATTCTGAGGCTATTTTCATATATATAAATAAAAAGAAAAAAAAATTACCAAATGACCAAGGTTTATCACCACACCAAGCATAATCAGCCACAGAAGTGTTTCCCTTAAAATCTGATGATTGTTCAGAAAGTAGCATTAACAAACTGATAGTGCAGAAAAAGGAAAAACTTAAATTAAGTTTTAAAAACACAAACTAAATTTTAAGTAGTACCTTCTGCAGTAACTTCATCTTTTTTCCCACTAGCTCAGTCATAGCCCTGTCATGTTTTAACTGCTCTTCAAATACAGTGTGCATATAACAGTCTATATCCCAAAGGGCTTTTCACTCTTCAATCCTACACAGAACTTGATACACTTAGGCAAAGCATTTAGTCTTACATGGAATTCCACTCTAGTCAGTTTCTCCTAGGCACAGAAGGATCATGTGTACTAAATGAAATGCAGTGTTAAGGCTTACTACATGTATCTCAGAGTATCATGTTCACATTAAACTTCCCTTTTTTAAATTTGACAGTGTCATGGCTTAAGACCAGTTGGCAACTAAGCACCATGCAGTGTAATGGGAGGGAGAACCAAAAGTAAACTTGTAAGCTGTGTTAAAAACAGTTTAGTAATAGAAGCAAAAGAAAAATTTAATAATAATGTAAATAATAATGATAATAAAAGGCTTTTAAAAACCCAAACAAGGAAGAACAAGTTATGCACAGTACAATTGCTCACCACCCACTGACTGATGCCAGATCCCCTTCCTGAGCCCAGATCAGCCCCTCTTCCATGTAAAAAAATAGTATTTTGACTTAAAATAAACACTACCTAGTAGTAACCAAAACATCAGTGTGTTATCAGCATTACTATAATACTGAACCCAAAACACAGCACTGTACCACCTACTGGAATTAACTGTATCCTAGCCAAAACCAGAACATGAAGTCAAACAACTACAAAGAGAACTGTATGTGCTTCAATGAAGTTTCCCAAAGGAGATAAAGAAACTACACTTCTGAATGTTTTTAAAACAAAACCAAATAGCCTCATGCTGTCTTCTACTCAAAGAAGCTCCAGTGGACCATAAGGCCAGGAGATACTTAGAAGTCAACAGGAAGAGATCTTCATGTAAAGAATGCCCTGTGTAGTTGTTCTGTTCAAGTCTGACCACGACCACCCATATTTAATATAGTACCTATAGCTAGCTACACTATTTAATGACTTTGTTCCTACCAGGTACAAATTACTTTAATCTCAGCTTGAACCTATCCTGCAACTTTGATTCTGGGCTATGGAGATCTCTGATGGCCAAGCACCTAAGCTGACAGCAGATCAAAGAGGAGAGGAAAGCTCCTCAATTCAAATAGAGGTGGAAGAGTTAGCAGTATAACTTGGTTCTGTTCAGGAGAGGGCTAATTTGGACAGTAATCAGTGGGGAATACATGGCTAGGACAAGGAAGTTACTCTACACCACCTCATGTCATTTTCTGGGAATGGGGGAAGGATTCGCTTTTGGGTCATGGGAGCATGGCATGATCAGGCAGGGCTCCACAGTGAACTTTTGCATGTGAATCAGCCTAGTTTTTAGACTTCTGATTTTAATGTTGTTACTGTTTTTGTCTGTGTTTGTTTTCTTATCTCATTGCTGTTTCTAGTAAATTATTCTTATTTCAACCGGTGCTCTTTACCTTTTGTGCCTCCAGTTCTTCTCTCCAGCCTGCCACAGGGGAAGGGGAAGTGAGCCAGCAGCATGTGGATTCAGTAGGAGCATTAAATGGGAGAACACAACTCCTGATCGACCACAGCCTCATCCCTACCTCAGCTTGTAGAGCATGAGACTCCTAATCTCAGGGTCAAGGGTTTGAACCCCATGTTGAGCATCAAATATGGCCAGGGTGTGTAGGGGATCAAGTGAGGCACTTGTGGGTACACTGGAGCTGCCTGCTGTAAAGGGACTTCAGTCCCAGCTGTGAAGGTCTCTGGTGGTGGGAATTTGACTGCCAGAGTGGCTCCTGAGTGGTCAGGCAGGGAAGTCAACTTAACCCTAGGAATGCCACCACACTAATGATTTTTTTCACTAAATGAGTGATTTAAAACTCTGTAAGCAACATTATAGCTTCCATCCTGAAGCCATTAAGGCTTTGTCCCTTAGAATCTTTATACTGAAATAAAATCATCTTATGACTGTGCATATCTAGAGACTGAAAGTCTATCCAAAACTGTAGCATTCAAACATTTGTATGCATAGAAAAGTAACTAGAGGATGTTGTTTTTCAACACAGCACGTATTAGGATAGATAAACTACCCCTTTACAAAATGGCAAGAGCCACTTTCTAGACTCAACTTTGCTTTTTCCAATAGGCAGACTTGTGACCCAGTAACACGCTGAAAATGCCTGCTAGCTAATGACTACTGATTCTTTGAACTATTGTATTCTGAGATCTTCCAAGTTCATCTGATTTTGGGATGAGGTTCAGCCAACTGCTGAAAGAGAATCAGTCACTAGCAATAACCAAAGAAGCATACTAGGGTACATAACAGAGTAAGCCAAGACTATAAACAATTTAACATTCTCTGCAATTTCAGTAAGTATACTACCTTTAACTTTTTAGGTTTTTTTTTTCTTTATTTACTTATGCTACATACCTTGAGGTCTCGATGAATTAACTTTTCAGAATGAATACATTGCACTCCTTTCACTATTTGTAAAAAATTTTTTTGTGCCATTTCATGATACTTTTGGTCTTTGCTATTTTTTATAATCCAGTCTTCCAATGTCCCTTGTTCACAGAATTCCATTTGGATGAAAAGACAGAGAATTTCTGGGTCTGAATTCCATCTTCAAAAGAAAATGACATACCATATTGGAATTGGCAAGATAAAATTCCTCCCAAGTCATCTTCAAGAGCCCTTTTTGCTAACAATTATTTTTTGGAGTTACCTAAAACACAGTCTGCAAGTCCCTTAATTTTAGGAAAAATCCTACAGCAATTTGCATTAAATAAAAAGGACTGCAACTCAAAGAATCTCTGCTGAGTTGCTACATATTCCTGGAATATTTCTGAAGTTTTGGTTGCTTTCTAGTTTCACACTGGTGGTTTTCTGAATGCCCAAGTTCTATTTCCCTCATACCTAGAAGTATGTCCTATCTAGGAAGAAATGCCATTGTCCTTGGCTCCATCTGGCCTTGTAGGACCTGGTGGAAGACCCTGACATGTTTCTGCTGAAGAGATCAGCCTTCCTATCCTGCCCAGAATGGTCATGTTCTTTCCAACTCTGTCCTGTCAAGAAGGTAATTGCTCTGCTAGTCACAGGAACCCTTCTGAGGACTAGAAATCTAGATGAAATATATTCACTATAATATTCAATGAAATATATTCATCTGGCAGCCTCACACATTCCAGAGAAGCCCATAAGATAGGCTGAGGCTGGAGATGGTGAGAGGAAGGAAAATACAAAGAGAAGCATGCACTGGTTTTTCCCTATGTATGCTGTGTGATGAGTGCCCTTGGATAAAGCTGCTCGAAGCACTGAAAGAACAAGCATTACATGGCTCAGGACTCTGCAGGCTTGAGGTCAGGGCACAAATTCCAGTCTGGGTTCTTGGCTTTGGGGACTTGTTGTTCTTTTACTCAATAACTGTTTAATGTAAAATATATACATGATATTGAGGCTCCAAGGTATTAATGGTTCTGTTTTGACATACTTTTTTCTGCCATTTTACTGCTCACTTAATGAGCACAATAATGGAGAAGTATCACACCAACCATAATTTTGAATCCATTAATATTTTATGGCTCTAAGTAAGTATGGCAGCCTATGTGAAGAGTATGAATTCACAGCTAGTAAAAAAGCTTACCACAAAATCTTGAAAAAGTTAATAGTTTAACTTAGAAGTAAAACTCTCACCACTGGTTTACCAGAAGTCTCAGTGTCAAAAGGCTACCTCTAAATTAAAGAGCATTTCATTTTGTATTCCTTTCCTAAACAATCAAAATCACTGTTTCAAGCATCATGGTTAAAATACTAACTTAGGGAAATAATTAAATCTATGATAGCTACTGGCTGACCAGTACTTATTATAAAAAGGAAACTTCTGATCAGGAATTTGGTAGCCAAGTGACAGAGAATTTTTTCTGTTGTTAATTCTTGCCCCACATTTTGAGTTCTGCATTCTTACTCTCCTCTGTAAATTCATTATGTTCCATATATCAAGAGAGGAGTGAAATATAAAATTATATAATGTACCTTACTAATCAAGGAAAAGAAGATGTAAATATACTTAATGACACACAACCTGCTGCTGGAAATATTGTGCCCTTTCTCTAGCAGTATGATTGCACGTGTGTGCATTTATATTTGTAAAATAATTGATAACCAATTATGAATAGCTGATAACCAATTATGAAAAATAGTTCACTACAGCTGTGAAAAAAGTTTGTGAATGCAAACTATTATTTTGTAGCTACCTTGAGCCTGAGCCCTTGATACGGTCGTACCCTCTCCAGCTGCAATGATAGCGCACTATGTTCTCATGTGAAAGTCTTGCCAGCCCTCGTGCTTCACGCTCCACTTTCCTATCAGGAGGGGGGGAAGAATTTAAAAAAAAAGGCATTTCCCTATTACAATGTAACAGAAAGTTAAATAAAAGATAGGCTATCAAGTAGCAGGATACAGATAGTTTTAGATTAATTTAGAAACAAAGCATATTATTCTCCTTCGTATACGTTCACAGGCCAAAACTAAAGTTACAAATCTGATGGGTTGTCTTCCATCTGCTCAGTTATTCCAAGTGCAAAAACTGGTTTAATCCCATTAGGAATTAAATCCCCACTCAAAAAAAAGCTGAAAAAGCAGGTAGCTGCAAACCTGCCAGCAAAGCAGCAGTCATTACTTGAAGAATCAGTAGAAGGTTCTCAGTATAGTTCTCAGGATAGCAATGCCAATGAAAATAACATGTATTTGCAAACAAGACAAGAATCCAAAAGGAAAGGTACATATTACACAATTCAAGGGACAAGTATCTCCAACAATTTAAAACCTTTTCAATAGATAACCTAAAAGAAATTAATGTTTTCAATCACTGATAGAATACTCCACTAGGTAACAGAAAATTACTTTTTAAAAAAAAATTAAGATCATCTTTCTCTGTTGAGATTTATAAAAGATAAGCAACACAGCACGAGAGTAATGACTACATGGGTCAGGTATAAAGCATTTTCCCACTACAAAATTTATTACTTGGATTTTTTTCTATTTTCCATAATTATAGTTATTTTACATTACTGATATGGAAATTTTCCATGTAGCCTGTCAAAAGTAACAGGACTGCTTTCAATGTTTTAATAATCATCAGGTTTTCTCCAAACACATTTTGCAATATTAGCAACCAGAGCACTACTGTGTTCAGGGAAAAGAGAACTTAACATACCTACATTTTTACAGCTCCAGGAAAAATTAACCCATTACATGCAAAAATTAACAAAGGTTCAGGACCACTTTCAGCTTCACTTGGAAATAAAGAAAACAGTTCACTAGAAATGACAGATAATTAATAATAAAAATCACCTAAATGCTCCTAGTATTGTTGAAGAGAGAAAATAAAGTATTAAAGTCTTGATTAAAGTTGTCCTAGAAGACAGAAGTAAGCATTCAGTACATACTCTGTGAATTCAACTCGTTTGATTGCATAGGTTGTCTTATCACACTTCGATGTTGCCTTGAAAACATTCCCAAAACCACCTGCACCAATATGCTGTATTTTTTCAAAAAGTTCAAGAAATCTTTAAAAACAAATAAAAAAGGAAAACCACACTTAATTATACTTAATTTTCAATTAAGAATATAAACATAATCTTGACAGATTTAATACATCTACTGCAATATCATTCTACAGTCATCATTTGACCAATCTACAGGTCTAAATCACAGCCTTGGGGATTAAAACAACAAGGGAAACTGACCCTTCCAGGCCTGTCAGGTAACCACCCTCACACCTTCACATTAATGACATTTGGTTGTGAGCTTTAAATACCATTGTTGTCAATTTCTATGCTAGATTTGAAATTTCCAGGAAAAAAATCTAATATCAATATTCTTTGAAAATTCTTTTCACAGCAGTATTTTCCCTCCTTCTGCCACAAATAAAGAAGCAAATCTAGAGTCATACATACCGTTATTGTCTTACAATATTAATTTTTAAAAAATCCTTCTTACGTTTTATTGACAGTGTGTGGACTCCCATTCTCTTTTCCAGTATTTGTGTCCACATCCGGCAAACCTTCACTGGAATCTGACATATTTTTTTCCTCTTCCTTGTTTCTTACATTAGCAAAATTAGCTGCCAATTTTCTTCAACAAGGATAAAAGCAAAATTTATAATGAGCCATTTTTCTAACACATGATGAGAAAAGAAATATACCAGAAATATACCCCCCAATAGTAGCACTTCTTTACTAGAGATAGAAAAAATAAAGTTATTTAAGGTATATATTGTTTAGAGGAGATAGCAATCTAAAAGTAAACATACCTTTTGGTCTCCAAGACAGACCTTTGTGCATTTCTCTACATGGAAAACAGAAAAAAAAGCCTAACTGAGGTATCCTGAATATTTTCACTGCAGCCTGTTTAAAACATGTCTGATAATGTATCTAGGAATTGCCTATAAACATGATCATACCCTATGTAAACAATGTCATAAGAATGAATCTTAGCTCAGTGTTTTTCACATATGCTATGCATAACATTATCATTGCAAAAAATGAGCTCAGTTTGACCCTCTTCTTGGGACTACTGGCATTTGTTAAACACTACCTAAATTTGATCCACAATACAGAAATGACTGTGGTTACCACTACTGAACGTTCTTAGGAGAAATGCATGTATTTTCTAATGATTAGTGGATAAAAGAACAAACTGATGTTACACTCTGACAAGAAGCATGCCCTATTCAGGGCCTAAAATGTAATTATGAGGAAGACCATTTTCATACTGTACCTGAGAAGGTGAAGGCTTTTCACATATTGCCATGTCCTTCATTTCTTCTTCCAACTTTGCAGATGAGTCAGCAAAGCAAATGGTGTTTTTACTGAAAAATAATGGACTATTTTTAGGTGAAAATAACACAATAATAAATAAAATTATTATCACAAGAAAAGAAGTACCAAAAAATCCCAGTTTTTAAAGCAAAACCTGAAAAGGCATTAACAGTCGTAACTGATTTAAACTACAAAACATCCTGCTTGAAAGCTATTAAAATAACAACACTTTGTAATATTCTCCTTTATTTCTATTATAAAATGAGTCTATGATATCTAGAAGATAGAAAAATGTAAAAGTGGTAGTGGCACTACAGGTAAACTGCTGGTTTTTAAATCACATCTCAAACTTAATGTATGTTCAGTTTCTTTTGATAAGCAAATTTTTCCCTTTGGTGGAAATGAAGATTCATGTAGGATGAAAAAAGGGAGGAAAAAAAGAAAAATGGGAGAGAAGAAAGCAGAATGGCATGAAATAGTGCTATTGAATGAGGTAGGGCAATCCATTTATATTACAAAAAAAAATACTTCTGAAAGAACCACTAAAATGTGAACAAATCAGAAAGCTCTAAACTTACTATAAGCTATCCCATACAGACTCACATAAATCTGCACAAGTAGAACAAACTTTGCTCTGAAGTTTAAGGAACAGAAGTTAAAATTAGATTGCTTTATACTGCAATAAAGCAATAAAATGATATATTTTATTTAGAATTAGAGCACATTACCCTCTAAGATTACTAAATATAACATTAGCGGTGAACCCAACTTACTCTGAGTCAGACTCAGCTGACACTTGAGAGGAATTGCTGTTATTAGCTCTTTCAAGTTCCCACTGGAAAAAAAAAAGCCATGTTTAACAAAATCACATAAACAAATCTTTAGAGCAAAAGATGCCATCCAGAGAGGGCAGAGGGAAGATTACAGGGTCCTAAGAGCAAGTTGGTAACTGCACTAAACATTCAAAGCCCTGCAGAAGAAAGGCACTTGCCCAATTTCCACTCAGAGAAAGGAAAAACACAGGGCTCTGCCACAGTGATTGTACTATACAGACACATCTACAAAAGTAGAGTCTGGATTCTATTCAAAACCAGGATAAGAGCGAGAGTTATGAAAAGCAAATATCTTTGTTGTTTGCATGTGCAACTGCTGTGTGGAAAATGAGATATATGTAGGCTTTGATATATGTAATCAGCAGAACTGAAAATCTGAGTCAGTACAAATGGACAGTCAATGTCCTCAGCATGAAAACACTGCAAAACTCATAACTAAATTAGGGTTGAATTAAAAAAAACTTATCCCAAATACTTAATAGAGGTTCTTCCCCTTCCTCCCACTACCTATAAAATCATTAAAGTAACATTAAAAGCAACAACTACAATGGATATAGACCATCACCTCACAAAAAGTAAACAATTTTTTTTTAATGTTTCCTGGTATTCCATCAGAGTATTGTGGACACAAAAACATAGTGTTTATGTTTAAATGAGAACTAACAAACCCCTTTTTTAAATACAGGGGTACTGGACCTTTACTACTTTTTGCCAGATTACATTTTGTTTGTTACGCAGACATCACTGAGAATTATTAAAAATTAAAACCAAACCAAAACAATCCAATCTAAATTTAGACTATATGGTATACAAGTTCTGTTTGAGGTAATAAATTTCAGACTTCAATGAAAATAAAAAGATCCATGGGTTTACAACCAAGGAAGATATTAAGAGAGGCTCCTAGATCTATAATAGGATGTTAATTAATTACATGGTTGACTTAAAAACAACTCTAAAAGCATTGAAAATTCACAGTAACAGCCAAATAATTGTAAAAGTACTTAAAAGTGAAAAAGGCTTCTTTCCTGCCCTATACTGCCATTCTTCTCTTTAAACTACCCTCCATTTAGTTAGTTCATATGTTCTGTACATTTCAGAAGAGGGTTTGGATCATTATTAGAATTCTGATCGTTTTTTGCACATGTGGAAATAACAGCTGCCAACATGAAGACAACAGCTCTGCTCTCCAGAGGATGGTGTCAGCAATTGTTTCATAGGACTGTGCCTTGGAACACTACAGAAGGCAGGTCCTGTTGATTCTGACTCCTGCTTTTGCCTCTCACATTACACAATAGATTTTTGATCCAACAGAAGACAGTAAAAGAAGTATGTTCATAGTCTGCCAGCCCAACAACACTTCTCACAGAAGACAACGAGTTGGAATTTCAAAATTTTTAAAACATGCGCATCCTTGAATGACAACATATCAGACCTATTCTGAACACAGAGAGATATCAATTGTTAGCAGTTTGGGTTTTTTAATCCAGAATGCAGAAGCACAACATAAATTCTACTAACAGTAGCCCAACCAACATACTAAAATATGGATTGCTTCCTTCTTCAATGGAATCCATTAAATATGCTTTTAAATACAATAAAGTAAAGAAATTGGTTCAAAGATTTAAACTTCTGTGATAAGGCTAAATATAGCACATACTGTCACAGAGCTTTCCTTATTTACCTTCTCATATGCTTCCTTTGCAGCAGCTTTTTTTGCAGCAGCTAGGGAAGGTCCAGTGCCCTTTCCATACAATTGACCTCTAATTGTACAGCTAACAGAAAACCTGTAAAATACAACAGGGAATCGAGTCTTATATCCAATATAACGAGTCTCAATGTAATGATCTTTAAACACTACAACCAAGCGACATTATAGAATGGAAATCTGAAGCATATACCTTCAGGGCAGCATTTTCAATATACATTTAATCTAGTTAATAATGGTAGGTAATTAATTTGTTGTGCCTTAAAGATAACTCAGTGGAGAGCAGCACTGCAGAAGGGCACCTGTGGATCCTGGTCACTGGCCAGTTGAACCTGACTCAGCAGTGCCCTGGCAGCCAGGGGGGCCAGCCCTGTCCTGGGGGCATCAGGGACAGCATCACCAGCAGGGCAAGGAAGGGGATTGTGCTACTCTGCTCTGAGCTGGGGCAGCCTCATCTCAAGTGCTGGGGGCAGCTTTGGGTGCCATAATATAAAAATGACATTAAGCTATTGGGGATTGTTCAAAGGACAGCAACAAAGATGGTGAAGGGCCTATGATGAGAAGCAGCTGAGGGCGCTTGGTCTGTTCAGCCTGGAGGAGTTTGAGGGGAGATCTCACTGCAGTTACAGCTTCCTTGTGAGGGGAACAGGAGGGACAGGCACTGATCTCTGCTCTGGGGTGACAGTGACAGGACTCAAAGAGAGAGCATGAAGCTGAATTAGGATAAATTTAGGCCAGATATCAGGAAAATATTCTTCACCCAGAGGATGCCTGGGCACTGGAACAGCTCCCCAGGAAAGTGGTCACAGCACCAGCCTGGCAGAGCTCAAGAAGCTTTTGAATAATGCTCTCAGGCAGATGGTGTGATTCCTAAAGATTCAGCTAACATGACCAAGGATTATTAATGGTAGCATTAGTAACACAAAAAGTATTAGAAGGAAGCAGGAAGGTAAATTATAGCTTACGTGGGAGTATGGGGATCTCCAGTACGATTTTCGGTAGTATAACCAACTGTGTAACCCGTCCTTTGTGAAATACTATTTAACAGGCAGACATAATTCTTGTCTGGCGCAGGTGATGAGGTTGTTGAGGTTGTTTGAGCTGTTGTTAAATCTGCAGCTGCCATGTTTGATGAACTCTTCTCCTATAAAACAAACAAAACAGGTAACTTGAAAACTTAAGTTTAAAAATACATTAAGATAAACAGTGCACAAGAACTAATATAGCTGCAAGGTTTGTCCACATTTCAAAACACTCCTAAGAAATCCCAAGTTTCCATTAAGAGTCCTTTGTGGCAAAGGACGGACATCCCAAGCACAATTATTACATTTTGAGTAAACGTAAAATGGCTTTCCAAGTACTACACTTCTGCCTTTAACAACCTCTCACCATGCCTCATCCCACCCCTTTTAGGAAAATATAGGGAACAAGCTGTGAAGAAGGGATGGCAGCAGGATGCTGCTGATGCTCCCATTTAGCAAGGGCTGCAAATGCTCCTGTGCATGTACAAGAGGGGAAAGCAGGACTTTTCAGCTGCCTCATGATTAGTCAACATCAGTAATGTATCAGCAGACATGCAGCAATTGTGTTAAAGTAATGACAGGACACAATAAAAGCCATATAGAAATAGGGAAGAAACGATTTCACTCAAAAGGTGCTAAGAAGCATTCAGAGTTGGAAAGAAAAATAGAACATGGCAAATAAAGAAGGGCAAAACACTTGGCAGAAAACTAAGGAGCAAAATTCAAACCTAGACTTAATCACAGAAGGAGAGAGTATATAACTAGCTATACTGTAAAGAATATAATGAAAAAGAAAAAAAGATTAATTAGAACAAGTGAAAGTAAGCAATTTCATTAGCAGAGTGGCAACAGACACGCTGAGTAATGCCCTGCAAATGTTTTGCAGATATTGAATCATAGAACAGTTGTCAAGATATAAAAGGACAATTGCCCACTTTGGATACATCAAGGTAGCTTAACAAAGGCAAATACATTTCCTTATCCTCCTATAACAGCAGAAGATGAAACACAGTATTAGATACCAACCCTATTGGAAAAAAATAAGGAAAACAATTCAGTGATAAAGAATTGAAAATTGAATAAGACAGAAACAAAGACAACTTGAATAATTAGAAACTGTTTTAAATTAAACAACGTTACCAAAAATCTACTTTCAGATATGCAACATTTACTACATTACATGTGATGTACGCTGCTTAATAACCCCCAAAACAATCCTACTGTTTACTCACCTCTTCCTCAATCCTTTCCCATGCTTTTTTTGCTGCTACTTCTTTTGCTGCTTTTATACTTTTACCAGTGCCACTACCATATTCCTCACCTTTTACTATGACAACAACTGTGAACCTGCAATGAAGAAAACTTGTCTGAAACATTGCTACATTTTTCTCACATATATACTTTAATAACCTTATCAGATTAAACTTTGGGTTTATTATCTACAAAGCACTGTAGGATAACTATGAGAAGTACTGAAGCATTAATGTGTTTTTCTTATATCAAACCAATGATTATCATAATTCTTTAGTATAAATACTTTTAAAATTTTCCTCTCTAGTCACAAATACATTCACTTTATTAGTTCCAACAGTACTTTTAACTGCTTTCTTAAATCAAAATAATTTCATTTTTAAGAGCATAAGAATGGATGAGGTCAGCATTATTACAAGCAAGGTCGTGAAGCCCTAACAACAGGACACATCTCAGTAGTGTGACACTACAGAGAGGAAAGATTAGCTAATTTTGGTTACATGAAACCAGATGTGACATTACACTCACCTTTAGTACCCTGTGATGTAAACTGCTTAATAAGAGCAAAAAACATGTCTGGTGCTTGTGAGAGATTAATTTATAGGCAGTCAAAAAAAACCCCACCAAAACAAAACAAAAAAATTACCAACAAATAAACACAAGCCCCAGTCCTGCCTTTCTGTGCTCAATTGCTGAGCCCTTCCCTCTCTTTTCCTCCATTCCACAACTGTGCATGTCCTGCTTCCCATATAGCAACTCCATGAGTCAGAAAGGGAATCTGATGCAGCTCAGAACTTAATCTGGCTGGGATGGGGTTAACTTTCTTCAGGGCAGCCAGATTGGAACTAACACAGGGTTAATGTTTTACCTACTGCTGAGTAGTGCTTGCTCAGCACCAAAGTTGTTTTCTTTTTCCCACTCTGGCCTTCAGGAAGCAGAGGAATGGTAGGTGTGAAGCTGGGAAGAGACACAACAAAGGCAGGTGGCCAGAGGGATAGTCCATGCCATATGGCATGTCACTCAGCAATAAAAGCTGGGAGATGAAGAAGGAAGAGGGGATACCCATGGCTATGGTGTTTACCTTCCCAAGTACACATAGGACATGATCAAGCCCCACTTTCTTGGGAACATCTGCCAGCTGATGGGAAGGAGTAGCCAACTTCCTTATTTTGCTTTGGTTGCACATCCTGCTATGCTTTGTCTATTAAATTGTCTTTATCTCAATCCACAAGTTTTTTCTCCCTTTCACCTTTCTGATTGTCTCCCTCTCCCACTGGGGGAAAGTGAGTAGGTAGCTGGGGGTTTCACTGCCTCCTGGGGTCAACCCACCACTGCGCCCTAATAATGAATAGTTGGATTTCAGACAAATCAGTCCTTACAGATCTGACTTGTCCTGCAGCTGCAAATCCCCTAATGTTTCTGATACTGCCTTTGCAACAGAGGAGAAAAGAACAACTGGATTTCTGCCTGTGGCAGCAGCACATACTTGCACCAAGTTAAAGTGACCATTAGAGCCTCAGAGCACCTCTGAGCTTCAGATTGCAGCAGAGTGTGTAAATGCTCACAGCCAACAAGGTGGATTCACACAGTCAAGGCATAGCACCATGAGTTCCTCTGTGGGAAAATTGGTCTCAAATAGTGTAGTGACTTTAGGAACTCACTTTTTTCATTATTCCAACCTCATTCTCCACTTCCCTTTAATGAAATGTTTGGGTGGGAAACAATGGAGATGCAGAATGAAGTGCTTGCTCTCATTGCGTAAGCAAGGCTAACAAGAAATCTTAAGGAGGCAAACAGTAGGAAAAGGCACCCCCATAGTGTGCCATATCCTCTACACATAGGAAACAACAAAGAAAAAGCAAAACATGTAAGAAAGGTTCTTCTTTGGGAAGGAGTTTAATCAGCCAACCCATACCTAAGTACTGAATACTACACACATTCAGCTATGACACTGCATCAAAATACACCATTTATTTAAGCATCCTGATGAAATCTGCAGTGAATCTCCATGACCAAGCTGAGGACTACCTGCAGGAGCGATACATGAATTGGTCTTAAGTGCAGAGTCATTCACCAAGGCAACAGGCAATTCCAAAGCTTGACAGGTTTAGTGGCCTAACTGTCCACTCTCTGCATTCCCAGACCACAAAAGCTCAGGACTGAGCCACCCTGGTCTCCTTTAACCTTCTTACATAGTGTTCATCACTGGCCCTGTCAGACCCAGTACTGGAAGCAGCCTCAGCACCAGAACTGGGATGGGAGGTATTTCTGCATCATGCCTCGGACAGCTGCAAGGTGACAGATGAGATGGAACAGCACAGCAGAGTTAGGGAGCTAGCTCACAACCGGCAGTGGTCAATGCATCCAGAACTCCAGGAAAGAGCAGCATAAGGGGACTGAAGGTTTACAGCACACATCACTACAGCCAGACACTTTACACTGTATCCTTGGAATAGCCCAAGTTACCCAGGATTTTCCTAAATGTCACACAATGGGCTGAATTTCATTTGTGAATGTAGCAGAACACAGAGAAAAACAATGAAAAACCACAACAAATGGAATAAACAACTTGGAACGAACGTAAGTTCCATCAGTCCCGTGCCATCACTTTTGAAGAATTAAGATGTTGCTGTGTGATCACAGCTGTAGCCTTTACTGCAATAAGAGTTACTTTTTTGAATTACATGAGCTACATGGGCAAAAAAATAAGATAGCTATTAACATTTGAGATCCAAATAATATCTATTATTTTATTCTGAGATGTTAGACAGACTTAAGACTAAATCTGCATAGACAGTGCTATCTGACAACATGCAACACAGCAAGAGAAATGTATTAATTATTAACATAAGCCTTGTCTTCATACAAACTAGCAAAAAAATTTTAAAAATCATGCAAGGAAATATTACAGATCTTGAGTATCTACAACCTTTGGCAAGGGAAAAAATGCACTGTATCAGTGTTAAAAAATAAAATATATTCCATCACCTGTAATTGTCTCTAAAAGGGAAAGCAAAACTTCTTAAGCAAAACACCCTCTTCTTGTAAGAGATGTTAAAAAATATACTACACATTAAATATGTTAGTATGAAATCAGTTAATACACCCAACCTCTTTGACTAGAAATCAACAATGCTTTGTAAACACTTTGCTTTGTAGCTTTGAAATCAAACTGAAATTCGTGCTGTAACCCAATCCACCTTCTGAGAGGAGATGCATAATATACAAGCTGGTACTTTCTGAAAAAGAGCCATCACCCTTGAAATAAGTTTTCTCCTTAAACTGTATCACATGATGTCTTCCCCATGCACCTGCCATTCAATTCATTGTTTCAACCAGCTTTCCCACTACACATGTGCTTTCAGCAAATCAATATTTGTGACTGCAAGCTTTACACGGTTTGCTCATTGCAGGAAAAGCCCCGCTCGTTAGTGACAGGCAGAGAGAACTTACTCAGGATCATGAGGTGGGCCCGTTTTAGCGACGGTGTCATAAACCACTGTATATTTCTTTTTTTGACCGTAAGAGTTGACCTTCCCCATATACTCACGATCCATTTTGACACAATCTTCAATAGATGCTGCAAAGTAACATTCAAAGATTTGTCTGCTGCTCTAAACATGGAATAAAGGCAGCCCTAATCCTGGTAGATAGGTCACTGCTAAGACATAAAATAGAAAATTGGTGCTAGTAACAAAGTTCATGGGAAACTGATTCGAATTTCTAATTCAAATGACTGGTCTGCAAATGTTTTGGAAGTGATTGCTTGGAATAAGGGTTTTAGAAAGCAGAGTGGAGAATTCAGTGATTAGAGAAGATTCCTGAGCAGATTCCTTGACAGCAAAAGATGGAATCATTTACTGACTTCTGTGGGAGGAAAATAAGCAGTAACGTTTCCCCAGAATTAGAATCGATTCCTGCAGAAGAGAACCCGACGGCACTTAGCATATCCCTTCGAGCAGCGGTGACGCCAGGCGTAGCCGCACGGACCAAAGATGACCCCGGGCTGCCGTCACCGAGCGCGGCGGGCCAGGCGTCTGCAGCCGGGCTGCGGGCACCCCATCCCGCAGCGACCCTGCCCCTCCTCCCGCGCCCCCGCCCCGCCGGTACCTCCGAGCCGCTGCCGACGCTCCGGGACCCGCGGACGCTCCCGCAGCCGACCCGACTCGGCGCGCTGCGCAGACCCCGCCCAGTTTCGTTTCCCGCAGCGCCGGCCCGCGTTAGAACGAAAACGAAAGCGAAAGGGAGGCGAGGGCGGGAGAGCCCCGCAGGGAGCAGGGCGGCTCTGCGCTGAGGCCGCGGGGAGCCGCGCCCGGCCCGGCACGGCACAAGGAGCGGCGCCTCCGCCGCCTGCGCTCTGCCCGCGCTCCTGAGCTTACGGGGAACCGGGGCTCCGGGGCAGGCGAGCGGCTTCGCAAACGCCTGAGCCCCCGGCTTGGCCGTCACTCGCTGGCGCCTTCTCCTGTTACAGTAACCACACCCTGTAGTTCCGCAACACGGCCGGCGGAGTGCGCGCCCAAATACTTCCAAAGCCCTCAAGCCCAGAACCCCCAGGGTTTTATACCCTCAGTCCCGCTCTTCCTTCTCGTCTTCTCCCGCCTCCCCGCTCTGTTCATCCATCGCACTGGCGTCGCCTTATCCAAAAGGTCGGCAGTCACCGGCTGTTACTCTCAGTTGTCCATCCACCTGGCTGCTGTCCCCTGTCTTCATGTCCTTTGTTATCCCAAAGGCTGGGAATTCATGGCCTCTTGTCTCGAGGTCCAACCAGGAGCTCAATCTGCATTTCAATCTGCAGATTACAGGCCAAGATACCCGTGTGAGAACTATTCCTCAACACACTGAGCTTGAAATATATCATGGGTATCTCTCAACATGAATGAACTTCATAATAAATCTCTTACAGGGATAAAAGCAAAAAAAAAAAAACAGCCACCAAGTTAATAATATATTCTGTGGAAGTGGGAAAGAAAAATCTCCAAGATGAGTTTTCAGGGGCTAGATGTAAAGGGTGGAGCAAATGACTTCCAATGTGCACACAGGTCACTACTCCTGATCATCCAGATTTGATTTCCACCCCCTGCCAGGTCTCTCTCCAGCAGAAACCAGACAGCTGTAGAAAAGGAAAACAGCAGCAAGCCTTAGGTCTTCCTCAGTACGAGGAAACAACTTGGGCACCCAGGAAGCTCACCTGCTCTCTCATAATGCTAACACAACCAAAAAGGAACCCATTGAGACACTAGTGGAGATGCAGGAAAAAACCATCAGAGAGTTCCAAATGTTGAACTCCTAAACATAATCATCTTGTAGCAAAAAAAGGAGCAATTCCTTGTTTAAAGATACCATACTGGCATTCTTACATTATCACTTCTAGGATGTGCACTCTTTCATGTTTCAGCTTGTCTCCTACTCAAGTTTCCAATGACTGTTCTTTTCCTGGTTCTCAGCTTCTGCTGAGAGGGATTTCCAGCCTCTAGTGAGCCTGCAGAACAAGGAACGGGAGAACAAGGAGAAAGTAACACACTTGCTGATAGATAAACAGTCCAAATGGTCTTTGAAAGCACAAATATTTTATGTAAATGTACCTTTTTCCAAAAGTACACATAGGATCCAATGCTCACTGTTTGCAATGTAGGGCTGACTGAAACAAATGCCATCTTCCTAAGTAGAATGCATCCTATTTTTAAGTCACTCTTCTGTGTAAATTCTGAAAAACAGTAATTCAGTAGAGGCACATAAAATCCACATGCCTAACACCTTTTCTGTCTTATCAAGCAAAACCAGCACATTTTATTAGAACCAGCTAGAGTAATTTTATTAAAACTTCTCTTATTGCCTTAACTACAGGATCCTTAGCTATCTCTGTTTCTTCTCAGAATCCAGCTCTCTCCTTAAAGGTTTGTTTTCTGTAGTTCTACTTGCCATATGCCAAGCTTTTGGGCACAACTGCTTTGGCCTTGCATGTGACTCAATGTCTTCTATCAGACCAGGAGATTGCTATCAAAGGTGTGTTTTTTAGAACTGAAAGTGACCTGGAGTGAACTTCCAGTTTTTTGGTAAAAGACAAAGTTTCCTCCAGCTTCGTTAATTGCAGTTAACGATTAATTTCTAATTGACATTAGCAGTATTAAACACAAATCAAATTAAGAAAATTTGCTAGATGGCTGTTAAAAAATACACAAGGTTTCTCAAAACATTATCAATGAACAAGACGCTGTTAAACTTCACCTTGGGGAAAATCATCAATTCCAAAACAGTCGTTGGTATATACACCTAAAAATCTTGTTCTATAAGGCCATTCAGGCTTGCATTCAAATGCCTTTGAGATTCATTTGCTCTACAAAATATTCACCTTTGGAGTTTCAAATAATCCATAATTATATAGAGTCTCAAAATAGTGGAGTTACAGTGGAGTTATTGACTTTGGCTTTATTAGGAACACTTGCTGATGGATAATTCAACCCCTGTCCTGCGGCTGCTGGGCTCAGAGGTAACTGCAGAACACGCTCCAGAAGGTAACAGAGAAGCTGGGAAAGCCGAAGTGAACCGAATCTTTTGCATGCGCCTCCTCCTCCTCCTTCGTGCAGGTCCCCGTTCACGGAATGCTTCGGAGTGAAAACCTACAGACTTCGGCATCTTTGGGCGCCACGCTACCACCCCGTGCAGGGACCTGTGTGGTGCCGTTCCCTAAGGTGGGACAACCTTCCCCAGCAGCAGCAGCCGCTGGCCCGGGGCTGGCACAGCCAAACTGCCGCCAACAGCCGGGAGCGGGCAGGCCTGCCCGGGTGGAAGCGCTGCAGGGGGAATTCTTGCACAGCAAAGCTGTTCCCTGGCAGCACCTCAATAGGTTATTTTCCAACCAGCTGCCAGGTGTCCCGTTGCCTCATCCAGAAAGCATTCCTACACAGAGGAAACACACCCCAAATACCGCGGGGCGGGCTCGCCCAGGGCACGCCCGGGGTGCCGCAGAGCCGCTCCTGCTGCCGTGCCCTGCCCACGGCCCGCACGGCGAGGGGAGCGCCTCCACTCCCAGCGGTAGCCGGGCTACGGGAGCTCCCGCGGCCTTTCTGCCCGGCCCAGCGCCGCCCACACGAGCTGCTGGGATTCGGGAGGCTGTCCTCACAGCCCATTCGTGAACGCTGCCTGCCTTCAGCCCTCCTTTTCTGCGGGGCGGGAGAGGCACCTGGCAGCGCCGAGCGCCGCCCTGCGCGCCCCGGGCAGCGCCGTTGTGGCCCGGGCCCCGCCCCGCGGCCCTGACGTGAGGGGCGGGCCCGGGGCGGCCCCGCCGCGCTGTGCCCGGCGCGGGCGGCTCTGCCGGCGGTCAGGGGCGCTCCCCTCCGCCGTCCGAGCGGGGCGGCTCTCGCGGGAGGCGGCGCCATGGGGCTGCACGGCGTCAAGGCGGTGTTCTTCGACCTGGACAACACGCTGATCGACACGGCCGCGGCGGGGCGGCGCGCCATCGAGGAGGTACTGCCCTCGTCCCCCTTCCCGCGGCCGCCGCGGCTCCGGGCCCGGCGGCGGTGCCGGTGCCTCGCGTGTCCCGCTCCCTCCCCCGCTGACACGCGGCCGGGCGCCGCTCCCGGGAGCGCGCCGCGCGGCCCCGCAGCGCCCTGACGCGCGTCCCCGCGTCCCTTGCAGGTGATAAGCGCCCTGCAGTCCAAGCACCACTACGGGGAGGGAGAGGCCCGCGCCGTCTGCGATAAGGTGCAGGCCAAGCTCCTCAAGGAGTGCCACGATCCCGCGAAGATGTGCATCACAGACCTGCGGATTTCGCACTGGGAGGAGGCGATCCAGGAGACCATCGGCGGGGAGGCGAACCGCGACCTGGCGGCCGAGTGCTATTACCTGTGGAAGACGACGCGGCTGCAGCACCTGACGCTGGCCGAGGACACGCGGGCCATGCTGACCGAGCTGCGGAAAGGCCTCCGCCTGCTGCTCCTCACCAACGGCGAGCGGCAGACGCAGAGGGAGAAGATCGAGGCGTGCGCCTGCCAGCCCTACTTCGATGCCATCGTTGTGGGGGGAGAGCAGAAAGAGGAGAAACCGGCGGCATCCATATTCCATTACTGTTGCGATCTCCTGGGGGTGCAGCCCGCGGAGTGTGTGATGGTCGGTGACTCTCTAGATACAGATATTCAAGGAGGCCTGAATGCTGGCTTGAAAGCAACGGTCTGGTTAAACAAAGCAATGACTGCCCCAGTAGATACCTCCCCCGTACCTCATTATATTATTTCTTCTGTACTGGATCTTCCAGCAGTGTTACAGAAGATGGAGCACAACTCTAATGCTAAGTTAGAAACTGACCATATGGCTGGTAGCAATGAAGCACATTGATGATGGTTCCAGCATAGAGACCTGCTGAGCTGTTAGGTGACAGATGCTCTTTTTAAAAGTCTGACCCTAGGAGTTTGAACTCATCTATGGTCTCTTTTAAACAGCAGAGGGATGAATAAGAGCACAGTTGTCAGTGGAAACCAGACAGAAGCACACAACTATATTAATTTGAGTGATGCAAGTGCAGTTAATTTAAAGCAACTGCCTCTGTCTGGAAATTATTTTGACAGACTGTTGCAGAAGTCTGTCTGTCTCTGACCTAAGTTGCCAGTCTCTTGTATTTATAGTGGAAAAGAAAATTTGAATGTTCTGAGCTTTCACATGCTTTGCTGACTTGTAAGCTTAGCAGAATCTTCAGTTCTGACCTTGTGTGCAGGGTGTAAGAGAAGGTGAGAAAGTAAGTGTGGTACAATCTGGTAAATCCTCACAACTGATCTACAGTTTATCTCAGGAACTGGAGTGAATTTCATTATTTCTCAGACTATTAGAAATGCTCTACCTTTGATCTTTTTTACAAGTTTTAGAATTTTTTTCGGACTTTGCAGTGGTTTTTCTTTTATGGAACTTATATCTCTTGCCAAAAGTACTTAAAAGTGCATTAAAAATTTGCTTTTTTATCGGGGACCATTTATCAGAGGGACTTGATGAATAAGCTTTTACTTTATATTATCTTGGTGCTTATGCAGATATGCAGTACACTTGTAATTCAGATTATGATTTTTGTTGATATGGATAAAACAGGGATATTTTCAATAGTGCTACTGTACTGTCATACTCTTCAGAACCTAATCATTGTTCTGTCTGATTCTATCAGTGAATTTTGATCAGACTTTTTGGAGAAACTGTTCTTGGTCTCACTCAGGTGTATGACTACTCAGATTGAACTGTACGATCAGTGGCTTTTCTGACTGTTTTGATGGCACTGCTACATAATCCTTCCTTACTCCAGTTTGCATGTGTAATTCATGTGATTTATTGTGAGGAAAATACAAGCTAATTGTCTGTAAATGGTTCTCATCACTCTCTTCCAGGAAACTGGAAAATTATGTCCTATGTATTACAGTACTGTATACTAGTTTATAAGGAATATGTGATATTTCCACTACATGTAGGAGATGACTCTCTAAAACAGTAAGGTTTCTCTTTCCCAGGTCATTACATTAATTTATTTTTTTCTTTGCCTCATATTCTTACTACATAATGGGGAAGTATTCTCATATTAAATGGAAATGTAAACACTTGTTGGCAAGTCTGTGGTTTTCAACCCAGTGTGCTATATATTCACCAGGATGAGTATCAGACCACATATGAGAAATCAAATTTTATATTTTAGAATAATTCCATGACAGATCTTTTGAGAACAGGAGTTTTAGGCTACTGGCAGAAGAGTCTCTGGTATGTGGGCAGCAATTAGAAGTACAGAAATCTACTATGAAATGGATGTGTAGACGAAATTCTATATACAAAAAATGTTCATGTCAAATTAAACAAAGGAACCTAAGTTAATGCAGTTAAGTCTTGCATAGGATGGCAGTCAGTTTAGAGGAGGCTGTTACTGGTTTGGGTTAAATTATTTGATAAGGAGTTTAGGTTGGATTAAAATATGTTGCTCCTACATTGAGGAGAGGGAAAAAAAGAAAATAAATACTCACTAAATTTGGAACTCCTTTCCCAATTGTCCATTAGAAAAGGTAAAGCAGTCCACATTCCTTGTCTTACCTGGCCAAGACTGCTGAGACATGAGGTCAAGGAAGAGTACAGAGACAGACCTCACCTATTCCTTTGAGGAAATGGGCATATACTGAAAGCAATCCAATTACACTAACACGGTAACATGAACCAGTGGCACTGACTTGTCACACCTTCTGAAGGAAGAGGCCTGAGTTAAGACATTGGTTTCCATTTGAAGAGCATGGAAGCAGCCACTGATTTAGCTGATGAGCAAAGCATTGCTACTAACATTTCTTAGAACCAATGATTGAGACAAGAATAATAAAGATCATTGAGCCTGTCAGGGATACTGTGTAAAAATGGAAATGCATCCAAACGATTAGAGGGATCCTTGAAGTAATCTAACCATACCACCTAATACAAAAGCAACAACTTTGCTTACAACAGCATCCCAAAGGAGCTACAGAGGAACTGATTCTGCTCTGTTTGCACAGCAGCAGGGTAGTAGAACTTAGGTCAGAATAAGGTTTCTGATACAGCTGATATTTAAAATAACAAATACTAATAATTCGCAAGTCTGTCCGTGGGCTTGAAGGAGATACAGATCTATAGATATATATTACACCAGGTTACCATTTTTTAATCTAAGTTGAGGCTCATATTCTCTTGCCACTGCATCATGCTGAAGTGACATGCTGAGCCTGCTTATTGTATAAAGGGTCTCTGGTTTAGAAGAGACTGCTCTTTGTTTTGCACATGGCCAGCCATTTCTTTTCATCTCTGACTCTGAAAAACCACAGTAACTGCACACTCAGGTGACAGTGTGGTCTGTAGAGGCCACACTTGAGTATATTTTTCCATTTCTGAGTTCTGTACCAGGCTGAATGTGGCTGCTGGTGTCCAGAGAGGGAAACACCGTTATGATGCTTCTGTAAAACAAGGAGAAACAATACAAGACTTTTCTCTATCTAGGGCCATTCTTAAAAGCAATTACCCAATAAACTGGATGAAGTGTCTGGAGTATCTCTAAATACTCAAGATGTTTTTCTTGGATAGAGCTGTTGCAGAAAAGATAATGAAAAATAGTTAATTTAGTAAATTGGAAACATAAATGTAATGATGGGATAATTTTCACATCAGAAGCAGGAACAAATCATTAAACAGTCTAGTAACTGTTCCCATTAAGTTCTGGTTTCGCTTAGTGTTATGCTCTATTAGCTAAGTTATCTGATTTAAACTATATTGCCAAAACATGCAAAATAAAAAGAGGAAAAGGAAATTCCATCTATATTTTTAAAAACCTTTTTTTGCCAGATAAATATTACCTCCTGAGGGTAATCTACAGTAACTTTGACTTCGTTGAAATGAACTGAAAGAATAGTTTAATATCAACTGTATTCTAATTCTTGATTTAAAATAACCCATGTACTAGCTAATAAAAGTATTTTTGTGGGAAGGGCTAACAGCAGGCCTGTTAGCTAGCGAGAAGAAGCTGAGAAGCAAGAAGAGGCTGATAAGGAGCTCTCTCCAAAGCTGTTATCAAGGAGACAGAGAGAAGAGATGAATTGAAGAAAGATAAGGAGAGAACTTTGCAGCTGGACGAAGCATTTTTAGAAAGTTAGCTGAAGTCACTGTTACTTTTCACCAAAGGTGTTATGTTGATTTATTGTGGCCAATAGTTGGGGTAGAAGAAGCATAAACCATTAGAAAGTGTATAAAAGGTCAGCCATTTTCAATAATAAAGAGTTGCCATCTGAGACTGCTTGTTGTCTCTGCTTGTGTCATGACCACCTCGACAATGACATATTTTGTTTATAAAATGTATATTTGAACACTCTGAATTGCTGTGGATAAATACAACAAAGGGCAAGAGTTCTGTTTGTTTCTTAAAATAGCACAAAATTAGGATTTGAAATCCATGGCCTCATGTTTAGATGTGGTGACTGGGTGTAGTTTCTGTCATTTCAAACAGAGGCTGGGACACAATTACGTGCTCAGGAAGATTCATGGCCAGACTGTGTATGTTGAATTGCCAGCTGCATTTCAGTGGTAGTTGAACCTGACTTACCAAGCTGAATGCCAGCTCACATAAGCCTACATGTCCTGATGTCATGGCATTGACTGCTGCAACAGCATAAGAACAGACTGCAAGCAGAGAAGATCCAGAAATCTCAAGTCCAGGGGACCCATTCTGGCAGGTTATGGGTGCACAAAGCCATATTTGAGCTATTGCTGCACTGACCTCTGTGACTTAGGAGAGGAGGAGAGTGGGAGGTTGCTCACCTTGGAGCTTTTTTGGCTGCAGAAAAGCAAGCTGCTCCCTTACCATTTTCTGTTGGGTAATGTAACAAATAGTCCATCTTCTGGACCTGTGGAGATAGGTGCAAAGGTACTTTAAGTCACTGCAGATAAGAGTAGGACATTAAACAGTACAGGAGGGCTCAGCTTCTATCATGGGCACTTGGCCATGCCAGCAAGCTGTCTGCAGCATCACACACCTGCACAGCAGAGCCTTTCCGGTCTTGTGGAGAAAGCTTCGTGTATGGAAGGCATTAAGCTGGACAGTGACAGCCTCAGAAATGAGGATGTTTTCTTAGAGATCTTAGAAAGTGACCTGAATGTTTCATACAGGAAATACTTGTGTTTCATTAGGGTACTAAATTAATGCAAAGATGTAAGATGTTTGGATTAAGGTTAATCTTTTCCTACTCCCTGCAGCTTAAGGTTTTCATATTTCCTGAAAGAATGACAACAGACAACTTGCTGTGCCCCAGCTAACCACAGCCAACTCAGTTTGTCTTTTCCTCTGAAGTTTGTCTTACGTGACACCAGTGTTAGGGCTTTGAACTGAAGTAGTCTGGCCCATCACAGCAATTTCTCCTCTTCATGTATGTAGTGATTTGTTTTTCAGCTTCGGCTCTAAAATGTGCCAGGTTATTGTGAACCCTTTAAAAAACAATTTTAAATCCTGCCTTAATTCTATACTAACAAAAATCATCTGGAAATCATTTGAACTTGTTGAGAAGTACGACAAAGAGAACGGCGATGTATCTCTGCTGTACGTAGCATATACTGTTCTTTTGTGCACAGCTTTTGCCATCAGCCTTGCGGTGGGATTGTCTCCATTATACCCCGCTTTCTAGATCACACTGTGCACATACAAGAGCCACAACAATGCAGAGATGATGTCAGCTGTGCCTAAAGCTAAAACTGCAACTTTTTGCCTATGTTGCTGGGGATCTAGAACACATTGCCCGCTCCTATATCATATTTTGAACTTTTATTTCATGTGCTAGAAACAAGGTTGCATGAGAGCCTTCTCCTGAACAGCCCTCAAATGCTGGGGAAAAAATGTACTTAAAAAATATGAAATTAATCTACGGTGCTAATATATGAAATTGAAGTTCTTCAAAAGTGCAAGCTATGTTTCTCAAGTTAACACTTCACCAAAGACCAGAAGATAATGACTCATAGGATCTGATTTAAAACAGGAAAAAATTTACCATTTACGTCAGTGGACCTTCACAAATTTAAGATTTGCATGCTCATTTCTGTAAGATAATATGCAAGTGACATCTGCTTTCCTTCTGACTTCTGACTCCTGACTTCCCCTTTCTCAGCTTATTCATCTTCATCAACA